ACTAGGTCGCTCACACAGTTCCTGACAGATATGTTCATGCTTGCAAGTCTCGGTTACTCTAGCTTCGGTTCATTATGGATGGGGTAAAACACGAGATATAGTTTCGGATAAGGATTTCATATCCATGTTAAAGGTGTGTCGATTGAAAGGGAATTATGGAGCTATGTATTAATGTTAACTAAATCCAGACGGTGTATGTAGCGGACTTGTTCTATGTCCTTGTCATCGGTCTGTCGAAAATTTGCTCGGCAGTATTTTATCGGAACCTCTCCATCCGTCGTTCTATGCGGGCGAACAATGTCATCCTCACTGCTTGTTCGGTGTGGACTATTCTCGCAATAGCCGTTCTGGGGGGTCGTTGCAGCAAGAGTCCGTGGAAAGACATTGATGATCACTGCGTTGGCCTCGTGAGTAATCATAGCTCTACTTTATATTGCTTTGATAGCCACTGTGAGTATCATCGGCCTGACTTTTGACTTATAGCTGCCACGTTGGAAGGCTATCTGCGCCTTAGATATCGTGCTCGAAGCATTCATCCTGGCCTATCCGGTGGGAATTATCTATAAGGTTCAAATTTCCCCTTTAAAGAAATTCGTCGTCTTCGCGATTCTCAGCTGTCGCATTATGTATGTTTAACGCCTCTTCCTACCAATACTCACAGCTGGCCCAGATAATAAACTTCTTTAGCCTTATTCCTCTCTCTGCCATCCATCTTTACTTTATCCAGAAACAGATCCAGTCAACTGATCCAACTCTCACTGGAACGTACGCGACGATAGTCGCCCAAATCCACCTCGGCGTTAGCGTTCTTGTGCTTACGGTTTCATCTCTAAAGATGTTCGTGGCAGTCTATGAAGACGAGCAGGGGCTCGCATATACCGAAGATGCTTCGAAGGCACTGGCCATTAGCGATAACGATAACAGCCGGCAGTCGAAGGCCAGGTCGGGGAGGTGGTCTCGGCAAACGAAGGAGCCCAGCACGTCATCCACTGGCTGTGGTGATGGGCCCATCATACCCTTGGCCTCAGGAGCCCGAGGTAGTGGTAACACTATTGTCAAAAGCGTACATATCTCAGTAACCCACGAGGACTGTGAGCATATCACGCCGGGAAAAAGAGGGCCACATGGTCATAGTGGAAGTATTATGTAGATGCTGCCTAGATGTATCAGCTACCAGACATGTTCGGTAGAAGCAGACGATCGAGTTGTCAATATTAATACACAATAATGTATTACGCCTGCGTACAACTTCTTCCGGGCTCCTCCCGGATCGTTGATGACCGGAAGAATAGGTATTAGAACTATTGGCTAGGTACAATATCATGAAACTATCTGGGTATATCTCTTGGTATGTCATGTGTGTTCGCGATAATTCATATATGATGACACTCCTTTAAGTAATGTAACTGGATAAATGCGTCGATTATAGATATCTGATAGCTTTTATTCGTGGAAACCACTACTTAAAACATCTACTCCGTATGCATCTTGACACTCATCCTGTCCTGGTTTGATATACGTGGCAAGATTGGCGTATATCCATTATAATACTACATTATAGCCCAGTCGCACTATCTTTATAACCCGCATCAAACCACTCAACGGTTGGCTGGATATTGAAAAGCTCCCACATAAGCCCGTCATTCCACATTGACGACGTTTGCTGAGACAGCCCTTCTGCACTAGGTCCAGGATCGAGTGCTTGCGAATACAACACCTGTTGCTCTGAGCTTCCTAGTTGAGTGGTATCACTGCGGTGTGCCCTTGCGGTAAGCGATTCATGAAGTTGGGGATACACCGATACGTTAACATCATTAGATTCAGCAACTCCAGTGGGCTGACTTCTGATTGTCTCCGTGGTCTGCGCATGCTGCTGTGAAGCGTCCTGAGCGATGGTTTCATAAAGCTGATCGCACAAAGCTGTGAACTGGGAAAACAACCCGTGTAATCGGAGTATAGAAGGGTTATACTCTTTGATGCGGGATAATGCCGCGGTGATTTGGGTTAGAAGATTATAATCCTCGCGATTGGATGTCGCAATGACATTGCAAAAAATGATAAAAAAAGGCGTAAGTGGGTAGAGAAGCACAGTCCTATATGTAGGGTAGATTAGCCGTCAATCTCGCATCTGTCTCTCTCAGTGAGTAAATGACGCATCCATACCAGAACACAAAATCGTGGTAAACGTGTTCACCTCGCAAGATATGATACTGAAGAACATTCATTGACCGCAGTGCTCTACGGGCATGAGATAAACAGCGTTCGCGCACACGATGGTCATGTAAGGAAACCGAATTGAGTCGCAAGACTGTTGTTATGATAGAATGATAGGTGAAGTCCACTGCATCCCATTCCAAGCGCAGTTCTAATGTGCCACTCGAGTTTGCTCTTGTCTGGATGGTATTAGGATGGCTGGTGGGAAGAAGAAGGGGGATGCATACCTCGCACAGCTCCTCCCATATGTCTTGCAATTCTGCTTCTAAGCGGGTAATAGCCCCCAGCGCCTGGTCGTCAGGGGTTCCATCACCTGGTGTTAGCACAGAAAGGGCACCATCCAGCACATGCGCCAGCTTGATCAAGATATTGGCTTTCATATCTAACGGGTCTTCTTGTCTTGGCAGAAGTAAAGAGGTTGGCTCAACATTCAGCGCTGGCAAGGATGGTGGTCGCACCAGAAGCATGCTCAAAACCTTATCAAAATAGTAGCACCATCGTATACAACGACGTATGTCATGAGACCTGTCACACTCTTCAAGCATCCTTGAATCCAGGCTATGATAACCTAGTGCCACCAGGAGTCTCGACGCAAAGGCCGTGAAGGTCCACGCTTGCGTTGTATCGCCCAAAGCTTGCATCAGGTTGACCTAGATTGTCAGAAGTGCAACCATAGACAAATTGATGCATGGGAGTTTGTAGCGTGGGTTTTACTTACTGCTGAAAGCAAAGACTGGAGCATCAATAGGCTTGGTTTGTGCAGAATATCAAGTTCGCGAATTGACCGGAGGGCAGCTGTTATATACTTCTTCTTCGAAGCTTCTAGAGCTTGTGCCAGGTCGCTGGACGTACAGATCCGCAGCCATCTGTTAATGTAGGTCACTGCTCTTGCAAATATGCAGACCTTATACTGAGATGCTGTCTGACCGGTCGCCTGACCATTCACAACCGCCAGACAAATGGTCTCAAACCTCTCAAGAGATATGTGATCGGGCCAGTGAAGCTTCCATGGCGTAGAATAATCGGGACAAGCTGGATAAACTTAGGTCGCATGGCTAAAAAGGGACTAGAGCAGGGTACATACGATTCATCATCATGAAGAATAACTCTGAAAGCCCCACATTATCTGGTGTATCACCGTCTTGCACTTGGTCATAGCTTGAGTTTTCAATTGAATGTGAGGGATTGCTGAAGTCACTAATCAAAGATAGAGCAGACTCCAACACATGCCTACGGCTTTTCGAGAGGGATGAATTCGAGTCTAGTTCGCGTCGTATTATATTGACTTCGTTTGCTTGATGTACATACGCAGGAGAGCGGATGGTTTCAGCGGCCAGAGTCGCTTTGTGTCTCACTTGTCTGGTTCCTTCTGAGGTGCTCGAAGATGGTCCTTGAGAAGTATCGTGTCCACCCAGGTTGATCCCCGGATTAGGTGGACTCCTAGAAGATAGCTCGTCAATGCCCCTATTTCTGCTTCTCCGGTTATAGTTCCCGGGTCCTCGAAAACTGTACGACACAACGGATCAGAAAAGTCTCTGTAACTAATGCATTGTCACGCGTACCGTGAGACTCTAGTACGGCGAGTCTGCTTGGGTCTCGCACGAATACATGGCACCTGCGCACTCAAACACCCCTGGCACTGTGGCTGCCGGTCGCATTTAACCTGTCTCCGAAGGTTGGCGTCAGACACATTGTGCATATTCTCACTAACTTTAATGATCACAGCTACTGCGGTCGACTACCAGTAGCTGTTGGGGACGCTGATTACCTTCCTTGCATGGCATAGGTCACACTAAAGTACAACAGATAGGACGAACGTATTCGTTAGTGCGTCAGTTCATTTGTAGCATCTCAAGATGGCGTTTCACCGATGGTGGGGGTACAGCAAACTGGCGGAGATGTATAGCGATGCTTACAGCTGGGAGTCTGCGGAGTGCTGCCAAGGGCGAGGTGCCGGACGTTTCGGCCATCAGGCGTCAGCTGACTTCTATAGCTTCACCTGAAGAGAAATATAATCTCATAAGGGAAAGGAATTCCACTTTACTCGGGAATGTGTTTAATGCTCTCGGCATTTCGGGAAACTCGGAAATTAATTAATGCACCAAGGAACGTGGTCGGAAATTCGGATTATCTCCAAGCAGTACTAGTCCTAAACAAGGCTTGTTCCGAAGGCTATTCCATGATGGACCGCCTTCCTATATAGGTTTAGCCGTCTTCAATCTACTTGTGTTGTGTAGATACAAACTTAATCTTAGTTTGGAAAATCTTCTAGGACCATACATCCATCAGGTAAGAGAAGACGAAAGAGAACGGGTTCAGATACTAGCAGAGCTGCCATTGAAAGACTGCGTTGGACATACAACCATGCAGATATTGCACGAGTATACTACTAGCATCGGTGCGCGTTCACTAGTCACTCGCCAAATCGCTTGGCTGTTGGTGGATCCGAATGCGACTGTCCGAGAATCTGACTCACAATCCGAGCAACCAATATGTCCTATCCCACGTTGTTCGTTAAGCAGTTTGGTGCCATATAGCGTTTCTTTTACCTATTAGACCCATTTATCGGACTTTGGTGACTAGCTCTTACTGATAATTTGTAAGTATGCGGGCTAGGCGCCAATACCAGAATGGAACATTTAAACAGGCTACTTCGGTGCCTTATTTTTCTCTCTTTCTTTTCACGTTCATCGAGTCTTCCATTCTTGTATATTCCAGCCACCCTCTTCTTAGAAATGTACGGCCTATGTTGAGCGTTCTTGAGTATCATACAGCCGCTTCTAGCCATGGAAAGTTCGACTACTACATCTTCAACCACAGGTTGGCCCCCCGAGGAACACAAGCTTTCTATGACCGGGGCCGACACTAGTCCTTTGGCTTCTAAATTCGAAGATATTTTTCAGCGAAGTTTACAATCCGGGTACAAACCTCGACGACTCGGAGTCACCTGGAACGACTTGACTGTGAAAGCAAAAAGCGCCGAAGCCACAATTAATGAGAATGTCTTTTCGCAGTTCAACATGCTTCGCCGTCTACAGCAACACCGACAAGGCATGCCGTTGAAAACAATTCTTCATCAGAGTCATGGATGCGTTAAACCTGGAGAGATGTTACTGGTCCTCGGCCGCCCTGGGTCCGGATGTACAACACTCTTGAAGATGCTTGCCAATCGAAGGACAGGCTACGAAGAAATAGAGGGTGACGTGCGGTATGGTAGTATGCGCCATGAGGAGGCTGCGGAGAATTATACAGGCCAAATCATTATGAATACAGAGGAAGAGATCTTCTTCCCCACGTTGACTGTGGGACAAACCCTGGATTTTGCGACTCGTCTGAAGGTACCCGCTCACCTCCCTGGGGATGCCGTCAATGCAGAGGCGTACCGTGCAGAGATGAAAGAACTCCTCTTGGAGAGTCTCCATATACCTCATACGGCAGAAACGAAAGTGGGCAATGAATATGTTCGTGGCGTTTCCGGGGGAGAACGAAAGCGTGTCTCAATTATGGAATGCCTCGCATCTGGCGCGTCTGTCTACTGCTGGGACAACAGTACTAGAGGTCTAGATGCGGCCAGTGCATTAGACTGGGCAAAGATGATGCGTGCGATGGCGGATGTATATGGCAGCTCGATTATTGCAACACTATATCAGGCAGGAAATGATATTTTCCGCCTTTTCGACAAGGTCCTTGTTTTGGATGAGGGGAGGCAGATATATTATGGGCCCGCTAACCAAGCACAACAATTCATGGAGGACCTTGGATTCGAGTGCAGCGAGGGTGCCAACATTGGAGATTATCTGACCAGTGTTACAGTTCCTTTGGAACGTCGAATTCGTTCTGGATATGAATCCATATATCCCCGGAACGCTGAAGCCATTGCCACATCCTACCGCAACTCTAGTATAAAAACTCAGATGGCCTCTGAATACGACTATCCTGCTAGCGAACTGTCGCAGCAACGCACCAAAGACTTTCAAGAATCTGTCGCTCTGGAAAAGCACCATCCAAAAAGCGCAAGCACTGTCCACTTTGCAACGCAAGTACGTGCTTGCATTATTCGACAATATCAGGTGCTGCTCGGTGATAAGAAGACGTTTGCCATGAAGCAAGGCTCGACTTTGATACAAGCCTTGGTGGCCGGCTCCATGTATTACCATGTGAAACCCGACACTTCTGGGCTTTTTCTCAAGGCCGGCGCCCTGTTTTGGTCCATCCTTTATAACAGTATGAGCGCCATGTCCGAGGTTGTCGATTCTTTTTCTGGCAGGCCCATGGTAGTGAAACACAACGCCTTTGCATATTGCAAACCGGCTGCGTTCTGCATTGGACAGATAGCTGCGGATATTCCAATCACAATTTTCCAGATCAGCATCTGGTCTCTAATCCTGTATTTCATGGTTGGCCTGAAAATGTCTGCCAGTGCGTTCTTTACGTATTTCGTGGTCCTTTTCGCATGTGCGATGTGCTCTACTGCTTTATTCCGTGCCGTCGGAGCGGTTTTCCGAACATTTGATGGCGCCTCCAAGGTGTCAGGATATGTGGTGACAATTATGGCCATGTACGCAGGTTTTCAAATTCAACACTCCCAAATGCGGCCGTGGTTTGGATGGTTATATTGGCTTAACCCTGTTGCGTACGCTTTCGATGGCTTGATGAGTAACGAGTTCCGCGATCGAGAGATCGACTGCACCGGCGGCAACCTGATCCCTCATGGCGAAAGCTACGCGAATGTGAGTATGTCGTATCGGTCATGCGCTGGGGTGAGAGGTGCAACCCCAGGATTCGCCTCGTTAACTGGAGAACAATATCTGGGTGCTCTATCATACAGTTATACGCACTTATGGCGAAACTTTGGTATTCTCTGGGCTTGGTGGGTCTTCTATGTAGCGGTTACGATCGGTGCAACTATGATGTGGAAAAGTCCTTCCGAGTCCGGTGCACAGCTGCTCATCCCTAGGGAAAGACTGGCTCGGCATATGCAGCTGGATCTCGATGATGAGGAGTCCCAAGTGCCACAAAAGTCCTGCCATGGTCACCACAGTCAGGAAAAAATCGATGGTTCACCACCCTCAACACCGGCTGCTGAAACACAATTGGCTAAGAATACCTCCATCTTCACCTGGAAGAACCTGAAATATACTGTAAAGACTCCATCTGGCCCCCGTGTGCTATTGGACAACGTTCATGGATGGGTAAAGCCTGGTATGCTAGGTGCTCTCATGGGTGCGTCGGGCGCAGGCAAGACAACGTTATTGGATGTCCTTGCCCAGAGGAAAACAGAAGGTAAAATTGAAGGGTCAATCATGGTTGACGGCCGGCCTCTATCAGTGTCGTTCCAGCGCTCGGCTGGGTATTGTGAGCAACTCGATGTTCATGAGCCCTATGCAACCGTTAGAGAAGCATTAGAATTCTCGGCACTTTTAAGACAGCCTCCTGACACCCCTGAAAAGGACAAGCTCGCATACGTGGATGTCATTATCGACCTTCTCGAACTTGGAGACATTGCGGATACTCTTGTAGGCAAGCCTAACGCAGGCGGTTTGAACATTGAGCAACGGAAGCGTGTTACTATAGGTGTCGAACTAGTCGCTAAGCCTAGTATCCTGATCTTTCTGGATGAGCCAACGTCGGGCCTTGATGGACAGTCTGCCTTTAATACTATGCGATTTCTGAGAAAACTCTCAAATCAGGGCCAAGCCATCTTGGTTACCATCCATCAGCCGTCAGCCCAGTTGTTCTACCAATTTGATACCCTCTTATTGTTGGCCCCAGGTGGCAAAACTGTCTACTTTGGAGACATAGGAGAAAATGCCAGCACGCTCAAAGAATACTTCGAACGCTATGGGTCACCCTGTCCTAGTCAAATGAACCCGGCAGACCATATGATCGACGTGGTCTCAGGTCGAGCTTCGAACGTCGACTGGCACCATGTATGGCTAAAATCGCCAGAGTATCAGCAATCCATGGTTGAGCTCGACAGGCTTATCCAAGAATCCGCTTCAAGGGAACCAGTGAATAACTCGAGTGCTGATGACAACGAGTATGCGACACCACTCTGGTACCAAACTAAAATTGTCCTGCGCCGTATGAATATCGCCCTCTTCCGGAATACGAACTATGTGAACAATAAGATATATCTGCATATTGGCCTGGCCCTGTTCAATGGATTTTCATACTGGATGATTGGCGATACTGTGAATGACATGCAGCTTCGCATGTTCACTATTTTCGTGTTTATGTTTGTTGCCCCCGGTGTGGTGAATCAGCTCCAGCCGCTGTTCATTGAAAGACGGGATATATACGACGCACGGGAGAAGAAATCCAGAATGTACTCCTGGAAAGCATTTGTCACGGCCCTTATTGTGTCCGAGTTCCCATATCTATGTGTCTGTGGCGTGCTGTACTTTCTCTGTTGGTATTATACTGTCGGTTTCCCAGCAGCCACGGAAAAGGCTGGGGCCGCTTTATTTGTCGTCATCCTGTACGAATTCTCATATACAGGAATCGGTCAATTTGTCGCAGCATACTCGCCCAATGCTGTTTTTGCGGCGCTGGTCAACCCTCTCCTTGTCGGAATCATGGTTTCTTTCTGTGGCATCTTGGTCCCATACGACCAGATTATCCCATTTTGGAGATACTGGATGTATTACATGAACCCCCTCACTTACCTAGTTGGGAGCCTCTTGGTTTTCAACATCTTCGATGTCGACGTCAAGTGTGCTGACTCGGAGTTCGCCATATTTAATCCGCCTTCCAACATGACATGTCTGGATTACCTATCTTCGTATCTGGAAGCGTCTGACGCCAACCTGGTCAATCCCGAGGCACGCTCCGAATGCCGCGTCTGCCCCTATACCAGCGGAGGTGGTTATTTGAAGACCATCAATTTGAATGACTACTACTTTGGCTGGAGAGACGTGGGCATTTTTGTGATCTTTATTTTCAGTTCATATGGATTGGTGTATCTGTTCATGAAGCTGAGAACAAAAGCCTCGAAGAAGGCTGAGTGATGATTTCATAGCCCGCTGCACATCACTGGCTACGCTACCTCTTAGGGTGCATAACTAGTCTGCTGGAGGAAGCTGAATGGATGGGCAGCGTGATGGCTGGCGCATATTGGCAATTTTTGGCAATTTTTGGCGTGGTGGTTTTCCAGGATAGCCTTGTCGGATGCCTACGGCAATTACATGCATTAGATCCAGAGAAATACCTATATTTAAAACAATAGTCGTGCTCTTACGGAGTAGTATGGGAGACATTCAAAGAAAAGCAGAACTATTATTCATGTTCAACAACGACAGTCCAAGATGTGAATTTCCGACGATTCAGCAGGCTTGGCACAATGCAAGGGGAACCCCATCTTGGGAGTGAGGGTCGATCTCCAGGTAGCCTCCTGGTGAGACGTGGAACCGAGGACAATTAGTGTCAGATACTCTCCCAAGTATCGTGGGGGGCGCAAGTCGGATGCATCACACCGTCGTCTTGGTAGGAACCAACACGCATATGATATTACACCCCTGTCTGAAGCGCCTTCATGCCGGCATGAGAAGTATCCGTTATTCATATGATCTATCGCTGACCGAAACGGAACTGATAGTCCAACCCGAATGACTCGGATCTCGATTGAACTCGGTATCGTCGCGAATACGCCGACATTCGGCTTGGGCATCGAGAATACTTATGGTTATACCCAAACTTTCGGTGGATCTCAGGGCCCGACTCTATCGCTTACGCAGTCGATGAGAACATCTAGCCGCTTAGCCTTGTGAAAGGCAATGCTACGAAAACAACCAGATCGAGGTACTCTACCGGGCAAGCAAGCCGATCACAGAAACTTCAGGAAAACAGGGAATGCCAGGGGAAACAAAAGAAAAAGAAAAAGAAAAAGAGGAATGTTTATCGAGGTTTACCATCACTTTGACCGCGATTAGCTCCGACAGTTAACGGTGGAGCAGTGGCTTGCCGAATATATTGGAATTTGGGACAGATCATCAAAGGTGAATCCTGCGGAAAATTTTTCTTGCAACTGAAACATCTACCCGCCCGTCCTTTTTTTTTTTTTTTTCTTTCATTTGTCTTTTGGCGCATGAACCGCGCGATAAAGGAGCAAATCCATTTAGGAAAAAAACCGAAATTCAAGGGTTCCCCGTGCAATAACCCTAATGGCGCAATGTCCAGGACGGGAGAACTACGAAAGTGTTGACTGTGTTGGAATCACTCCTTTTAAGAAAATGGTCACCGCGTCTACCTTGCTCAAAGGATTTATGATTAGTAGACACTATCTGCTAGTAGGCGTCATCAGCCAACCGTCTTAGGGTCACGGAACAAGGCCGTAAGCTGACCCACTTGGCTAAGCTTACCGGTTCCGCCGTGAAGATCGACTATCCAAGCAAGTTATTTCAAACTATCCAGGCAGCCGGTATCTTGGAGATCCGTTGGTCGTGTCATTCAGGGGTCCAAATATCTTTCCCAGACCCGTGAAAATGCGATTGGTTGAAACGCAGCGAGAAATTACGGAGTAGCATTTGCATTAGCCATAAAGGTGACGGGTGTGTTCGAGTGATATCTGCAGAGCAGGGGATATTTATATTCAAGTCATTATCCCCCTCCCTTTTCGGGAATGTCCAAACTCCAGCTATCTTTGTGCTATCACTGTTGTTGAGTATACCGGTGACTGACTCGATAAACTTTGATAGAAAGCTCAAGGTGGAACCATTTTGGCCAAAGTTTACCTGGGTGATCTACGGGTCTTATACGTATGCAGTCACGGAATTCATTGCCACATATAGAGTTCTCAAGTTCAGCTAACCCCCAAAAAGAATAAAGATAAAAAAAATGTCTTTAGGGTTTAATCTGTTGTCTGTATTTGGCATGCTTGAAACCACTGCCATGGCCTTCAACTTAACCTTGTTGCAACGGGCAGGCATCACGGTATCCCATGATGATGACTTCTTGTCGTCTTTATAATGACCTGCTGCCCTGGTCTTACACTTGTTTTACCCCAGAATCATCTGTGATCGAGCCAGCTCTCCGCTGAGTCCGCCCCCAGAGCTATCTCCTGCGTCCGGGTTTCGCGCACTGTGCCTCTGCCCCATAGGGTGGCAAGTAGGTGCCGGTATCTGTACCCCGATGACATACCCACCAGGAAAATCATATCCAATTGCACATTAGTTCCATACTGAACTACATGATGATGATGATGATGACTCGTCCGTCAACACAGGTGCCAGGCCTCCTTCCCTTGAATTGATTTCTTCACAACAGGGACTCCTGCCGTAGGCTTCGGGAATGCGAGCGATCCCCCGTCTCACTTATCGTACAACGCTTGGAAGATGATGGATATAAAAGCCCTTTCAGATGGTCAATTAAATCGGCAGCCAAGCTGATTTGAGCACGCGAAGCCAGGGAAGTCAATCTCGGAATGGACATAGCAGAATGGATCCCTTTTGCCTAGCGAGTAGCCGGGGGAGACGGCCGTGGTCCGTCCGCTATCAACCACATCCCCACCCGAAGTTAGACACATCTAACCACAACCTGACATGATCAGCGGGTTTCAGAGCAACCCAGATCAATCAACATGTCTTGTAGATCAGAGACTCGATCTATTTGTCAGACGCGCTGTAGTAATGCTCCTTGGTGCTGTATAGTAACAGTCTCAAAAAGTCGTCCTTTGACTACATTTGAGGCACCAGAGTAACCCCGGAGGATAAGGTGAGGCTTCATGAGAATAAGGTAGGCACCTATTTCTCCGAGAGACTGGGTCGACATGAAGGATGTCCCTGGAACTGTGTAGATGTTCTAATTTGAAACACCCACGCATAACGTGAGTAATGCGTCGTATATGGAGCCACGAAGGAATCCTGTGAAGATGCATATGATCCGAAAATTCCGTGATCAAATCTGCAGTTCACGCCTTTTTCTTTTTTCTTTTTTTTTGATTAATATTATTTTCTTTCTCTCTGCCCAAGGTTGAAATGTAGAAGATTAAGATCAGCACGACAGGAATCGGCTCTTAGCAGTAGTGCGATCGACCGTTCACAAGACTATCAGAATCTACTATTTAGATTGATATCTAACATACGCTGGGCTGGATATCGAAACCGCACCCGGCGAAATCTCGGCAAATCCACCATGCGTGCCGTCATGAGAGTAACGCCCCCCCACGTGGCTCAGCGAGCATTAATTAAGCTTGAAGGGCCTGAAGGTGAACAATAGCTTACTGATAGCGGTCTCTTAGCGGTCCACGGGATTTGGTGTTGGAGAAGGGAGGTGCTTTAGTGCCAAAATTCTGTTCCTGGAATGGGCTATTACCCCAATCCCATGGGGCACATTACAATCCCAAATTTATTTACTTCTGTAAACGCGCATCATTCTGCATGCACATTTCCTGTGGGCAGATTTCGTGGGATTTGAGTGCCCAATACTTATAGTTCTCACTGGCGCCAGGTTACGGGCTAAAGGATTGATGCACCACTGCAATATATGGCTTGGACGGTTGCACTGGAGGGATGGACCCGACTCCAAGCCCGGGATAGTCTCACCCATGAAGCGTACGAATCGATCAATCAAGCCTTGGTGATTTTCGGGCTTATCACGGGCACCTTATCACTCGTTGTGCATACCTATACGAGTGTATTCATCACCCGACAGTTTGGCGTTCACAATGGTGAGTGAGCCCTAACCCAGCCGCTAATGATCGACGGTAATAGGTTGACGGTTTTTTTTTTCTCAGTTTTCACGATTATTGCATGGGTGAGGATTCTACAGACTGTTAAGGTACTACGAAATAAGCCATCAGCTAACGGCACATATAGATGTTAGCAGTTGCCATGCAGGGGTTAAGCCTGTGTAAGCCTTTTCAGCTATCTACAACTGTAACGATGGCTCCTAGGAATGTCGGCTAATACGATAGACTAGATGGGTTCAGTAGTGGTGGGCTTGGGAAGCACGAAGCTACTCTCTCGGAGAGCGAGTTGGTCAGGTTCACTGTGGTGAGAATGCATTCCACCCCTAGGAGGTACAAGCTTTCTTCCACTAACACAGTCAAGGTAATTTTAGCAATCGTCGTGACGTTTATCCCATTAGTTTGTGTCGCAAAGCTGAGCCTGATCATGCTATACTATCGCCTGAGTCCCCATGTGAAGCGATGGAGATTCTGCATATACGGAATCGCGACCCTCATCACCATACCCACACCCGTATTGGTTTTCCTCTATTTGTTCGGCTGCCAGCCGGTTGCTAAGGCATGGGACTCGACCATTACTGAAGGGCACTGTGTGGACCGTCTCAGTATCATGTTGGCAAGTTCGGTGTTAAACGTTGTGACGGATTTCTTGATGATCGTCGCCCCAATACCTTTGATCTGGAAATTGAACATGCGGGTATGGCAGAAGCTAGGAGTTACGCTGATGTTCTTCTTGGGTGGCATGTGAGTACTTCCTGGTCCAGGCTACTAGTAAAACTCGAAAGAAGCATACGGCTGACTATAGCAGCACCATTATTACCAGTATCTTTCGCGCAATCACTGTTGATAATTTGCTTTATGAAGGGGACCATCCCTATCATATGGCCGTTCCAATTCTATGGGCGTAATGTTTCCTCTGGTGGGGGGGGGATTGATATAGTGGTTCGTCTCTAACGAGTTGATAGGAATGCGGAAACTGTTCTTGTCATTATCTGCGACTGCCTTCCCTCGCTCCGTCCCTTCCTGCACCGCCATTGTCCTGGAGGCTGCTTCACGGGGTCTGAACCCTCCGGGGTTCCAACTAGTGGGACACGCAATACGAGGCAACATGGTCGAAGCCACTATTTCGACGATGACATCGAGCTTATTCAGAACGACTCGAACCCCTCGAGGCCGATGGTCATCACACGGACCGTGGAGATGGAGTTGCAATACCACAAGGCCGAAGTGGATGCAAAGTTGACAAAACAGTCTATTCCTTGATGGTATGTGTCTATCTTCTTCCCAAGGTTCAACATCGTTAAACCCTACCCGCTGAACCAATTAACGCAGTTTCGGAATCCACCAAGAACGAAGGAAGTAATGCTTCATAGGCTGAAGTCTATCCCTTTGAATGAGATAATATAGATTAGCCATGACCAGGAATTATACGATTTCAATTGCGAAATAGAAATAAAGACGCGCCCTACGAAAGTCATCTCATTATCTTTGCTGGTACTCTCGAAAGCACCGGCCAGCTCGATCCCATGGCGACCTTTTAGGCTATATGAACACACGAAGAAATTCCTCGCGTGCGTTTAAATCATGGACTTAGTCAATGAATCTACAGCTTCTCTATTTACACTAGCGTCGATACAACCAGATACCATGGCACACCTGAAAGTCCCTACAATCTGATGGGTCGATCTGCATAAATCACACCGCGGGATTTCGCTATCTTTCATAGCGGCTTGCGATGCACAAAGCTTGAGATGCTTTCAATAACCAGTCAAAATCTTAGGAACGATTTCGTGAGTGCGTAAAAGATCCTGCCCAGATCGGTTGGCCAAAGAAGAGAAGCGGATATCATGGAGTTGCCTCCGAAATTTCACATTGTGGAAGAAAAGGGGAGGGAAATATAGGTCTGCTTCCCATAGCGATCCATTACTTGTCAAGGAACTATAAACATGCTGCGCCTTGGATAAGGCTTGGGACTCAACATCTCTAGCGTGCAGCCTGTCAATAAAGCTATTCTCTCTAGCTTCACCGCAGCTGTTCGCCCCCCAACCTAAGAGGATCATTACAATAAGTTGAGAACGATGTTAGCCCCTAGAATGTGGAAGGGCCGACGCTTCGGTGTTTTAACGATACGAAGTACATGAGCAACAAGGTGGGTGGATTAGTGCAGCAGCCGCTAACAGGTCGCTTGGAATATACCCATTCTGCAGGGCCTTCTACGTTCCTTAAGGGGAACAAATGGGATTACACCTTTTGTATAGAACGGTACGGCTTATCGAAAACCGTCGCTATTATTACAAACCACCATGATGCCTAGCATGAAACCTCGATTACCATTTGTGGTCTGATTGAACTCCCAAAGGGTGATAACTTAGATCATAGAAGCTATACAAGAGCCACTCGACTGAATTTGAAGAGGTCAGCGAGATGTCAGCCCCGGCCACGCTGTGAAACGTCAAGGATGTGTGTTCAGCTGTATCAGGGTCTTGCCACTGGATCTGCGCGACTATGAATCAATTCCTGCTGTTTCTGCAGGCCTTTTCTGTAAGATATATCTATGGGCGCAGTGTTTACACCCAATTTGGTGGTCCAACCAGATGCGTTTTCTAGAAACGCCGTGGCAAGCCTCACTATGCCAACTTCGGCCGGTCGACATGAAGTGCATCCTAACGATCTATTGGCATCACTGCAAATTCTACCTTTTTTTTTATTCATGTTTACCCCTTATCTCAGGGCCTTCCTCTTACGGATAGTCGAAAGAGGTTTGTCCGAAGGAGCGTCAGCCTAGTCTCACAATCAGACTAAATATTCAGTGGATGAGACGAGATTAGACGGTCCCAACCTTTTCATCCACCGGTTTACCGAGGAAATATAAGAGAACGTGACCCAGCAAGAGAAGTTTGCTGTTAAGAGAGCTGTGAAGAGAATTGCTCGGCAATGTTTCCCTCTACAGTGGCGATTTAGTAATGTTAAAGAGTTCTTCGTGCGAAATAGTGTCAAGCCATTGGCACTGGTTGCAAAGCTTGAGCGATCCAGGTTCAACCACGCAGGCAGTGCCTTGGTTTGCGCCGGCCGTTTCTTTCCCCGTTCCTTTTGAATGTAACCCTACGTGCCTTTGCCTTACGAGAAGTGTGGAGAATGGAGACAAAATTCCGATGGCGTTTACCCCATGTGGAGACTCCTTGGCAGCCTCTCTCCGGGCACAAGCCGTCGACAAGAATCCGATAGTACTTTCGTTTCGGAGAACGACCGTCGGTGCCTGCCGTATTCCAAGCAGATCGGCCTCCAGCATATTGTGGAACAAACAAGGCGGTGGAAATTTTTGGCATCGCTGGGTTTCTCGTGATGGTATACTACCAAGAGCATCCTCACAAAGCTTCGCACTCAGCCCACCCGGCACCCCCATTCATATTAGTCACAGTTATACCGGTGGAGACCAAAATGCGGGATATTCGGGGCATATCTATCGATCGGCAAAAGGCGCCTTTGGGCCGTTGGCGGGCCTATACGAAAGAGGATCCCGAGCGAAGCAACCATCACATGTAATGTGAGAAAATGATTATAAAAGAGGTTCCTCCCTCGCAGTTGTTCTTGCCAGTCGTACGACAATAATCGCCATCATCCCTTCTCACCACCTTTTTCGGATTGGCGATCTGTTCTAACATACTCGCCATGAAGAACATTGCCTTTGGCGTATACCTGACTGCTCTGGCGGGCGTGGGTTCTGCTGCACCCCATGTCTCGCCCAGTTCGTCGGGCCCTGTATCTGCCCCAACAGGTGCTACTTATGCATCGGGCTTTGATATGACCAAAAGCTGGGCCAACTTGAGTCCTTACAAGGATGCCGATGGCTTCGGAGTTCCCAAGGGAACGCCGCAGGGCTGCGAGTTGTCACAAGTCCATGTGCTGCATCGCCACGCCGAGCGGTTTCCGACCAGCAATCTCTTAGACGGAAGAGGCATGGGAGATTTTGCCTCCAAGTTGGTCAACTATACCAAAGCCAGGCCAGGAAAGATGGTGGCTAAAGGCCCTCTGAAGTTCTTAAACGACTGGGAGTATGTGGTTGGAGAAAATACGTTGATGGAAAACGGTGCCGCTACTGAAGATGCCTCCGGTGCCGACTTTTGGATCAAATACGGCAGGCTGTTGTACCGCCCTGGCCGTGATAATGTGGCAGCCTGGAATGAATCCCTGAATGTTTATCCCAATGGTACATCACGGCCAAAGCCCGTATTCCGTACCACTACTCAGGGGCGTATTCTGGAAAGTGCCCGCTGGTGGCTCAGTAAGCTTTTCAACCATCCCCAAGATAGAAGCCATTGAATCTAACAAACTGGAACAGGTGGTTTCTTTGGTAACAGTGGTGCCAATAGCTCCTATGACCAGTATGATTTGGTTGTTATTCCAGAGACCACTGGTTTCTTCAATAATACTCTGGCTTCTTATGTGTCTTGTCTCGGTGACAAGACTGCTGGGTGAGTAACTCTCAAAATCTGCTGTCTCCGTTGGGCGCAACTATGGGCAGGCTATCTGACTTTCTCCGAACCAGCGATGAGTCTGCCCAGGTGTTCATTCCTCGATACACCAAGAATGCTCTCTCCAGACTCGCCAGTTACCTTCCCGAGGACTTCAATCTGACGGCCTACGATGTGCTCGCAATGCAAAACCTCTGTGTTTATGAAAACACCAGTCTAGGGGGCTCGTTTTTCTGCTCCTTGTTCACCGAGCAGGAGTGGAAGGACTTTGCGTATAATGTCGACATCCAGTACTACGGCAACTTCGCATTCGGCTCCCCCACCGGCCGTGCCCAAGGCATCGGCTACGTCTTGGAGCTCGCAGCCAGGCTCGAGGGAAAACTGATCCACTCTAGTGACACCAGCATCAACTCTACCTACGATGACAACACCGCCCAGTTCCCCATGAACCAGCCATTCTATATGGATATGTCCCACGATGATATCATCCTCTCGGTTATTTCCGCTCTCGGTCTTGAGCACTTCAAGTACGGTCCTCATGGTCTTCCCATCAATGTAGACCACGCACCCTCCAACCGGACATTTGCCCTTAATGACCTGACTCCGTTCGGCGCACGATTCATGTCTGAGGTCTGGACTTGTCCCAGCAATGTTTCTTTTGACTCTTTGGATCCAATCCTCTATGTCAACCCGCGCCTAGACTCCATGCGCGACACAAAGAAATACATCCGCTTTGTGCTTAACAATGCCCCACTCCCTCTGGATGGTCTTCTCGGATGTGAGGATTCTCAAAATGGTTTCTGTGCCGTCGATGGGTTCTTGGGTGGCGTCCCGACTCTGAAGGAGAATGCCAAGTACCAGGAGGCTTGTTTTGGTGAATACCCCACTGGAAAGCAGGTAGGAGATGGTGTTCCATATTCATAGACGCCAATCTTGACGAGATTGACTCCAAGAAAGAAGAGCATTCATCTCACGTTGTCGAATTTTGGACATATGTTGTTTCTGAAATTTTGCCTCGAGAGTTCCTGAAATAGATTCAAATGTATAAAATATCCACATGTATAGATATGAGAATAGGTGGAATCAAGCTATCGTGCTGATAATACAGCGCTACATGGTCGTGAACATGGTCTAGATGGAATTGTAGAACCCCGTGGCTAATGCTAGCAAATCACCCTTGGTGGCTAATTAAATCAATGTAAACAAAAGAGTGTAGGAGATGCTTCTGGGTGACTGTCGAATTTTGATATGACGAGGGCCCCATAGCAAGGAACTAGGAAAGCTAGCAGCGATTTCTATCAATTTGATACGTTCTCGTTAACACCACTCTTAACCTCCCCTTGCTGCAATGGTTGGTGTTCTTCAGTTCCCTGTAGTGAAGGGCGTACGTTCTCTTCTTTCTGCTGTACATTCCATATTGCTAATTCATCGACAATCCAATTTTCATCATCACCATCATCAGGCCAGTCGCAGCGAAGTTCAGCTACCGAGTATATCAGTCGTCGCGGCCAGTAAGAGATAACATTCAGGATACGTACATTCCCAGATAGGACGTGGCTCTTCCAATTCTGTACAAAATTCCTCCGAGTAGTCCCAGCAGGCCTCTGACTCACTCACGTCACTCATAGTTGGATAGGCGGGTTCACCACCGGAGCCGGCACGAGCGGGTCCTTGAGGAGTGTCTTCACACTCCAATTTCACATTCTCGGTCGATTCCTTGTTGCTGCCGCATGTGTCCGGTATTGCGTTTTTGCGGGGCGCCGGAAGCGTCTGGGGTAGCTGAACTTCACCTGCCATGCTTTTCTGACATAAATCGACAAAGCCTAAACGAAGGGGATATGAGTGCTCCAGGGTTGACAATATTAGGAACATGGTGTTTCTGTTCCTTCTCACTTGTCCGGTGTCACTGTATCACCATCTGATAAATCACCGTGGTACATTCATTATCACATTGTTCAACTTCCATCATCAGTATTATATGTAGCCACTAAAGACGTTTCCCGGGGTGTCTTGGACGCTCGCTTGGGCATCCATTACAACTGCAATACAGACCTATATAATATAATAAAGGAGCATGGCAATTCTTCAATGTAAGTGTGAGGTGGACTTGGCCAACTTTGATATCCTGTCGTGTTTCTTGTGGGAGTCATCCCATTACATCCGGAGACGACGTTAGGTGATACAACTATACCGCGTTCGCTACTCCTTTCACTAGTTAGTCAGAGTAGTAGCAGGTCGCGGGTAGCCGGTTGCACACTCGTAGCAGGATCATATTGAAGTTGTGGTGGTCTTGTATGCGAATCGTACGATGTTTATCGCTTCAATGTTAGGTATGATTTGTTCATCTACGCCTATGCGGTGCGTCCGACATCCTCTCAGGTCACTTTCTTTTCTGAATAAAAAGGTTTCTGTGGGACCTTCGACACTATATGCATCGTATCCGCCGCTATAAGTGACTTGCCCAGGGCTTGCTGAGGCCACCGATTTCCCCCCGAATCTCCTGTCTCACCACTCCAGACAGCCCCGTCCATGTAACCTTTCTATTCTGCTGCTGTTTCGGGCAGCTTCCACCTGGACTTGAATGTCTTCCGTTAGCTTGATATAGTTCGCCGGATTCAGGGGTGAGTATGACAATGCTCAGAAATGGGCTCACGTTTGGGCTTTGCCCATAGGTAAATAGAGTAGCCTGGCCATTCGCCTCCTGAAACAGACAATTTCCCGTGGTATTCAGTGCCAAAAGGCGACTAACAAACAAACAGAAGGCATTATACCATGAATTCCGACCAGACTACGAAATAGAGCTCGAAATTTCAGATGCGAGGTTCCTACAATAAGCCACTCATGAATCTTAAAGCATCTAGCCTCGAGGGTGTGTCAGGCTTTCGTGAGCTGCATTTCAGTTGAGGCTGATGATGCTTCCTAGTAAAAGAGCATCTTGATTATATGTCTCTCTTTCTTTCCTTTTTCTTTTTTTTTTTCCTCCTGTTTTGAATCTTTCAAACATAAAACATACCTAAGCCGCTGTCCCGCATAACCTGCGCCCAGCTAGTACTATTGTCACTACTCAAAGATTGCCCTTGCTTTTCCCACACTTGCTTGGCTATATTCAGGGCGAACTTGAAGTTCTGTAACCCACTTGCCTTGAACGACCTATTAAACCAGTTTGTGAACCAGTCTCGTAGGGCCGGGTCAAGCGCTTCACATGCCGCGACAAATGCAGCCCATAGCAAAGGGGCGGTAGGGATATCGCCGCAATCACATCGCGACAAAGAGTCTTGAATCTGCCAGACCTTATCTTGCAGGATTGTTGGATCCACATCGTATATTCGCCGGTAGAAGAAGATCAGCAGTGCTTTGTGCAAAGCAAGAACCATATGATTACTCAGTGTAGAGTTGGTCTGAAAGTCACCATTATTATTCACGTCTTCGTCGTCTTCGTCGTGGAAAGGGGTGGAAGGAGGTCTCCATGTACATATACACCGTTCGAGACTACGCGCTCGTGAAGAAAACTGTCTAAAGTCCAGGATACTTGACCCGCCGTCTAGATCGGACATGTCTCGCTCATTCCCGAGGCGCGTCACTTGAGACAATAAGAATAAAAGAGTCTCTGGCATAGCAAACGCATGAGGGTACATGGTAGAATCCCATCGGCCGGGAATCTCAAGATGAATGTCATTCTCACCCAGATGCTGTTCTTTCAGTTCATTCATTCTCTGATCGAGTCGGCCTTCCCATTGTCGAAGACGAAAAGAGCGACTAGAAGCCACGGACGTAACGGTATCTGGCGATGCATCCGTTTCTTGTTGTACACTGGAGCCCCTTACGTGTGATACCGAGGTGCTCTCGTAGAAGATGCGGAGATACACATAACAGTGATGTAACAGCCGCACTTTCCGTGATTTACGTGTCTTGGGTATACCGCGGAAGCGAATCCAATTTTCGCAGTCCAGGAGACATCTCCTAATGCGATCTTCATTACCCTGATATGCCTGCTTATTTCCAAGTAGCTGATTAGTCTTGGCTCACAAAATTTTCATCTGTTTACTTCTATATCAGAAGAGATACCGATGAGATATTCGGTCACTTACGAAGACGGTGTTCATACACATCAAAGCGATGAGGATGTCTTTGTATTTACTCTTTTTCAGGGTAACTGACATATCTCGAAGCGCCATCTTGAGATAGTTCTGCGCGGAAACAGCATATGATTCTGACGGCTTTTGCCAGTATTCACGATGCCCTTGCGATGTTGAAGTTGCGCGCTGCATGTAAGCACCAGTGGCGAGAATTGCATAGAAGATACACAACCGTGCATTGCCTGGTTGCTCTCCCATGGTCAATTGAGCGAAAGTTCCCATGGCACTCGGCACATGCAGAATCTGCCAGGGAGACTTTCTGGATTGGACCGGGGAGAACAATCTGATCACCTGGTTTTTATATACTGATAAGAGAAAAGGCGCATCCGGAGGAGCCAGGCTGGGAATAGTCGGTGTGTACTGGATATGTTGGGACAACGATGGCAGTCCCATCAACATGTCTGAGCCCTCAGTCACGGACTGCTGTGGTGAAATTTCGTGATTTTCTGTCCCAGTGGTGTTGAAGAAGCTTTCCATTTGGAAGTCGCCTGCGGTATTTACATCCATTCCCCCAAAAAGACATTCCATAAGAGGGTCATTGATCAAGGCACCCTCAAACACCGTGTTGAAATCATCCGCGATAGGAACATGCTGAAATGGTGGGGACGTCATGGAAGGGCATGCCAGCGCTTCAGTAAGCCTGAGCTCAGGCTGAGGTGCGCGAAAGGCACCAAATGGCCCAAGGCAAGTATTGAAATGGCTATCGGGATGCTGCTCCTGTTCTTCGCACCGATCATCAATCCGAAACAACAAAGTGGCTGCGTCATCTGGATTCACACTGTCTACCAGCTGTTCACTCATCCTCTGCCGCATGTCTTCCGTGAACAAAGGTCGACGGCATCGTGAGCCTTGCGTATCAATCGCATCAAACACGAGCCTAATCTCGTACTTTTCGCAGGCCAGGCCCAAATTTCGACACACCAAGCATGAGGGACGAGTTTCGTCACATTTCACATGACGGCTACGGCATGTGGCACAGCCTCCGAGGGACCTTGGTCGGGTGGTTGACATGGCAAAAGCTGCCTCTATCCGTTGCCTAGAGTGGTGAGAATTGGGAAAGGTATCCCAGAGGTGTTGAGCATGGGAGCTCGATTGGAGTCGGTTGTTCCGGAATGACTTGCCTTTTTTTTTTCAAACATCAAAAAAGGCGGGGGAGTCGAATCAATACGAGGATCCACTTTCCTGAATCTGATAAGATATCGATCGGTCTCGGATACGTAAGAGAATCCATAGTATGTAGTCTACTAGTTACTACGTAGTATAGTATAGTATAGTATAGTATAGTATAGTGTCTTCCGAAGGTGGATCTATTCAATAGTAAAATTCGTTTTGTAGAATGTTCATACGTATGTATCCATACCAGGGCAGCATCACGATGAACTAACTTCCTGGCAGAAACATGGTCAGAGAGACACAATCTATGCCTTCATGCAAAAACAACTGTGTCAAGGATCCCAGCATATAACAAATTCTCCAAGTAGCTTCCACCCTTGTAACATGCATCACCTTCTAGGACTTGTCCGAGACTGAATGCCAAAAATAAAAACACCAAGCAGCCATCGCATTCCAGCAAGATCTATCCGAAATCGCTTCACCTTGACAGGATTAGTAAATGACCAGAAAAGGGAGGGAAAGAGGATGTTAGAGCTCACCTTCGTGATTATCTCTCGTCATCATTGCCATGTATCACAACACCAACATGACCGCTACGGTGCAGAAGAACACAGCAATCATCATCACTGGGCCTGGCAGGAGTTAGACAGTGCTCCTCAAGGTTCCTTTTTTAGAATGATACGTACCTTCCCGCCCAGCCCATAAGCCTGCAGCGGCTGCAGATTCGGATGAATTTGGCGTGGCCAAGTTCGAGGCAAGAGCCCTGGCAAGCTTGTCACCCATAGTTCTCAGGGTGTCGAAATCTGTGATATAGGTTTTGCCCATGACGTTCTCAGGGAGAACAGCACGGTTGCCAGTGAAAAGAATATCTTTACAGTTCGTGAGCAGCTCCTTCTTTGGGACGTTTCGCCGGTAAGAACACTTACAGGTGACATCTTTAGTCGAATGGGCATTGTTTCCCTGTAGATTCTCCTTGGGGAAGCATGTCCTCGCCATCAGCCATGACGCTTCACCGGTAATTTGGGGATCATCCCCATTAGAGTCGCCGAGGACCCCATAGTACATCTTTTCATTACTGAGAATCGCCGGTTAGATGAGTATTGGCACAAGGGAAGAAGAACATACCAAATCACAGCTGCAATATTATTCCCTGGCAGAATATCCTTATTTGCAGCAAGGAACCTATCGGGAATCACAATGTAAGGCACTGCATATGCAGACAGAGCCCCCCAATTTGTCTGGGGTTGGCCATCTTGATTTCCCTGGAAGAAGCATATCAGAGGGTGTACATGTGTCGCAAATGGCTTGCCAATTACCTCGCATTTATGGTTTACTCCATCGCAATCCACATCCATATCAGCCACCCAGGATAAAGCAGCGCCCTAGAGTTCAGGAGGTCAGCAGTGAGCCTACTGGCGCGGGGCTCTTGGATTCAACGCACCTCTTTAAAGGAAACCCAGTCGCTGTGTATGGTAGACTTTTCCGAGTTACCCAGGGTAAAGGGATATGTTGCGTCCTTCGGAACCACGCTAGCTGCTGCAGCCGCTGCCCGAAGGACTGAGATCGGCAGCGAGTCTGCTGCAGCAAAATCTGTGGCCGGTGGCCCATGACTGGGGTTATTAAAAGCCGACATATCGGCTGTCTTGCCCAGGCAGAAGCTACCGAGTGTGAGATAGAGAGTCAAGAGACTCGAGGTGGTCTGCGACGCCATCGTTTTGTACAGTGCGTACACAGATATTAGTTAAAGTCGGGGGCGGGTGTAAAGAACGCGAATAAGATACGGTAGAAATGGGTATAAGAGCTGAGACTGTGGGAGATCTCATGGAGAAGGATAAATTACCTGAGATTTCGTCACGCAGGGTCATGATTTAATGAGGTCCAGTTAGTTCCCAAGGTTCGCACTCAGGATCTTTCTTTGGCTTCTTGTCATATTTCATTCATTGGTCAAGGCTTTCGAGTAACACAGACCCCCTTTTGTTTGCTTTTTCCTTTTCTTTGTCCTATAAAATGTATCTGTTATTGTATAAAGTCCTCTGGGTGAGGGAAGAAGAGGCGCAGTCATGGTAGTCAGTTATCCATCGCCTGGGTTTTTCTCTCAGGGCGTTCTCCCAGGCGAATCTAGGGGTCATTAACTCGTCATGTGCGACTCTACTAAAGGAAAAGACGTATTCAACACGTACTATAGCTACGAACTAAGTAAAGGGATGTTGTGCATGGAAGCAAGGGATTAGTCATGATCGTTATACGAGGTATTTATGCGTTCTCTCTCTCGATTTATGTCCTATCATGCCAAGAACTTACTAAACTACCGAACGGGCCTTCATTTCACTAAGCTGATAGAACTGTCTTCTTTCTAGGCAGCCTAGTTTGTCTAGATTTTACCGTCTTTTACGTACGCGCGTGAGAGAGAGAGAGAGAGAGAGAGAGAAGAGAGAGAGAGAGAGAAGAGAGAGAGCATCATCGCCAATCTCCTTCACCATGTCCAGAGATTCTTCCCAAGATCGAATTCGACTGCCCACGAAAGTCTTGAATGAATTGGGACTGCTCTCTCTCTGGAAATCCTCGCTAGATGTGAAATTGCTTTGCGCCCAGCGATTTGTTCGGTTATTTGCTTATGGTGGCTCGACGCTCATTTTAGCCTCGTACCTGTCCTCGTTAAACATATCCGATGCCCGTATTGGTCTCTTTATGACCTTAACTCTGGTCGGGGATGTGGTCATTAGCTTCTTCCTGACCCTTTTCGCCGATGCGATGGGCCGCAAAGCTGTTCTGCTGCTAGGCTCAGTGTTGATGGTAGGCAGTGGTGTCATTTTCGCCTTATTCGACAATTTCTGGATTCTTCTGGCAGCAGCAGTTCTTGGGGTGATCAGCCCAAGGTAAGCCCTGGGAATTTGTTCGAATTCTTCATATATATAACCTTACATTGCCAACAGTGGAAATGAAATTGGGCCCTTCCGGGCCGTTGAAGAGTCCACTCTGGCTCATCTTACGCCTCATGAATCTCTGAGCGATATATTCGCCTGGTATTCTCTGATCGGCACCGCAGGCACGGCTCTGGGCATGATGGCCTGCGGGTGGGCCATCAATCTTCTCCAAGTTAAACGGGGGTGGCCATTTATCGCTGCCTGTCAGATAGTCTTTTTTGCGTACGCCGCTATCGGTGCTCTCAAATTCATTCTCGCTGCCACGTTGAGTCACCACGTGGAGGCAGAGAAACAAAAGCCTGCTCAGCGGCAGGATCAGCAAGGCGAGAACGGTGAGACCCAGCCTCTCCTGGGTGGGAGGGCCAGCGGCGAGCAGCCTCCAAAGAAGACAGGCTTCTTTTCTTTCCTGGGTGACAGAGATCTCGTGGCCTTGGTCGTCAGGCTCTTCATTCTATTTGCTCTCGACTCCTTCGCGTCGGGCTTGGCATCTTTGTACGTACTTCATCGGATAGCCGTGTTAGTTCGTTACAATCACTGCAGGACGCCATACTAACGGTTGCAGGTCGTGGATGACTTATTTCTTCAAACGCAAGTTCTCCCTGCCGGAGGGCGAGCTCGGTTCCATCTTCTTTACTACAAGCATTATCGCCGCTGCGTCCATGTTGGTAGCCTCTTCCATTGCCAAGCGCATTGGTAATGTCAAGGTAGCGACATCGTCCAGGAATCTTTTGTCGGCGGGACCAAAGCTAATCAGAGGATACAGACGATGGTCTTCACTCACCTCCCTTCTGCCATCTGTCTGGCTCTTATTCCGGTTCCGAATATCTTACCTCTAGCCTTGACCTTTTTGGTGCTCCGGGCCTGTACCCAGAACATGGATGTGGCACCGCGCTCGGCTTTCCTCGCTGCGGCGCTTCCCTCAGACAAGCGCACCGCTATCATGGGTGCCATTAATGTGGTTAAGACTAGCAGTCAGAGTCTAGGGCCACTCATCACCGGGGTGCTATCGAACCATGGTCTCTTTGGTCTTTCCTTTACCATTGCGGGTATTTTGAAGGCCGTCTATGATATCGGCATGCTACTCAGTTTTGCCGGAACGGAGCCGGTCCGTCGCCCGAGATCTGCTCCGGATGGCGAAAGTGCTTGAGTTGCACTTGAGCTGAAATCCTCCTATCTGTGGGTGTGTTGATGCCACCATGCATTTCGATGAGTGCGATAGCTTATGTCCGCAGTATAAAGTAGAAGAAGACGGAAATAGAGTTCGGAACGTGCTGTTTATTGATTTTCTTTCTTTTCCTTTTTTTTTTTATTTTTTGTCCTTTCCCGCCGTGTTTTACAGTGGGAGCACATTCAGACCAGCATTATAGCAGCAAGCCCAGAAATATGACTGTATCTATGTTACTAAAGATTTTGCTAGAAAAATCCTTCCAACAGACTCCAATTGCAACCCCTCAATGTGATCTTCTGAATCAGCCGTCTCAGTTCGTTTCTTGATTGAAGGTAATTAGTCACGCCAAATCCACCTCCAACAATATATTTGGAATCGCAGTACTATTCACTGGCATTGAGTATGTGAGGTTCCAGTACATGAAGTCACTGGGAGTATGTTAGCCTCCGTGGGTCAAGTCCCAAGTCGCCAAAGAACATACTTTATAGCAGCATCGCTTGCACTGTATGATACCCTCAGCTTCGGGTCAAAAGTGCCGGTCACTCTGACATTTAATCCTACCAGATCTTCCCAGCCTGCAACATCCTTCTTCTGGGCAAACGGAGAGACTAAGAATTGGAACTGGGAGTCTGAAGTTCCCTGTGGGTAGGTTAGGTTAAGATAACCTGGTCCCACGACTGCGTCGAGAGCTTTCTCTGTTGCATATAACTATAAGATGTTATGTTAGGTAGTCCTTTGGTGCCACCTAGAGTAGGGAATTGGCGCATACTGTAATCCAACCAATTCCACTTCCAGTACTCCACTGGACCACCGCCGAGTTGAATGTAGACGGATTCATAGCCGGCCCACCTATAACAGTCTCATTGAAACTTTCTGCTCCCACGCTTATCCTTTCGCCTAACCACGCACTGATGTTCCGGGGGGAATAGTCGTAGGGGATTGACTGTGCTGAAGTGATGACCATGTGCTCCCCAGGGAAGGTCCTTAGAGCATCTACTGCCGTGGCCGGGACCAATGAGTTATGAAAGCTCGAGAGTATAGCCACAAGCGGAGAAATGGCAAAATCAGCGTTATGAGACATCATGTAAACCTAGTCGGTTAGCCTCGAGAAGCCCGGTGCGTAGGAAGCATCTTATACCTTGTCAATAACAGGTGAGGATTCCTTCCCAACCAGGGTCCAGATGTGCGCGGACATAATTCCGAAATACTTTTGCATGTCGAATCCATAGGAGCGGTCCCATGGACCCGCAAGATTCTTGAGCTCTGCGTGATATAAATCGCCAATGTTTCTCCAGGTCGCTTTCAACATTTCCTTTCCTTTTGCTTTCATCACTGAACTGTCTGCAGCGTACTTTGTCCACATCGTCAACGCAATCAAAGAGACGCCAGTATACGTCGCGCTGTTGAATTCCGATAGAGTGTTGGCTCGGTCAAAAAGACCAATAATCTCATTCGCATAATTCTCTCCGGCCAGCGTCATGTTGGCATCTGCGTATCTCTCGCCCGTCCAACCACTCACAATGGCTCTCATCAATGCCTTCATCAATGTTGATCAGACAAGCTCAATCTTTGTACCACACGAAGCCAAGTCATCTCTTACCGGATTAGTATATGAGGGATATAGATTGTCACCGTGGACTCCTCCAACTCGGTAGCTATCTCCAATGGTGCTATTGTAAAGGGATTCAAGCATGAGTTGTGTCACATCCGGGTGGACCAGATGGGGAAACTCCTCCAAAGCGATGATAAAGGCCGTCCCAATAAAGCCTCTCCAGTTGGGGTCCCAAGTGTCATATAAGCTCGATTGATACGCCGAAGTACCCACGGTGGGCTCCTCGGGGTACACGGGGTAATCTCCATACCTGTCTAGGTGAGCAAGTAGCCAGCACTCAACGTTCAACCACAGACCCACCATTGATCCGTAGGGTCCTTGAACTGCGCTTCGATCACATTCTGGATGATTGCCATCGCCTGCGCCACATCATCATTCTGGTTCCGAGCCAACAACCCCACTGCGTACCAGACGGACGCCCTTGTGTCGTGACGCAGAGCTGTGGCCGCACTAGGGCTGAAGACATACGCGGCTATCGGGTCATATATTCGATCTAGATAGTCCATCGATTCTGAAAAGAGCTGACATGCCTCTTTGGACCACGTTTCGGAGCACAAGCTACCCCAGACTGTCGTAGCACATGCTACAAGAGCCAGGACCCTGCAAATGATCGATCTCATATTCAACAACATCACTTTGTTCAAGTAAGATGCGCGAAAGGAGTGTTTGGGACGCTGCCACCAGAGGGGGGCAGCTGGGCCGAGTTATAAATATGTGCGTACATTTTCCTGATAGGCGGGTCAGTTCTATCAGGCTGTGAGAAAAGGGCTTTCCAATACACACCATCCCTTCCCTTTATTTGCGGGGTGGGAATGGTTCCAGTCAACTAGATCGATCTGTTGACTACATGAATTACATTAATTGGTGCGAAATCCTACCACGGAAATTTGCCCGGTGCGGAACTGGTCGTTTACAGTTTAGTACATTTATAAATATATTTCTATGGAGGGTTGTTTTTAAAAAAAAAGAAAAAGAGGTACAAATTCTCGGAGTTCATCCGATGCTCCTCATATCACAGCATCAACTTAAACGCCGGGTCTCTGTCATCATTATAACCCATGTACTGTGCGTATTTACCCTTCTTTTTGTCCCTGTTTACCTTGGCACAATACAAGATGTTAAGTAGAACCCTACGGTGAAAGGTTAGCCGTCATCTAGATCCGACATAGCACGTATGTACTTACATGAACCATGCAAAAACAAGGAGGCCTAGAATGATGGTGTGACCACGGCGATACTGGGGTTTGTCCTGGTCAGGATAGTTGAACGCTAGACGGTCGCTCGTTAGTGCATAGCTTTCTGGGAGGCCCACAACCAGACCAACTTACTAGCAACAAAACCACCGCAGTTGGCGATCGTCAGCTGCATCGCTGACGTTGTCGCACGCTTATAGTGTCCAGCTGAATTATTTGTATTCCACACCAGAATACATGGGACGCTACTATACATGCCAGTGGCCATAAGGAAGGTCATTCCATACTTGACTTTGGCAGACTGGATATTGGCAATAGCTCCGTACCCAGCAATGGCAATAGGCAGAGTGAAAAGCATAATAGGGCCTCGCAGCTTCAAGCGATCCGAGATAAAAGCCACAAATACTGTTGCTCGTTAATCCCATCATTATCGCGGTCTATAGTTTACTTGACCTACCTGTTAAGACGGCTGCGACAGCATATGGAATCACCGTCCACAACTGCACGGCGTTTGGGTCGGTTGCAAAACCACTTTCGTCGATAATAGTAGGTAGCTAGATAAGACCAGGCCTCTGATCAGTTATCTCCTGGAGAAGTTTGTAGATCAACCAAACATACAAACAGCCCGAACGAGTACAATCCGGACAATATGGCAAAGTACGCCGCTGCAGAAAACCACATCTGCGGGTCTAGCAGTCCCCTTCGCACTTCAGACCATCTCAGGGTCTCTGATTCATCTCCCGAGGAACTTCTTTCCTGTTAGCACAATTGCTTGGATAGGAAAGGAAAAAGAAATAATCAAGAAATTGGGGAGAGGGGGGGCCGCATTCCTAGCATGTCCGGTACAAGGCAACTGACCCTGCAATTCATACGGGGCAGAGAGGAAGACATACGTCTGGGGTGCGGATGGGTCATCAAGCATAATCCTCTCTTGTGCAAAGGACCGTTCTTCGGGGGTCAAAAACGTCGCGGTTTCTAAACTATTTGGGAGACCAATATAACTGAGGCAACCGCATAAGAATGTCTGCTTAATGTTAAGGTGGGCCAGTGCCATCTTTCTCATGTATAAAATTGCCTACCAGTAGGCCCTCAATAATCAGAATCCAGCGCCAGCCCTCCAGTCCGCCCCGAGAGCCAATTTCGGCCAGTCCACGAGCTAAGAGCCCTAGTATGGATCATCATACGTGAGTTCCATGGGGAAGATGGGGAGAAGATCAACTTCATACAAAATCATACCTCCAAAAGCACCAGACAACGACGCAGCGGTGTAAAACAATCCAATACGCAAGGCTAGGTCCCCTCGTCTGTAGAAGAACGATAGATACAGTACCTAATCGTATCAGTCTCGTATAACGAAGGGGAAGGAAGGACATGCCTACCATCCCAGGGAGTAATCCTCCTTCCGCAACGCCCAGAATAGCACGGACAGCCACAAAACCCGCAAAATTGCGAACAAAGCCGAGGCACATAGTGACGACACCCCAAACCATAGTGAGCAACGGTAGCCAAATTTTCGGTGATGCCTTCTTCAGAATGAGGTTGCTCGGGAGTTCGCTTACGTCGGGAGTGTCCCGGTTAGCCTAAACGAATTGTGGCGCATGGATATACATGCGATGATGTTGGCTCTTCACATACCTGCATATGTATGTCAGATAGAAAACTGCCAAGCCTATATCATATTGTTGACCAGTGATGTTGAGGTCGTCCTCGAGGCCGAGGATCTTCGCATTGCCGACATTTGTACGATCCAAGAAAGAGCATAGAAAAAGCATGGCTAAGATTGGAAGAATCCTGTCGAGACAATTTCTCAGCAATTCTGTGGAGGTCTAGGTACTCTATGCAAGCTACCTTGTATCCAATTTGAAAAGAATACTCCGGATCAACCTCTTCTGGGTTGTGTCACCAGCAATTGCCCCCGTAAGTAATGTGGGCTTCGCATCTTCAACCAACTCTGTGCTTTGCTTTATGGACTCCATCATGATACGGGGGTGAGAAAACCATCAAAGTTCTTCAAGAACGAGTCAGAATGAGACAAACGTGTGATAGAGAGAGAGATATATATGTATATATATAGGGTTGAAGGAATGCGACAAACATGGATCAGCATTCTCGGGGGCCACTTTTGACAACCGATTCTCTCTGGTGGCCCTTTTGGCCTTCGAAGTAAAAGAAAAAAGAGAAACAAGCAAATACGGCTTTCTTTCCCCGCATTTTCTTTTCCTTTCTTTTGCTTTTCCCCAGGCTAAGAAAGCTTAGCGTGGGGTAGGTAGTATTCGTACCATGCATACTGTAAGATAGTGCATGTATGTATGTATGTATGTATGTATGTATGGTACCTTACATGCGGTATACGCTGAACGGGTATCGGCGCCACTCGGGACCAAAAGTCTCATCGGTATCCATTTCTAGTGCCGAGGCATCAATTCGAGAATCCAAACATGAATAGGTTCATCCCCCGCCTTCTTTCTTCTTCAACTTTCCTCCAACCACAAGTTCGCCGGCTTTAAGTGAATCAGAACAACATGCCCAAGTTACCCAACAATTTGAAAGCACTGATCAACGCCCCGAAAGCACGCCCGAATACGGTTCCAGCTCCACCCAACATCCGATCCGTTTACCAGAAGATTCAACAGACGGCACAATCGAACAATGTCTCGCAGCCATCCTGGCTAGCTTTGTCGGTTAGTACCGCACTCTCGGTCTTCTATACCACCAAAAAGGGAGGGGGGAACACATTCACTCCAGAAGATACTCATTTCCTCCTAGACAGCCGCCACGATGACGATGAACTCCCCCGAGTCCCTTGCCATTCTCTTCCAACTAGCCACAACTTCCCAGCCCATAGATGAGGGTGTAGCTGTTGCTGAATTGATGCGGGAGGTTGGCCTGAAGTGTATTAGCTTCAATGGCATCCCTCGCACCATCAACTGTCTCAACACCTTCAAGGCCAGCCTTCCGGATTCAGTCACTGCGAAACTGTCGCGGTCTCCCACCCGAGCCCCAACGCTGGAGAATATCAATGAGATTGCCCACCGCGGCCGCGCTTTGTGGGACTCGATTTATCGCCCATTTGAGTCAAAGCTATACAGCAAATTAGCCGACTCTCATCCTGATCTACCCGTCCATATCTTGAACAGTCATTATGGAGCGCTCTTGTCAGATCCAGCTAATCGACGTACTGGTGCAACTGCGGGTAGAATTTCAACTTCAATTGTCGCCGTTGCATGCCTGCGTGCTCAAACAGGCGTTGGCCCGCAGGTGACATCACATGTATTTGGGCTGCGCAAAGCGCTCGAGGATGGGACCTGGGTGGGGGACGTCGAAAGCGAGGAGGGGGCTAAATGGCTTGCAAGCGACGAAGGCAATACTTGGATATTGAAAAGCGTGGATGATATCGTGGAGTCGATCAGCGAAGGGACAGGATCCAATTTCGCTCCATCTAGGGGCTCCAAACTCTAAATGCAGCGAGCTCGTAAAGCTCAGCAGTCCGTTATTGTACTGCACATATATAATCACGGTTGATCCACACCGCGTCACAGCTTTCTAACATTGATATCTATATATTCACCTGAAATTATGAGCATCTCTCAAAAGAAAAAGGTGAAATATCCATTCACTTTTCGTGTCACAGATCCCCCGGTCTACAGTATCACTCCATGAGCTCCAGTTGCTTTGCGACGGTGAACGTCGCCCCCGTCTTGCTCTGGACTTCCTCGATCTCGACACCAGGAGCAAGCTCTGTCAATAATAGTTCTCCATTGTCCCGGTCGACCTGGAAGACGCACTGTAACCAAAGTCAGTCCATCTATTCGAATCCTTGTCCTATTTACCTCTCCTTACCAAATCCGTTATAATTGTGCTCACGCAATTCGCACCGGTCAAAGGCAGCTCGCATTCTGACACAATTTTCGGGGATCCATCCTTGGCCGTATGACTGGTAGCTACCACGATCTTCGTTCGGTCAGGGTTAGAGATCAGATCCATGGCTCCTCCCATACCCTTAAAGACCTTCCCAGGAATCATGTAATTCGCTAAGTCGCCCTTTGCGCTGACTTGCAGAGCCTGTAGACCAGTTAGACAAACCTCGCCTCTACAGAGGTCCACAGGTGAGGAATGACTTCACAGACCCCTAAAATGGAAACATCTACATGCCCGCCCCGAATCATCCCAAATGACTCGCTACTGTCAAAGGTTGCAGCGCCGGGAACCAGGGTAACGGTTTCTTTCCCAGCATTTATGATATCTCTGAGGGGGATATTAGACGAGAAGGAAATGATGATCGAAATGAAACACTCACGGATCAACTTCGTCTTCTGTGGGATATGGGCCCTTGCTCCAGTCAGCTGCCTTTCTAATGTTTGGATGCATCAATGAAAGCCCAACGCACCATGCCCAGAAGCCCATTCTCGGACTGTACCCAGACCTTGACACCTTCTGGCAAAAAGGATGGAGCCAGTGTAGGAATTCCTATTTAACTATGAGCCGCGGACACACTATGAAGGGCTGGTTTGCACTGACCAACGCCTAAGTTGACGTAATATCCCTGCTTAAGCTCTTTCGCCGCCCGCTTAGCAATTCGATTTCTTTGCATCATGGCAGCGTCCTTGGTCAGTTGCATAGTATCAGCGTCATCGGCTGACCGCAGCTTTTTGAGTTCAATAGACTTCGGGGTTGTGGCGGGAACAATCCTATCCACAAATATTCCCGGCAAGTCTACATCATTGGGGTCTATAGAGCCAACAGGGACAATTTTCTCTGCCTCGACAATTGTAAGAGTGGCTGCTTTTGCCACTAGGGGGCTAAATGCCTTGGTAGTGTAACTAGAAACACTTAATATCAATATCGCATGTATATGCTAGATCAAGATCATTCTTACCGGAAAACACAATTTCCAGCCTCGTCTGCCTTCCATGCTCGAAGGATAGCAACATCACCAGTGAGGGCACTTTCCATTAAATAAGTCTTCCCATTGAAAATCCTCGTCTCGCGAGGCTTGCCATGCTCCAGAACTTTACCGGATTTGTCCAGACGAACGGGGATCTGTCCCTCCTGAAGGAATGTGTCTAAATTTGGCGGGTACTTGTCAAAACTTGACCATATTCAATCTTAGGGTGAGCAGGCAAAAAGGAATAGGCAAACGGGAAGAGAATGGAAAAAAGACACTTACGAGCTCCTGTAGGAGTGAAAAACGCAGGTATTCCTGCGCCCCCCGCACGTAGCCGCTCCGCCAACGTTCCTTGGGGGCACAGTTCGATAGCAATATCCCCCGTCAAGTATTTCTTCTCCAAGGCTTTGTTGTTTCCGAGGTAAGACAATATCAATCTATTTACCTGGCCAGCTTGGGTCAGTGTAGAAAGGCCTCCTTTCCCTGGGGCGCCAGCATTGTTCGAAACTGCGGTCAGGGAATGCAAGTCCTTTGGCCCCCGGCGATGAATAGCAGATATAATAGTTTCTATGGTTGGCACATATCAGCCCTAGACGTTGTTTTCAGACACAGGTCATGTCTAATCACCTGCAACACCACAAAGTCCAAACCCCGAGCTAAGGATGGTAGATCCGCTTTTAAGGTCAGCTACAGCATCATCCGCATTTCTGAAAAGTTTCGATGCAGCACGGTCGATTGTCGGCATTCGCGCCAGTTGCTCCGCCGTAGCTGTTGAGTATCGAGCAAATTTCTTAATATCCGTCCGAGGCAACAGCGGCACACTGGATCTGCAGTATGTCTTTAATTGGGACCATGGCCGAGCGACTGGGAGCGCTCTCCGCGACAATGACAACACTGAGACCCGTACTGTCGTCATTGTCTTCGTCTTTAGTAGATTGCCAATAATCTTCACTCAAGGCCTTTTGGGAATTGAATTTAGAAAGGGAAAAGAGAAACGAAAACAAGACAGGGCAATGGGAAGGGAATGAAGTGCAAGAGCTTTGTTTTGTGAACCGGTCGAGGAAACGGGATCGGCGCTCGGAGCTACTTCTGGGCGCGACGGGATGGGATCGGCTCCTTTCTCCCCTCAGTGTTGTTAGAAGCCAAAGTCAGTTACATTTCCAATATCCAGCCAGTCCCAACTCATTAAATCGTCCAGTGGAACATCCGGCACACCCGTCCCGAAGGTGATGCCCGCTCGGTTCACAGCATCGATGATCTGTCCATCAGACATAGCCGAGAACTGCAGCGGCTCTGACCAAAATAAAGGTGAAAATGGCGGTTGCGACACTGGGGGCACAGTGCCGTACCCGTCAAAGGCTAATGGTGATCTCAGGGTCGCCTCGGCCGGCATCCGTGGTTCGTTTTGATTCTCGGAGCCTCGTCGAACTAGCTCCCTTAGATACCGTCCGTAAAGCACAGACGCACCGTTCCTATGACTGGGGGTCGCCCCGATGCGCTCCAGTACGCCTGCAGTTTCCTCGATCAAATTCCGTACACTTGGGGCCAGGCTGGATCTGGTATCCGTTGGCACCACACTGAGGCTGAGGGCAGAGCATGCGGCGAATGAAATCATAATGACCGTGTTGTTTGGCATCGATTTTAATCGTGATTCTCCTTGGATAGCTGCCCTCATTACATTCAGCGCTGAGGAAAGGCCGGCCGCTCGGAAGAAACGCTTTACCTCAAGTGGCGCCGTGGGATGATTGATCACACCACCATACGTTGATAATCGTGTGTGGGTAACTAGAATTTCCACGTACGGTGGAAGGGAATACGCTTTGGCCTGAATCAGTCCTCCTCCAAGCACAAGACTGCCTGGTTCAACAACGACCAGGAAACTTACATTGACCCTCCCCAATCGCCGGTCCCCATGTTTCATACCAGCGATCATAGAAACTTTCTATCATGGTCTTAATCCTGAAACCTTCGTTAGCAACCCATATGATCAACACGTGGCAAGGATTGTGTATACGATTGAGCAGCTTCTGAGCCAGCATCGGTGACCCGGTAGTTATCGCAACTGGACTTGACCTTCTTGAATAGATCATCCTAATATAGCATTTATTGAGATGCATGATCTACCAACCAACACGTATCAGAACGACATACCAGATTTCTTCGGAGGGCCGCCATCGAATTCATAGGCCCATCACGCGCGTCTGCAAAGTTCGAAACATGCCATCGGTCACAACTTACGATGAGGGAAGTCTGGGGAACAGTGTAGCTTCTTCCGCGAGCTAAACATACGCTGTAGGGGTACATTAGTTATAGAGGGGATGATTGGCATACAAAACTCAGAGCAGGGCTACTTACCCTCGTTCTAAAACGAACAAAGCAATCCAGGTCCTTTCACGTCGTCGCAGCAGCCTCTGGCCCCATTCCGAGTTTGGATCGACATTATCAAAACCATCCATGTGCAATGCTCTCTTTGCGTCAATACAGTCGGCCTTGGCAAGCCGTCTTATAACGCCGTTGTCAAAGCTAGTAGATGGTAAAACAATCTTATTTAGAGACAAATCCAGTGCAATTGCAAGGGCCATCGCAATGTAGGAGCAAGTGTCGTCGTCACCCAAGTAATTACCATGGGCCATCCAAGGAACATTCACCATGAAAGCTAAGACTATTTCGACTGATCTGAACCGTTTGGTTATGACCATCTGAGCCAACGACTTACAGTGTCTAGACAGCCTCTTCGATAGCGCGGCCGCTGATGGTAAGAACAAAGCAGCCGCGGCCATTATTGATGTGAAAAGGAAAGCCGACTGTGAACGTACAAAAGACGTAGTATGGACGACGGGATCAAGGCCCCATCGAGTATGAGCAAGGTCTTGATAAAAACTAGAATGATGCATGAGCCCAGGTTGTGCAGGTAGATTCGAGGGCAGATATGTAACCATACAAGACAAAAAGAGACTCGGCTTCATCGAGGGTGACGAGGCCTAGCTCGACGGGGTCCATGTCTGGGCCAAGGTCCAAATGCGCCTTGACGGGGACAAAAAATAGTCTAGCCATGGAGGAATCGTCTTCTGCGTTATTATTCTGTGGCGGTGCTGTTGGCTGTAATGATTCCAGAGGACGCCATCTCTGGACACTACGCACTTCAGCCGGTGGTAGCTGAAGGTCAGACGCGCGCGCCAGTAGTTGCAGCGGATTCTCTGCATCGTCCAGTGACAAACCGTCACCTGTATCAACCCCATGGGGAGAATGGGGGCTGTGTGGCCGGTCGGTGTCCTCTGATAGCTCATCGGCCTCGGTGTACAGCTGGTTACTTTGTGTCTTGTTCAGTAAGTCTTGGAGATAGGATGTGATTTTCTGTGCAGCATCAGATTCGGGTGCATCAGACTTAGGTCGCCTGATAGCCTGTTCTATTTGATGTAACGCCTTCTCAAGGCCTTTACGTTTGCTAGAAATTGAAATAATTATCAGCTGGATCCTTAGTACAACAACTTACGGGTTTATACTTTTTGACTCCTTTCTGCCTGCCAACATGATGACTGGGCACGATGCATTCCACAGCGGCCTGCCTGCACCTATCACAGCCTGCATCCCCTGGCGTGCGGCTGCATCGGACCTTGCTCTTTCTGCAGTTGAGACATGCGGCCTGTCTGGCATGGGATGTCTTGTTGAGACTCGGTGCCATCACTATGTCGTCCATCCTCTGCACAGGATAACGAGCGTTCATCATTGTCCCTGCGAAGAGAGTTCGAGTGTCTCCATGCGTTGTATGTGGTTTGATATGGCTACTATGATTCATAAGGGAGGTATTTCATTGACCCATGATATATGGATGCAGTGATAACTATGAAGCGGCAGATGAACAAAGCGTCTTCAGAAGGTTAGGGTTACTTTATGTGACAGGATTAATTCGCGGCAACTAGCCGGACGTGTTCGCGTTAAGTGGGGTGCCTAGGCAGGCCGGATTTATTGGTACTCAAGACTGGTGATGGACTGCGGATATTAGGGGGCAAGTAGTGCGCAATGGGTGGGGTTATGGACAGAGAAACTACATAAAAACAAAGTTGGAGGGAGAATAAACAAAGAAGCAAAAAATAAAGCCGAACGCGGGGGTCGAACCCGCAACCTTGAGATACCGTGATGACTAAGAGTCTCACGCTCTACCGATTGAGCTAGCCCGGCTGTTCTTACGTAGACATATTCAAGTCTTACTATATAAGGCAAAATAAATAAGTTTTGATTCTCCCCTGCTCCTTCTTCCTCTTCAGCAACTCTTATTCACCTGTACTAGTTCTTGGAAAGCATGCAGAAAGAATAGGCGGCACCTTTAGACTTAAATTCGAATGTTTGATGGTAGCAATAGAATAGTTGTGGGCAACTCTACCTATGTTTGACTTACTATCTGGTTATACAGATTGTATGCTACAGGGCAGCCGAAATATATAGTTTACTCACACGAAATGAGAGGCGAAATTCAAAATCGAGCTCAAAACACTTATTCGGGCTCCAAAAGCTATGGACGGCACTACAAATCTCGGGCAGTTCTATGCGATCAAGATAACAGAATTGTAAGCCTGGCTGGCTGTTGCCTTGACTCAGAAGGAAGAAAGCCAAGGACAAAAAAGAAAATCACAAAAGAAAGAGGACAAGAAGACACCAGGTACTCCGAGTATACATTGAAGTCCAAAATCGAATCTACGCCAAGCGTTCACCCATAAGGGACCAATACATAATTAACAGAACGGGGGACGGGAAGTCCTGGAAAAACAAGCGACCTGATAACAAATGTGAACAGGTGGGCATAACTTCGTTAAAGTCCGCACGATAGTAGCAAAGCCAACATAATGACGGTCGCACCGGACCAACCACGCAGCAAAGGAAATCGCTGACAAGAGAGATGGACATGAAGAGGGAGTTCAAGGATCAGCTGGCAGCCCTTAAAGCTCGTAGCCTGGCGCCCAAGCCATCCTCAAGGTCTGCCTCGGCTTCCTTCTGATTCTTGACGTCCTCTTTGGGGGCGGTGTCTGCATCCAGAGCCATGCGTAGGTCCACGCCCGCATCATCCGCAAGCTGCTCCATAAGGCGGTCAACGTCGGCTTCACCCTCAGCACCGTATTCTCGCATGGAGACACCTTGTGCAACATCCTCGATTGCACTACTGGCGATTTTGAAATCCTCGGAACGTGCTAGAAAGTTGTTTGCATGGGAGACTAACGCCTCAAGATTCACGCTCTTAGACGCAGCATCCAAGCCCCGAGATGCTAGGGCTAAAGTGCGAGATGTATCACGAGTACTTTGTGCTGCCTTGAGCTCGTTGATAATAACATCTGCGCGAGCTGCTTCCTCCTTGAGGGTTACCTGTCTTCGTTTCTCGCGTACTGCAGAGGCAGCGTGGATGCGGGCGATTTGGAACTCGCGATTTTTCATGGCCTTGTCTGCTTTTGCCTTCTCGGATTTGAAAGTCGATTCGGCGCGAGCGGCCTCTTTCTTGAGCCGGTTGGAGTGTAACTGTTAACCAAGGAAGCCGGGTTAGTCAACCATATAAACAAAAGCGAAAACAATGAAATATATAGACAACGGGCAGGAAAAGAGAGGGGTGACGGAGTAGGGAGAATAAAAAAGGGAGAGGAAGGAGACTTAGAATCCACCTACCTTCACATTAGTACGTGCTTCGAAGATGGGATCCTTCCGAGCCATATTGTCGGTCTCTAAGCTTCGAAGGTTATATATACTATGGCAGCCCGGTAATGATTGGTTGTGGGGAAATAAAAAAAAAGAAGAATAAGAAGTAAGTCAAGAGGCTGACAGAGAGATGCAAGAAAGGCCAAGAGGGAACCTAAAGGGAAAGCGGGAGGCAACATGGGCTCAGGTTCAATATCGGAACTTAGAATAGAGGGGCCCTTTGCGTGGCAACGTCATCCGGCTTTCCACATGAAATGGCTACAACCTAGCATGACCAACATCCCTACGCCTGTTCTTGAGTTTCCAACGATTAGGACAGCATTTCTTGTCGCTTATAAAAGAATCATGCCTCTCTAGAGTTGCTGCGTTGCGACTGCCAAAGCGTATATATAGAAAAACACAGGGAAACTAAAACTTAAGACTGAACCCGCTCAGTCGCTCGCGGTCTCTTTATTTGAAATCGTTGAAAATTATTATACAGAAAAAAAGGCCCTCAACAATCCTTGCCCGTAAGCGGAGACGTCAACGTCTCAGTATTATTTGAACTCCATAAACTCCGGATATTCCTCTGACGCTTCCCTAGATTATTGCGCCGATCAATCTGCGACGTCCTCAAACCACGTAAAATTCGTCTGCGTCGTCCCGGGTTCTCAAGTCGGTCTATCGCCCATGATAAGGTTAGGAGCGACTCCCAGCCCCACCGAACCCCCTGGGTATCGGTGACCGACATGCTTCCCTGAGAGAACTTTTCGCTAACAGCCAGCTGCAATGCCCTGCCCGTCGCATCGCGTAGTGGACGCGCCAAAGCTGGGTTGCACGCTAGAAGTCTTGCAAGAAGTCTCATCCGGAAGCCCGTGGGCCATTTCGATGCCTTCGAGGGTGACGGGTTCGGAGTCGAAATTAACCAAAGAATCAAATGGAAATGCTGATAGATCTCCTCCTTCGAGAACGTCAAAGGCAAGCCCGTCTTCAAAGACAGAAGAATCTGGTTCAACGGATGAATCACCGTGGAATAAGCGGTTGAAGTCATCGTCAGAAAGAGGAGCTGCAACGTCATCTGTAGGGTGATATTTAAGGTCTGAGCTGAGGTCGAAAAGTGGGAGGGCGCCTCCATCTCCTTCGAGCCCAGCGACGGACACTGCAGGTCACACAACACCGCTGCAGGATGTTGTGCCACGTCGGAGGACTCAGCCAGAGTGGAAGGTTTCAATGTAGGGGAGTAATCGCTAAGAGAGGGAGAGGGAAACGGGATGCGTTCGAGAGGAAGTTCGCCACGCTCTTGTTTGAACAAGGTAGGTGTAAGGGTGGGAGATGTTGTCGCTGGAGAGCCTGGCATCGGGGTGTTGGCACGAGAGCCGCGGACCTCAGCGGCCAATTGAGCAAGCTGTTGGCTTAAGCGATTGTTCTCTGCTTCCATCTGAGATAGTCGCTGAAGCAGGAACTGATTCTGTTGTTCCATCTGAATTTTTTCATTCTCCAGCTTCTCCATTTCCAGCCTTTTGCGCTCCCTGGACGTTTGAGCTGCGGCACGATTTCGAAGGACGCGCTCAATGCGACGCTGCTCCTTCTCGTCCTCCGTTTTGGCACGTTTCCTTTGCATGTCAGCCATCATCCCAGGGCATCTGTTTGAACCAAAGCGACATACCTCGGAGGCAAGTTGGTCTTGGGAACTGGTAGTTCCTGGCCCCACGACTTCCGCTTCTTCGCGGGCTTCTTCTCTTCTGATTTGACTTCCTGCGTCTTCACATCTGCGCTATCCAACGATGTGTCGGCCGGGGAGACCGTCAACACCGGCACCTCCGATGCCGGGGACGAGGGCAATGATTCTACTGAAGACATAGTGTTCTCCCTATCACAAGACATAATGATTCTAAAGTGGTCGTAACTCTAGAGAACGCGTGATGTATTCGCTCTGCCAGAGGGTGGGAATAATAATAATGAATAAAAAACCCCCTCAGAGCGTACTTCTCTTTCAGAAGATGTAATATGATCACTTCCACAGGCCCAGATCACAAGGGTAAAGGCCACGGTGTCATAACGGTTGAGTGAGCGGAGGCTAGGCCCCGATTCAATTTAGGGTAGAGGGAGAACCAGTAACCGCAAGTGGGATTGTTGAAAAAGGACAAGTGTTCAAAATCAAAAGAGGGTAAAGGTGGTGTGAAGGCCAGAGTGTCTTCTCTGGAGGTGGACTTGGGGGAATGGTTGGCTCTTTAAAAGGCCAACGTGGTCTCATCCGCCGCGCCCCCTGCAGCAAGGGGCGGAGTCCTGGTCGTCAGCCTACCTAACGGTCTCATTACATGAATAATACGGGGCACGGGGCGGATTCCCTTGACCCATTCCGTTGAACCGGTACTGAGTTTGTAATCCGTATTATTGACGGGCTGGAACGACCAGTCATCGCCCAGTCCCACACCCATCATCCTCTTTACTTGCGACAAGTTACAACCTCTCCCAGGGGTGGAGCCCCTTTTCTCGCCCCTTTTGGAGGCCTCGGCCTCCGTGTCTGATAGAGAATACCCAATAGGCTCCTTCAATAATGTGGGGGAGAGGGTGAGGCTTCAGTTGATGCCGCTGCCTGGAGCGCCTGAACTTCTAAAGTTGGAATACGAGTGATCTGCTTCCCCCAGTATCTGTCGGATTCCCGTCGGTTTGATGATACAATGGATGGAGGCACTACTGATCGTTTTCTTTTGTTAAAATCTTCCGATACATCTGTCCAATCCCCCCGCCTTCCGGGCCCAAGCAAGAAAAGCATCTTTCTCTTTTTCCTTTTCTTGTTGGTGCTGTACCTACATATTTGTGCCTAGAATGTGGATACCTATCCTCCTTCAGCTTTCAATGGGAAGGCTCCACTGGAAGTTTCAATGGAAGTCGTGAGGGTTTCATTCACCCTGTAACAATGAAAATGGAATGCACCAGAATCCCCTCGCCTCTTTTGAGTTCCCGTTTTTCAGTCACGCACCTACAAATAATTCCTCATTTCTGCCTTGCGACTCCGTTCTGAGCCACGCAATATACCTCGCAGTAGTAGGCTGAGGTACACGCATAGCTCGAAATGGGCTACCGAGTCTATGGTATGATATGGTATGTATGTTAGGTGAAAGGTATGTATCCCCATGTACGCTGTACTTACTGCAAGGAGTCCATACATTTGGTTTCTTGGTTCGTGTGATGGTCTTGTCTTTTACATACTTATCTAACCCCGTCAATCTCTGACGAGTGGGGAGCATGAACGAAGAGAAAGGCGTAATAAAAATAAAACCCTGTTCTCTCGCGATTAAAGAACGTTTCAACGAGGTGATCTACCGAGTATACCCCATCAGTTACACCGTTTAGTGCCAATTTGCTTGTATTCGTTTTGTCCCACTGTCCACTTTTGTCCCGAATATCATCGGCAATGAAACAACACTTTACTTGATACCATGGGAATATATACAAAAACCAAAAGAAGAGGTAAAGAAAATACATCATGCCATGACAACGCCGATCCAGATCGCGACTCAAGTTCAAAACCATAGAGGTTAGACGGGAAAGGGGGAGGAGATGAATAAATATTTATCCATGTATACCACCTACATGGTAACGTCCATCGTATCGTCTCCAGCATCGAGGGCGCCTTGCTTCTCGGGATCAGGCACGACAACACCTCGACCTCGGCCAGCCAACAGCTCCCGCCTGACTTCGGGGCCAATATCTTTATGTCCGCGCACCAAGAGTAAGTCCAGAAGCGCCTCTCGTTGATCCTCAGTGATGTCATTGCGGTAACGCTGTGCGAAGACCAAGAGTGACTGGTGCCAAAGAACGGGAAGCTTATACGCTTTGTTGGTGTCCCGTGAACGTCCATTCGTCATCATTGAGTCCTCATCGTTGTCGCTCGCCCGGAACCGTAGGAAGTGGAAGACTAGCGCATCGATGACTTTGTAAGGAAGCGCGTACTTTTTCTCTAAGAACACCCTAATGAACATGTTCACCGCGCCGGTGCTTTCCAGTGATCTCAGAGACTGCTCCGCAGCAAGATCACACATGCGCAACAAAGCGGCCGCGGAATGCAACACTGGGATGGATACACGGGCAATGACCGAGGAGACGATATGGGCTTCGCGTAACGTGCAAGTGCCACTAGAGACAAGAGGGAACAGTAGCCCCTTGAAGAAGCAGGCGGGTTTGTATAGTGCCTTTCTCAATGAGTTATACGTATGCACATTAAGTTTCTTAGTCTCGTGGATTTCTTCTCGAACCCGATCTAGGAGTACTGTTGAGATGAACTCCTGGGCAACTGCGGGTTTCGATGAGATGAAGATCCTGGTTCCGGCATAAACGGCGTTGGCGGTCCATGATTCCGGTCGAGTGATGGAAAGGAGAGTCGGCCAATTGGGAACAGAAGGAAGGATTTTGAAAGGCTTGGGAAGTGGTCCGGATTTGTAGCGGGAGAGTATCATACCGACTCTAGACTCCTATTAATATTTAGATTCATATGGGAGAGGTGATATTCATGCTTACTTCTCATATACTTCGACTGCCTTGGCTGGTATCTGAACTGCATCTTCCGGTAGCCCTCCGCCCTGAATGAAGGGGCCGTTATCTCCGTTTTGCTTTGCTTCATGTTCGGCAATCTTCTCAAGGATGAGATCGGCTAAATTTGTGCTCTGACCACCAGCGCCCTGTTCACTAGGATTGAATATAGGATCTTCGTCACCACCGGGAACGAATTTATGGAACATGTCAAGGTCATTTGGATCGACCTCCTATGTGAGACATTAGTCATAGAATGGGGTATCAAGGGTTAATTCAATAACAGACCACTTCCTCAATTTCTTCCTCATCGCCCCATTGGTCATCCTGAAACTTTTCATCATCAGAAAGAACTTCATCGTCATCAAATCGAGATTCGAAATCAAATGCTGTATTATCTTTCCCTGCTGTAATTCCCAAAGCAGCCCTTTGCTCAGCAGCATCCTCGTCCGCTAGTTCCTGCCCAATCTGCAGGATTTTGCGGGACATTTTTGCATCGATGAAACGTTCACCATCATCTTGGTCTTCATCGGATCGCGACTTGCGTTTAATATTTTTGCTGGAATGAGTTCGTAAATGGCCAGTAGTCACGATATCTTCAGCCAGAGGATTGTGTCTACGGCCAACAGCGGCCGAGCGAGATGATGCAGCTTTGGGCATTATGAATGACTTCCAAAGATAGTTGTGAAAGTAGGATTTGTAGCTGAAGAATGCTATATCATAACAGACAAATGATAAAAGCCTGGCCGCCTAAATGATCGTATAATTGAGCTTCAACATGGGATTGAAAATGTGTGTAAATTTGTAGATCATGTGATCTTGACTTCTCTGCAAAGCGGGTTTTTTTTTTCTTTGACTAGTACTGAAAGTGGGCGCTGCTATACTCACCGCTTTCTATTAAAGCTCGACGAATGGCCAGGTTTTCTCACCGCCCCAGTGCCCCTCCATCTAAAGGAATCCACCAACATTGTGTTTCTGCCCAAGATAACTTTTCTGACCGCCCTCGACTACCGAGACCAGGACTGTTTCTGTTCTACGTACCATTCATGTTTACTAGATTCACAGGGACGATCATTGATTGTTCTATGTGGGAAGTGATTGTCACATCATAACCAGCTTTGCTAATAACGAATTATTGTTGATTTCCTACCTACTCACAAGATCCCCTGATATCTTATCATAAGAACTTTCATCCAGTAAACTTGATCGCAAGGCATCATAAATCCATCGATTGACCCTTGTGGTTGCAGAAAGCAGATTGGTGAGTCGGCAAAGGTGGACTCTGTCAATTCATCATTACCATCATTCGTGCATTTATAAACTTTCAACCTTGCCGGTAAAATATTCTTCTCAAATGTACTGTGCTTATGTCTGACCCGACTACTACTTTATCGCAGACTCTCCAGTTTATCCAGACATCCTGTCCTTGAATGCCGACGTTTCTATTATCGATGGTTGTCTACCTTTAAGAAGGGAAATCGTTTACTTCGTGGATCGTTGCTAAGCTAATTTCTTTATTGCGACCGCTTGGAGTCTGTCTGCTCCTCACCCTTGACGCTTGTAACATCACAATAAGAAAACAGCAAGCTAATGATCTTGACACGGTAGGAACCAGGGCCACTGAAACATCTTTCACAATTAATTTGGCTGTTTGGACAGCTCATCCACGAAACAACTTCAGCTATGGCATCTATACAGCCGGCTGGGTCTTCTGCACCTTCATCGAATATAAATTCGCCGATTCTTCCTCCCAGTGGAACACCGTTTTTCAATGGACCTCTATCAGATACGAATACAAGATCATCACCTGCGCCCGCTAGCAATGCGTCAGTGCAAGCTGACGGTCCAAGGACCAAGCGCAACAAACGCGACAGTCGTAAAAAGCGCGAGGCTAAGGGATTGGATCAGGAAATCGTGCCCGCCAAAAAGAGAGCTGCTGCTGTTCAAAATACTGCTCTCCCTAGTTCGGACCTCAATATTCTCAGACCTTTGCTGCTTGCTGAGCCGAGGCCATCCGATTTACTACCTCCCCAGCCTCGCCAGCTAAATTTAGTGAGTCGAAAAACATCAGAGGTAATTGGCCAGAGTTGGAGCTTCTACGAAGTCGTTGACAAGCTTACAAATAAAAATGGGTTCCGCTATAGCTATGCCATAGCCGATACTAGCTTCCCACACATAAAATACCGTCAGACCGATGTTCGTCCTTATAATGCTCGCTTCAGCTTTGAGGATTCACCGGCGGCGATACTCTTTAACGAAGACGCCCTTGCCGTTACTACCAACGGACCATGGCACACCGCGCGCGCTAATGTATGTGCGCGCGAAGGAACCTTTTACTACGAGGCACGCATCATCAGCGGTGTATTGGGTGACTCGCAGACAGTAGCTGTCAACGGAAACTCTTGCTTGCCATCAAGAGGCCATGTCCGCCTTGGTTTTGCACGAAGGGAGGCGGATTTGGATGTTAACGTCGGAGTAGACTGTTATGGTTATGGAATCCGTGATGTGAATGGCGAGGTGGTAAACCGGATGCGCTGCGAGTATTTTTTCCCCAAAGGCGAGTCGATCCGCGAAGGAGATGTCATTGGCATGCTTATCACTCTTCCGCCCCTTTCGCTCCACAAGAAAATCGTTGAAGGAACTTACGACCCTGCCACCAATGGTAACGCTTTGATAGAGCTCCCCATAGCTACAAACGTTATCCGTGACCGGATCCCTTTCCACTACAAATCTGACTTCTGCTGGCAACAATCGAATGTTTTCCCCACAAAACAGTTACGTGATTACGCCTTCAATCTCAAAGAAACGCCTACGTTCGGACCACCGTCACCGATAAACACCGAGGATGCATCTCTGCGTACACTGCCTGGTTCGAGTATCACAATATTTAAGAATGGTGTGAAAATGGGTACTCCATTCAAGGAGTTGTATGCTTTCCTTCCACCGGCCAGCCGACTTGCAAATGGGACCAATAACTTAGGTCTTGGCGAGCGTGAGAACGCGGATGACGGAATGATCGGATATTACCCGGCTGTCAGTTGTTACGGGGGAGGTGCAGTTGAATGCCGCTTCGAGGGTCCCTGGTGGATTGGACCTCCTCAAGCAGAGAACCGCGAGTCGATTCGGGGGATTGGAGAGCGCTTCAACGAGCAGATAGTTGAAGATGTTGTTGCTGACATCGTTGATGAAGTCGAGGCGATGCTCGTTTGGGGGGGGGTGGACGGTGACATCGTCGGTAATGCTCAGATGGATGGCACTGGTACTGGAGCGGTTGGAGGCTCGGAGGTGCTTAAGGGAGGTGTGGGGGCTGCGTATGAAGCCACCATCTCTGCAGGCCCGGGAACGGGCTCTTCCACTGTGGAGAATAGTGTTGGTAACGAAGGCTCCCCTAATATAGGTACTGGACACTCTACCTTTGAAGATGCGGCCAGTGTTGGTGTAGTAGGTACACCGAATACAGAGGAACCCGCTACTGGGCCTGAAAATATCACTGAGCCATGATATTGAGATGTCTTGAATTAAGCATTGTTCATCTAACTTGCGTTGTTAGCCCGCATGAGACTGGCACATGTGCATTTCGCAGTGCACCTCCTTTCCCCTTCCACCTCTTTGAATAAGGTATGTCTTGCATCTCCATAAATTTGGACCCATGTATATTATTTGGAGTGTGTTGGTTTGATAAGTCACCGCAAACAAAGCATCGAACTTTGAATGAAGCTTCCTTATTCCTGCAACATCTCATATAGCTCTACATATACCCAAGACACAAGTCAAAGCGTGGTTTCTAGCACAACTGAATAGAGAATTGATATACACCGTGTTATTAGCTCAGATTATCTACGCATAGCAATGAGACTTATATTTTTGGTCCTCGAGTAGCTCTCCCACCTTCAACACGAGTTGGTCATCTCCGTATTGACCGACAATTTGAATGCCCGCCAAACTCGCGTCGTTAGAATCTTGTTTCTCGCAACCCACAGTGACCGGGACAGACATGGCTGGGAGACCAGCCAGGCTAGCAGGCACGGTAAAGACATCGTTCATGTACGCGTCCAAGGGCGAGGGTCCATTGTCCGAATCTATCAGATCAGATATACGCGGGGGAGGCGATGGGGCAGTCGGACAAATGAGAATGTCTACGCCGGTGTGTTCCGGCACCCTTTCTAGGTCCGTCCCAGAAGATGCCAACGGTTGCTTCATTTGAAATACGCCATCGAAATCACGTTGGACGAGGCGTCGAACACGCTGAGCTTGGATAAAATAATTATCCATAGCATGGGCACTCAAGCTGAACGCCCCGAGGACGATACGCCTCCTGGCTTCGGAGCCGAATCCATGTCCCCTTGTACTGGCGTATAAAGAGCCTTGCGGCTGTCCATCGCTGTCTAGACCCCCGCAACGAGTTCCGTACCTGACGCCGTCGTACTTGGCCAAGTTTGAAGAAGCTTCGGCAGGAGCCAGCACGTAGTATGCTGACAATGCTAGTTTCGTCGTCGGCAGGGAGATTGCATGAATGCTGTGACCTTGCCGTTGCAAATAAGCTAGAGTGCGGGACCAAGCGCATCGGATAGTAGGGTGAAGTTCGGAGATGTTGTATTCTGTGGGAACACCAATCCTGAGGGGTGTGGATGTTAGTCGGGATGCGTAAGAGGGCGACTGGAGATATGAAAGTATTCGCGAGCGAGATAATGGAGATAGATTTGTAGGGTCGCGTGGATCGTGCTGGTTCACAACATCTGGAGACGTATTAGAAACCCGCGCGCAGAGTAAGACATAGAATGGGGAATATAGGGAAAAGTACTGAAGATATCGCGAACGCTGGCTATGCTTCCCCCTAGGATCCCAACCGTGTCCAGTGAGTTGGCATATGCGACTACACCCCATCGCGAGATCAATCCATAAGATGGTTTGAACCCAATTGTCCCGGTGTATGCAGCCGGAAGGCGAACAGACCCTCCAGTGTCTGTACCCAACGCGCTGTCGGTTGTATTTTTCAGTGAATCTATTTGGCGGAGATACCGAGAAGAGAACATACGCATAACATTGGCCTGTGGCTACTGCAACTGCACTCCCTCCCGAACTGCCACCGGCTGAGAGGGGTTCGGCATCGCGACCCTGCCAGAAACTCCTCACCGGCCCAAATCGCGAATAGACCGAATGAGAACCCATGCCAAATTCATCAAGATTCGTCTTTCCGGCAACTACAGCGCCTGCATCTTCTAATTGGCCCACGACGGTGGAGTTAAACGGACTTACGAACTCCTCGAGGGTTCCGGAAGCGCATGTTGTCGGAAGGTCACGCGTACATATGTTATCTTTGATGGCAATCAACCGACCATCCACCTTGGATCTGGGTGTCCCTGAGGGAAGTAGGGAAAACACATTCGTCAATACTGATAAAGTCCAAGGAGATGTAGCGATTCAACAACTCACCTTGCTCCGTTCGGAGGTGTGCGTCTTTCACCTGTTCCCGCCACGGTCCCGAAGGCTGTAATGCAGTTATGAAGGCATTGAGAGCGACATGGGACTTCTGATTAGCAATGCATCTCTCAGCCTCCCGCAGAAGGGACATTTAGAGGGAATTTATGTTGGAAATAGAAGCCGAGGTTCAACTGTTTACAAGAAGTAAATGGGGGAAAAGTCCAACGCCAGTTCGCGTTTAGCGTCCGTCGGCCCGAGTCAAAGGAACGACGTCATTTAACTTACCCGACATTTTATTCATTTTCTTCGATCTTAGTACCTCACACCCATTACCTTCTCAACCCCCTCCCCCCCCCTCCAGTAACCGGCGGACCATAACCGACTGATACCATGTTCTCTCATGGAGTAGTGCGATCCATTTCTCGCAGCCATGGGTCCCTTTTCGGGAAAGCCTACGGAGCCGCTTCTGTTCCTGCTGTTGCCCGCCCGTGTATAAGAATATCACCTCGCTCATGGGCTGGGAGTAAAAGATACATTTCAGTCTATGGCTACACACAATCTAAAGCACTTGTATACTCACGATATGGTGAACCGAAAGACGTTCTGCAGTAAGTGATGCCGGGAGCTCACACAAACTACTTGAGACATGAGACCAATGAAGCTTGCCTAACCAGTTCATCTCTAGCCTCCACAAACATTCTATCTCCCCTCCGCATGGGTCTCAAGTTACTCTTCGCCTCCTCGCAGCGCCTCTGAACCCCGCCGACGTGAACCAGATTCAGGGGGTGTATCCGAGCAAACCTCCATTCCAGACAACCCTTGGTACCCAAGACCCATGTGCGGTGGGTGGAAATGAGGGCGCCTTTGAAGTTATTGCGACTGGCTCTAGTGTCAAGAACCTTAGCAAGGGCGATTGGGTCGTCATGAAGCAGACAGGACAGGGCACCTGGCGCACACACGCTCAGATGGATGAGTCGCAGCTAATCAAAATTGAGAATAAAGAAGGTCTATCACCGCTCCAGATTAGCACGGTCAGCGTCAACCCAGTCACAGCTTACCGCATGATCAAGGACTTCTGTGAATGGGACTGGATGCGGAGTGGAGAGGAATGGCTTATTCAGAACGGAGCAAACAGCGGTGTTGGTCGCGCTGCCATTCAACTCGCACGGGAATGGGGTATTAAGACGATCAATGTTGTCCGTGAGAGGAAGACGCCAGAGGAGACAGAAGTCCTGAAGGCTGAGCTTCATGAACTAGGCGCCACGGCTGTAGTCACGGAAGCGGAGTTGCTTTCAGGAGATTTCAAGAACGTGGTGAGCAGCCTCACTCGCAACGGAAGGGAGCCGATCCGACTTGCTCTGAACTGTGTCGGTGGTAAGAACGCCACCGCATTGGCGAAGACCCTCTCCCCAGGCTCCCACCTGGTCACCTACGGCGCGATGTCAAAGCAGCCGGTTTCCTTACCTTCTGGACTATTGATATTTAAGAACCTCGTCTTTGATGGATTTTGGGTTAGCAAATGGGGGGATGAGCATCCTCAACTCAAAGAGAACACCATCAACGATGTGCTACAGCTGACCAGAGCGGGCAAATTCAAAGACATCCCCGTGGAGGAAATAAAGTGGGTCTGGGACACAGACGGTGCCACACTCACTTCTGGCGTGCAGGAAACTTTGAGTGGCTACCGCAGTGGAAAAGGCCTGCTCAAGTACGAAGGCGGAGACTGAATCTTTGTGATGGTTATGTGCCAGATAATGCATGTCTATCCACAATTACGCAGAACGTCTGAACTAAGATGCAATAAAGTAACGACAGTACCGAGGGCCCGTTTCCGTAATGCTTCACACTTCCTTACAACTCCAGTTGTCCTTGACCCAATCCAAGATCAGACTCGTTAGTGTCGTAGCCGGCATATACACATTACTATCCTGAGTGAAGTCTATATCTAGCCCCGCAAATTTGGCTGCTAGAGCCACATATGATTCTATGAAATCAATATATACGAGATCCACTGTTTCGGGGGCTGCCGACACTCTCGGAGAAATTAGAGCCTGGATGCAATTGGGGACACGATAGAATGAGATGGGCGAATGAATGGTGTCATCGCCATCGGAGCCTTATCGTCTGTAGTAATATACCCAGGGATAATGTTGGGCTCGAAATGATCGTTCCTCAGCAGGGGCGCCTGATCTTTGAGGTAATTCGTGGAGCTCAGAGCGAGGCTATCGTCAAAACTTATATCAGAGGAATAAACTGACTGTTCTGGGGGCGCAAGTCCCCCAGTGATGCTGGATCGGTTGTCAGCGTCGGTCAGAATCTGTGGCTGTTTGTTTAAGATCTCGACTATTAAAGTGGCCTTCCCGTAAGGAATGTCCTTAAGATAACGAAAACCGCTGGTAAAAGGGGACACTATGAATACTGAGTCTTGAGTAAAAGGACCTTTGAATATGTCAAAGCGAATGGCGCCAGTGTTGACTATGGCTAGAGCCGACTTGCCAGGGCGTGATTTGTCATGCAATGAGTTGGGCAGCACCTGCTGCTCGAGCCAAGTGTAAATGCTATCCTCGCTGGGATACTTGACACGCGACATCCAGAAATCACGAGGGGCACAGCCATGTACCTTATCGAGCTGAAGAGTGCTCCTAGACTGCTGGATAAACTGAGACACATTCTGACCCACCTTCGTAGGGAAGGTTTCCTCGTCGAGGCCAGTGTGGTGGTAAAAGGAATAAAGGTTATTATCTATATATCTTCGATGGAAGCTTGGGGTTGTTGAAGCAGGCTTTACGAGCTGTTTGCTAGTGGTTAGGCCATCGATTGACATGAAGCCGATTGTCTCCATGAACCGACCGCTTGCTAACCCAAACGCGTTAGAGTCATATCTGGCAAAATCACGGATATGATAATGACCACCAAAGAACTGGATAGGTGTATCCCAATGGATCATCCGGATCTCCTTGAAGATAGCATCGTATTCCTTAGAATGAACAGGAACGTGCCCCACCACCAAGAAGAGGTCAACTTCCTTGTCCCTGATAGCTTCCTGAAACCAATCTTCTTTGATAGTCTCTTCCACCGAATGGACAATAGTGTTATTGCAGTTCTTTGTGAAATCGAAAAGAAAGCCAAAAGCAATGATACGGATACCTTGCTTCTTGGTCGTGAATTTTTTGAACCGAGGAGCCAATGGCACAGTCTCTTTGGTCATAGGATGTATTATATCGATGTTAGATGCTAGATAGTTTCCGCGGAAATTAGGGACTGTAGTGAGCAGTTCAGCGTCCGAGGTGTTTTGTTTGTACAGCTCATGATTCCCGGCTGACAACAGGTCGATATGCTGTTGCCGCAGAATTTCTGAAGTATAGACACCTTTCGGCTCCGACGAGTCATAGAGACCATTGCCTTCTACCCTATCACCTGTATCAATGACGAGTAAATCCTGTCCTTGTGCTTCCGCTTTTTCTCGCATCCGGGTGGCGAAGGAGACATAATCACCCCAGTCTGCGGAGTAAGAGGGCCTGTAGTAGGTTCAATCAGTATAATTTGCCATCCGCAGTGGGATTAATGTCCAGCTCAATGTGCATACTCCTGGAGATGGCCGGCTAGCCAGCCATGAGTATCCGTAGTATGGAGAAAATTGAGTTGTCCCCATTTCAGCTCACGCAAAGGGGCCGCGATGGGGTCCGGAGCAGACGGTTGATGAGCCAGTAGGGGAGCGACGAGGGAGAAGAAGGAGAGAACATGTGCATAGGACCGATCGTATATCATCCTTCTTCTTCTTATTATCATAACAATAATGATTGATGATTGGGTGGACGGTAGGAAGGACTAGAGTATCCGTAGTACACGAGGAACGGAGTACGGAGTCCAGCGTTATCGCATCTGTTATCACTCCTACGGAATGAGCCGCCGGTGAGGACCGCCCGGTGCTTAGTCATCCCCAACCCAACACTCTCTCGAAATGCTCACCAAAAACTAAAATCCCCATTAGGTTGACGACCAAGTCCCGAAACAACGGAATTGCGACACCTTCGCTCCGGTATCTATCTTCTCTCCTTCCTTCTCTCTTCACTTGTTGATCTGTTCACCTCGGAGACCTTGTGAACACCCTCTCCTTTCTTTCGCTGATATAAATGTCCTTCAGCCCGGCCATGGCTGCTCCCCGACTTTTCCGCCCTGCAGCTCGTCTGCTTTCATCGCGTCTTTCTGCTCCTCGCCGTCCGGCCTTCCCCCAATCGGCATGCGCACCCTCCATCCTGCGCTTCCGGGGCTATGCTACGGAAAGTGGTGTTAAGGAAGTCACTGTTCGTGATGCATTGAACGAAGCTCTGGCCGAGGAACTGGAGACGAACCCGAAAACATTCATCCTGGGAGAGGAGGTCGCACAGTATAACGGAGCGTATGGCTATCCCTTGAAAGAAACACTTTCGAGTCGTGGATCCATCACTGACGTTTGACCCTCATAGTTACAAAGTGACAAGAGGTCTTTTGGACCGTTTCGGCCCCAAGAGAGTCATTGATACGCCTATCACAGAAGCAGGCTTTTGCGGTCTGGCGGTTGGCGCTGCTCTTGCTGGCCTGCACCCCATTGTAAGTTCATATCGACCAGATACTCAACTGTCGGCCGCCGGAGGAATTTTGTCAGCTGACCAGTAACTTGAAAATTTAGTGCGAGTTCATGACCTTCAACTTCGCCATGCAGGCTATTGACCAAATCATCAACTCTGCTGCTAAGACCCACTACATGTCTGGTGGTATTCAGCCCTGCAACGTCACTTTCCGTGGCCCCAATGGATTCGCCGCCGGTGTTGCCGCTCAGCACTCACAAGACTACTCGGCTTGGTACGGTAGTATCCCCGGACTCAAGGTTGTTTCGCCGTGGAGCTCTGAGGACGCCAAGGGTTTGCTGAAGGCTGCTATTCGTGACCCCAACCCTGTCGTTGTTCTGGAGAACGAGTATGTGTGACCGAAGCAAGTATGATGACGTAGGATATTCTAAACTAACAATGCGTAGGCTGTTGTATGGGCAGGCCTTCCCCATGAGCGAGGCTGCTCAGAAGGATGATTTTGTCTTGCCTATTGGCAAGGCTAAGATTGAACGTCCTGGAAAGGATTTGACTATTGTTTCTCTTTCTCGCTGCGTCGGACTATCTCTGAACGCCGCTGCTGAGCTGAAGCAGAAATACGGCGTTGACGCTGAGGTGATCAACCTCCGCTCCATTAAGCCCCTTGATGTCGAGACAATCATTCAGTCGCTCAAGAAGACCGGCCGCATCATGTGCGTCGAGTCTGGATTCCCCATGTTTGGCGTCTCCTCAGAAATCCTGGCCTTAGCCATGGAGTACGGCTTTGACTACCTGACTGCCCCCGCCGTTCGTGTCACCGGTGCTGAGGTGCCTACTCCTTACGCCGTCGGCCTTGAGCAGATGAGCTTCCCCCAGGTGGACACCATCCTTGGCCAGGCCACCAAGCTTCTACGCTTGTAAATTGGGTTGAGATGAGAAGTGGAGGAGATAAAACCGAGTAATCACCCTGTGTCTAGTACCCTTTTGCCGTTGCATGCATTTTTATTTTGTTTTGTTTTCGCGGTACTTACCGCTAAATTCCCGTGTTGGAAATCTGTACGACTATACTAAAGAACAACCTTTACTGCATCTTCAAGGCCTACCATACAATAAGTCTGTACTCTTCTCTCGAACGTACATTCTCTCTCTCAGATGGTGGTACTGTGCTGCCTCTGGAGTTTAATCTGGTTCCTATTAGGAGCTTCTGAAAGCATTTTGTGAAGGAGTGTACTTTGAGTTTCATCCAGGGCAGTCGTACTAGGTAGTATGGCCGGCACCTACAGGTGAACATCCTACGGTCCTTGCAAGTCCTAAAAATGAAAGTAAACAAAAAGAAAAGCCAATAATCCCTATTCCGAACAAGAACGCCAACTCTTTTCCCATAATCTTCGTTGTGACCGATCCTACCCTTTGACCACAGCAGCCCCTATGGGTATATGTCTAGTGCTGGCACAACCAGAGAAGCAGCCCGTCGGCTTAAGGGGATCATAGTAGGCACTGCCCATAGCGTCACTCGCGTATTCAGCATCTGTGTCACTTTCTGCATAATCAGGCTGAGCACTTGAGTCTTGTATAGCCTGAGCATGTTGGCTCCTATAGGTTGTTTCTGGCATTTCATCTTCGTCATCATCCCCGAGTACGTTCTTCTTCGTTGGCGCTGTCGGAGCAACAGGACCTTTGACAGTCGTAAAGGAGCTTTTAAATCCCCCTTTCTTGAAACCTCCACCACCCCCGCCCCCGGTTCCCACTGCTGTGCCAGATTTGGTATCAATGACTCTTAGGCCAGCTTCTGCATCGGCCCTCCTTTCCGCTCGCCTAGCCTTCTCCGCAGCGTTTGGGTCTCGGGAGAGTTGTTTGAGATCTTGAAGGCGTTTGCGATGTTGATGGTCATAGGAAGAGATATGTGCTTCATACTCGGGATGCCGCGAATACGATTTGTTGCAGAGTGTACAGGTAAAGGAGCTCAAAGCAGAGCGTGCAGACTCAGTCTATAACCAAGCTCGTGAATTAGTCAAGACCAGCTTTTGCGGTCTGTTGGCTGGATTGGGTCATACTTTGGGGGCAGGGTTGGTAAAGCCACGCTGGTTTAATTGAAAATCAGCTTATCAATGCCGGAGTCTTCCATTGTATAGCTTAACGGGGTCTCGGTGCCGTAACACGATAGACATACAGGTGCCATCTTGCTATAGTGCACAGCAGTTTGGAAATGAAAATTAGATTTCGGTACGTTGAAAAACAATGCGTCTTTGAACGAATATCTCAGTCTATCAGAGGGGAGAAAGGGTGAGAAGATAAATCATGTCTTGCGGTCTTTTAATGTTGTTGTACCTGAGAAGGTTGCGTGCTCAGATGAATCCAAACCAGCAGCTAGAGTACGGACGGTAACACCTGTAGGACCTTCCTCTATAGGCTAAGCTTCCCCATGGATGACCTCCCAACCAATCATAATGGTTGCATTGTTGGAAGCATTCCGAGAAATAGATTAAGTGATGAAATAAAAGAATATCATACCTCATTCCATGTTTAGCGATATTGATGATACCACTATTGCGACGATTATATAGGGGCAAAAGAATAGAGGGAATAGAAGAAGAAGAAAAACCTAATTCGCCTTGATACCCGTAAAAGGTTGACGGGATTCAATCTATTACCATGACCTCCAAAGAAAGCATCTCGCCAAAACAAAATGATATCGATACGCACTCAGTAATTTCTATGCAGGAGTTGGACCCCTCGCCAGTGCATGAGGGATTCTCCGACCTTGAAAGTGGTCAATACATCCCTCAATCACAAATTTATCCATCTAAACTTGGAAATATATCGGAAGCTGGGCTGCCCCCGTTCAGCCTTGGTCTCCGTGGACACAACTGGGATTCATGGTGTATGTCCTGTTAAACTATTTTGGGTTACATTTGAACTAACAGTCGGGGTCACTCCAGTATCCGCACTTCAGAGATACTCAACGTACCCCCCCACTTTATTCTTTACGCTGCATTTCGCCAACACCTCTCTTTTCCCTTTAGCGACTCGGTCGGTTCCAGATAGTGAAGCCTATCTGCTTCTTACGAGACCCATCTACCACTCTCCAGGGCTTGAACATGTGATCCTGACCATTCCTATCCTTATTCATATCGCTTCCGGCATTGCTCTCCGCAATCTTCGTTCTTCTCGCCGTGCACGACTGTATGGAGCGGAGACTAGGGCCCAGAAATACTCCCTGTATTTCTGGCCGCGGATGAGCCTGCAAGCGCGTTTAGGGTACTGCTTCGTTCCGCTCCTTGGCGCTCACGTCCTCGTAAACCGTGTCACGCCATTGATCGCCGATGGTGGGAGCTCGGGGGTGGGTTTGGGCTATGTTGCGCATGGAATCGCACGAAACCCTGTCTTTTGGAATGTATACTACGTGACCCTCGCCGCTGTTGGGATGTGGCATATCATTGGAGGATGGGCTACTTGGATGGGCTGGAGGGTCACCACGACTCAGAAGGGGCGAGGCTATAAGAAAGGCTCAATTGAAGGTTACTTGGGGTACACGGAAAGCGAAGAGCAGGCCAAGAGAAAAAGAAAAATGCGGTGGATAGTCAATGGAGTTGCCGCGGTGGGAACAGCTGTCTGGCTGGCGGGTGCTCTGGGAATAATTGGTCGTGGAGGTCAGGGTTCGGGATGGGAGGCCAGTGGCTGGAATGAAATTTATAAACACGTACCTATTTTCGGGCCCTGGCTATGAAATTGGTGTGTGGTTGGAGAATTTTCGGACTTTATGCAGGCACACACAGCTTTATATATATAGAAGAAGACGGAAACAAGCTGTTCTGTTGGAGCTCATGCATGTGCAGTACAGTGGTCAATAATAAAACTTGCTTGATAGCTCAGTTAAGAGACAGAAGGGTGAAAGGAACTGGAGGAGGCAAGGAGGCAGTTTCTTTTCCCAAAGAATATGGACATGTATGTTGTTAGTATATACTCCCGTATGTGAGAATGTATTGGACCTTGAATAATGGTCCGTGCGTTATATCCGATCTCTGTTCTTTTTTTTTTCCTTTTCTTTTTTTTGTGCGGCGAACCAAACTTATAACCAACAGTTCACAGATAAACACTTCCGCTGCCTTACGAACTGGTTTCTCTATACCGGAGCCGATGAGCTTGAGTCTCTTGGGTCCTTACCGTATCTCGACACTTCGCTTGGCCTTTTTCGAATCTATACGGACCAATGCCCTGACATTCCCTCGACTTGAAAAGTCCCAGCTTGCCCCCGGCTTCCAATTTTCTATACGATATTGCTCCTCACGATCATCAAATATGGAAGCAGAACCAGTGTCTAGTATTTCAAGTCAACTCGTTCAGTATGACGGTAAGGAATATCACGCGGTGAAAGAAGGGAATGCGTGCATTCTGAACCCACCTTCCCAAGCTGCAGCCTCCACAGGAACAAGAAGAGATCTCAAGGCAGAGGATGAGGCTCAGTCTGTATTCTACAATCCTATCCAGCAATTCAATCGTGACCTGAGTGTACTTGCAATCAAAGCCTATGGGGAACATGTGCTGGCTTCAAAAAAGCGGAGAGCCGAAAGGAGGCAGCGAAGAGGTGCAGCGGATGGGCAATTAAAAGGCAAGAAACGGAAGAGGGTGGATGGTGATGAAGAGGAACCAAACGGGAAGGGAAGCAATTTTGACAACCAGACAGGAAGAAGTGATCATCAGGCCTCAGAATCGCACACTGGAGAAAATACCACGCCATCATTTACAATTCTAGATGCTCTGTCTGCTACTGGCTTGCGTGCACTACGATATGCATCAGAGATCCAATTTGCTACATGCATTGTTGCGAATGATCTTTCGCCGTCTGCCATCAAATCAATGAAATTGAACATCGAATACAACAGACTTGGGAAGCTCATTCAACCTAACACCGGTGATGCGCGGACTTACATGTACAATGCCCTTAACACAGCCAACACTCAGACCAGTGGATTGCACACTGGGAAGTTTGATGTTATTGATCTGGATCCTTATGGGACGGCTGCACCGTTTATGGACTCGGCTGTGCAGGCTGTGAAAGATGGGGGGTTGCTTTGTGTGACCTGCACCGATGCTGGGGTTTGGGCATCCAACGGATATCCGGAAAAATCATACGCATTGTACGGTGGTGTGCCAACGAAAGGTACACATTCCCATGAAGGTGGGCTACGCCTAATCATTCACGCACTCGCGACGTCAGCTGCCAAGTACGGGCTGGCTATTGAGCCACTTCTATCTTTATCAATCGATTTTTACGCCCGAGTCTTTGTCCGCGTTCATCGGTCACCAGCAGAAGTTAAGCTTGTCTCGGGTAATACAATGGTTGTTTACAACTGTGATTCAGGCTGCGGAGCTTGGTCAACACAGCCTTTAACACAGACAAAGCCACGACTTGATAAAAAAGGGAACCCTTTCTATCATTACGGATTCGCCCAGGGACCCATGGCAAACACGACTTGTGCGCACTGTGGGATGAAGACTCACATAGGCGGCCCAATGTGGGCGGGGCCGCTACATAACCCTCACTTCATCCGAAGGTTCTTGATATGCTCCCCGAGGCGGATAGAAGCATATATCAAACGGTAGACAGAATCGAAGGCATGTTAACTACAGCACTTGAGGAGGACTTGATTCCCAACGACCCTATAAGGAGCGCCAATTCAGAACATGCTCTTCCCAAAACCAAGGATGCTGAACTAAACGAAGATCTAGCCATAATCCCGCGGATGGACCCGGCTCTTCGAGAGCCGTACCCATTCTATTTCAGTTTGAGTGCTCTCTCAAAAGTCCTTCATACATCTACTATCTCTTCCGATGCTTTCCGTGGAGCTGTGCGACACCTGGGTTACCAATGTACCCGTAGTCACACCAAACCCAATAGTATCCGCACAGATGCACCTTGGGACGTGATTTGGGAGATCATGAGAGAATGGGTGAGGCAAAAATCACCAATCAAAGAAAATGCTCTTAAGCCTAACACTGCCGGCGCTGCTATCATGCGAAAAGCCGGGAAAACATTCAGAAGCTGAAGGAAGGCGAGAAAAATTTAAATTTGCTAAAGCAAGAGATTGTGTCTGCTGCCGAAAATGGGAAGGATATCTCCGACGTAGTGACGAAAGTCGAAGCCGCGCTGTACCGGTCCGGCTTCTGGCAGGCATTGAACCAAAGGGAGTCAGATTCTCGACCTGCCAGTATGCAAAAGGAGCCGCAGACTTCCAACCAAGCCCATGGAACACTTACAATCAAATCTAATACCAGCACGCTGGAAGTTGTTTTCGATGAGGCTCTAGGTAGGGAGGTGACCAAAAAACGACTCGTCAGATATCAACTCAACCCTCGCGCTAACTGGGGTCCATTAAGTCGAGCGTCTGGGCGCCAGCAAGGCTGAGAATCCATAATGTCTTGTATTCGACGGTGTGGCTTGTTTAGTAGCGAATTCTTATTGAATAGAACAACTTGTGGCAATACGTATCAGAGTTACTCGAATATGTTACCTTGGGTATATGATTTGCATGAGACAGGAGGAGAACTCCGGGGGGGTAAGCGGGAAAGAATCGTACAGTTAGTTATAGGCTGGGTTGATCAGTGTGAGACAGCTCGCATAGTCGATTTTTAAAAAAAAATATGATGCGAGGAGTCAGCAGCGCTCAGTAGAGTTCTGACAGAGCCCATAGCCAGAAGATATACAATACCAAAAAAGAATGTGGTGACTTATGCTAGAGTACGAAGAAACGATGAAATGAAGAAATTATCTATACTTAGATACATATACTCTAACCCAGATTGCTCATCAAACCATTAGAATGTGGAAACGGCTACGGCTATTGCCTGAGAATCACTGTGGCTGATGCTGACATTGACCTGTTTCACACCGGCCTGTTTGGCCGCCTCGGCTGCAGCACCATAAAGCTGTGAAAGATGTTAGTTGCACGAGTTAGCCAAAAACGAAAGACAGGGGTAAACTCACGTTAACAACAGGAGCCCCTGTTGCGTCGTTAGTGATTTCGATGTCCTTTAACGGAGCGCCGGCGCCTTTGCTGCAAACACCAAGGGATTTGAAAACAGCCTCCTTCGCACTCCAGCGTCCGGCAAATGATGCTTGGGGAGAGGCTGCCTTGCGACAGTATTGCTGCTCTTCAGCAGTGAAGTTCCGCTCGATGAACGTCTCATTTTCAATATTGAGAGATTCCAGGTTTTCTACATCCACTCCCACCTTGGAGTTTTCAACAGCGTGAGCTTTCGCCAGCGACTCAACTACCTGCCTCGTGCTTTCAACTCCATTATCAGCGACTTTTGGAGGAGCTGCAGGGAACTTAAGCTCAGAAGATTTCTTGTCAATGGTAACCCGATAATCAGGGTTGAGGAAGACTTTGCTTTGAAGCTCATCTTCATATGGCGCCTTGTTCTTAGCAACAAATATGCTATTGTTGATCAGGCCGTTATGGAAGAAGCGATAGGCCTTCTTTTGCCTGGCCTCAACCTTGGCCTTATAGGCCTCAAACTGGGAGCGGTCGAGAGCGGCGTAAAGATATTTGGGGTGAATACCAATAACTTGTGCGCCCTTCTGACCGAAACCGAATGAGGTAACTGAGAATGCCTTTACACCATCCGTTTGAATGCTGCGGCTTGGGTAGACAATATAGTCGAACTTTTCGAGCACCTTGTCCACATTATCGGCGTTCCTATTGCCGGGAACTAACCCACTATCCAAAACCTGCAGGCAGCCGTTGAACATCCAAGCACCGGCAGCACCCTTGGGATGTCCAGTCAAGTATTTCTGGAAGATACCCAGGACTGCGTTTCCCTTCTTACGGCCCAAATGCTTCATCTGCTGGCAAATGACATCCGATTCATTCTTATCGTTTGCGACAGTGGAGGTACCATGGAAAGAAGCGACGCCGATGTCATCAACAGTGAGGCCCCAGGTGGCAAGAGCGCCACGCAGAGGAGCAATGCGCGAGTCCTGCTTCCAGAAATTGTTGCCGAGACTGAACTGGGCGTCCTTCTCCTGGCGCACGGCCTCGCGCTCAATGTGTTGGGCTCGCTCGTGCATGTATTCAGACATGTTGAACGACTCGGAGCCTTGAGCTTTCATGGCCTCAACCTCCTCTTGAAGATACAATAACTCAGATTCCTGCCACTCCTTGATCTGCTTCTTGCGTAAATCCAACTGCCGGCGGCGGTACTTGATGTCCAACAAGGGCGATGGGAATTTGCCAGGATTCTCCCGCGCAGTAGTAAGGACACCCTGTCCGGGTGCAGGAACCGAGCGACCGATCTTGTCGGTAGCCGTAGTTGTCAACGCAATAACACCGTGGATTGGCACCCCCATGTCCAGCGCGAGCTGAGCGCTCATGATGAGTTGCATACCGCAACCTTGTGATTCCATGAAACCAGCACGAGTAGTCGTGGTAGGACGTGACATCTCCTGAGGTGTACGTCCGTGGGCAAACTCATCTTCAGCATTACTGGTAGCCTTCATGTTGGCGAACTCATATGAGCCCTCTTCCTGGAAGTCATCAAAACCACCGACAAAACAGACGCGGGCCTTTCCTTCGACAATAGTCTCATACCCGATGTCAACAGACTCCACAGCCGTTGCACAAGCACCAACGGGCGTCTTGATAGGTCCAGTAGAGGAGAGTAATAACATGTTGACCCATGCACTCATTGTGTTGATGAAAGACTCCTGCAAGATATCCTTCTGAAGTGGTTTGTCTAGGTACCGATCCTTGTACATTCCTCGCAAGGCATGGGTTCCCCCAATTCCAGAGCCAATGCAATTGCCCACCTCGGATAAATGGACATACTTGTAGAACTCGTAAGGATCGGTGATACCGGCCGAGAGCATCGCTTCAGCAGTACAGACAAGAACAAACAAGGTCACTGGGTCAACCTGCTCAATGATGTCGTCGGGAATACCATATCGCTTAGCGTCCCAGCCAGTTGGCACTTGGCCTGCAACAAGGCGGTCAAACTGGAGAGCCTTGGGAATCAAGAGGTTGGCACCCTTCTTGAGACGGACGGTGTACTCTCCGGATTCGGGAACTTCAAAAATCTCAACCTTGTCACCATGCTCCCGCTTAAATTCTTCAGCTGTTTCTTTAGAGGCCTCGAATGGGTCCAAATCCTCCTCAATGACAATTTCTTGAAGCAGCTGCTTCTTCTTCGGGTCGTAACCCTTGAAGAGCTCAGGTTCGATGAGACGGATACCAGAGTGCTCAAGAATATACTTCTCATACTTCGGCTTAACATCTTTGTCATCTACTGGTTCCCCAGTCTTTGCATCAACCCAGCCCGAGTATGACTTTCCTTTCAGCGGACCGTTGTGGTGTTTGATAAGCCCCATGATCCATGCCATTTCCACACAACCTTCAAGAGAGAATTTTCCATGAGCCTCCATTTCCCAGCGGGTTCGCGAGTTACCCCAAGGCCCGACTTCTGCGAAACCAGTAACAACAACAACTTTATCTAAGTTGACCATGCCTTTGAGAGTTTCATTAAGAGGTTGTATTTCTGTGTCCCAGCTGGGGAGTTTGGGAAACTCGAACTTGATATTGGCTCGAGGCTCAGCAACAACACGCTTGTACAGCGCTTCACTGTCTTCTCCATTAACAACCTTGTTCTCGATGGCAGTTTCTTTGATCACCGCTTGGCGGATATCGCTTGTCTCCATGATGTCGGTACGGAGCTTTGTCATGAGACTTTTCAGATCAGGAATGAATTGAAGTCCACCATTCAGATCGGCCCAAACAGGGTCAAGCTGACACAAATTGACAATTGCAGGAGCCATGAGGCCCAGTAAGTTGAAGGCCATTTCTTGCTGAGAGAAAGTGCGGACACCAAGTTTCTCAACTCCTTCCGCGACCATGTTGTTCCCGCTCATCAAACCTGTACCGCGAGTCCAGCCAATAACAGCACCACAAATGGTAAGATAGTTACTCCAACTCTCTGAGTACCAACGGTTGAAGAGCGTCTCCAGAGCTAGCTTGGACTCAGAGTACAAGCCGTCATTCCCGAATGTGCCGTGGTTTGGTGATAGGGGAAGGATTACCTGGGCCGGTCGTGTTTCGAAGCCATTGCTCTGCTTTTGAGATTTAATACAGCCTAGGAGCCGCAGGAGGTTTGTCAACATGATTCGGTGAGCGAGCTCCGACTTGGAATCGATAGAATCAATCTCCCGGCCATTCTCTGGGATGGCAGCGAACGGGATAACATAGTCTAGGTCCCAACCAAGCCCCTTCTTCGTATCATATATGTAGTTGACAAGGGCTTCTACATCCTGTTTGCTACCTTGGTTGAAAGGGACCACGACCAGCTGTGAGCCACGGGCACCGTAGCGGGCATACATGGCTTGATAGTACTCAGTGACTTCACGTGAGTAACGGCTTGTGGTCACAACCACCTTGGCACCACCGCTAATCAGCCTTGTAAGACTTCGGCACCAATAGAACCAGCACCGGCACCAGTCATGAGAACATTCTTGCCCTGGAATGTAAGACCTGACCGCGCGGCTGACTCCAATACATCAAGATAGGTACCAGTGAGCTTCTTATTATACTCCCACCCATGCTCAGTCTTCTTCTTGAGATGTAGAAAAGGAATGGTTTCGACCTTGCCAGCTCGAGGGCTGCCGTTATGCTTTTGACCGGACCGGTTCGACCTCTTCCCATTGCCGTTCTCTTGCGGCATGATTTGGTTCTCGTTCATGCTGAGGGCACGAATGACTTCTTTATAAAGCGCATTGAATTGTAACTGGGAAGATTTAGACAGACGGTGTTGCCTGCGGATCAGTTTGTAGACACTGCGAAGATCATTTTGCACCTTAGCCCGGTTACTGTACTCAGAGATGGGACCGCCTTCCGCCATTTGTTTCACGTAGTGCTCCAGCTTGCGAGCGCTGGCTCGGGGAACCTCCTTATAGCCAACATTTCCTCGAGCGTCAACAGTTGTTTGGGGACCGGTGGGGATCGCCACATCCTTGTAGACTGGGGCAACCCCGAGAACTTCCTTGCAATTCTCAATGAGCTGCTCGCCAAGCTCCTTCGCCAGCTGATATGTCTCACCACGATCAGTAGGACAGTTGTCGATATGATACTGCATGAAATCAAGAAGAAGCGGGTTCGACCGATTCATGATGCGGATACACTGGCTCACGATTTCACGATCAACGACCCTCAGTCTGCCAAAGATGATATCATAGTACATGCTCAAAGCGTCCTGACGGGCCCAATTCCAGGAAGAGTCGTACACACGGGCCTTAAGAGGATCGAAAGATGGCTCAATGCCGGAAGCGTAGAAATCACCGTGCTCGGCTTGCCAAAGATCTATCTGGGCTTGCAAAGCCCTCTGAGTCTCCTGGGAGGTGATGAAAGCTTTTTGGCCTGCGCGCAGATCCATCTTTAGGTATCTTGCTATAATCTCAAGTTGTTGCTTGAACAAGGCCCGTTGATCCTTGGTCAGAGCATCAATTGCTGCTGGGTCCATGAGCATGCCTCCGGCTCCCGCACCACTGTCGCCACCGGCTGCTGGAGCAGAGAGGCTGATTCCTGCGCTAGCGGCGTATTTGTTGGTCACATCATCGAGGTATACCTTAGCGTCCGCCTCCGATCCAATACGAGATGCGGGTTCCATTGTAAGGGCGAGAAGGAGAACACCGTCTTGCCTGCCGGATCCCAGGCCCCATCGTGTTTCGAGGTATTTGCGAACGGCAGTGATGTTGAAACCTCCGGGCATCTTGGAGGAGACCAAGCGAGCAATCAGAGAGGAGGATTGCTTGCCCAGTTGCCCATTGAATGTCGCCTGCATGGAAGCACCCAGCTCATCAAGAGGGGTGTCCTCAGGTTTCTCTGGTGTGGAACCGAATTCCTTGCCCAAATCTCCGAGGATTTCATTTTGCAAGGTAGATTTACCTACAGAATATGTAATGTCAGCTCAAGATACCATGGAGCCCGGGACAGATTAGGAAATACGTACCACCAACCAAGTCCTTGATGGCTTTGCTTAGAGGCACATCAGACAAACCCTTCTTCAACTTCTGTGCGACGAGTGTCCGGAGTACATCCACTGCTGTTACTGGAGCATCCTCAACTGCTGCGGCGGGACCAGCGCTGGGAGGAGGGGCTGCTGCGGCAGGGGCCGCAGTAGCTGCCACCGGAGCAGCTGGCACAGGTGTGCTGTTTGCGGCAGGGGCCTCGGGCTCTTCCTCCACAGGATCTACATCATAGTAGATCTCCTTCGCATCCTTGTTATAGCAGAGTATTTGGCGTTGGACGGATGTGGCAGCGTCATATGCCTCATACTTCGATGCGAGCGTTCGTCGTGCCATTCCACCCAGGGTATCTGCTGGACCTATCTCAACAATCCTTTCCGTTCGTTTCTCTGCCAGGATAACATCTTGCGTCTCAATCCATCTAACGGGAGATGCGAACTGGTAGGCCAGTAGTTCTACCAGCAAGGTGTGGGCGAGCTCCTGTTCGATTTCAGGACGCATCTTGAGGGTATAATATATTAACAACGGGGAAGATGGTGAGGATGGAGGATCGATCTCTGGTGTGATTATGCAAATTAACAAGTTCCTCAAGCGTCAATTTGTCAACAGTCGGGCTAGACTCGCAGTAGCTGTCAAAATGAAACTGACTCAAGGCGAAGATACAGGGCGAGGAAAAGTAATTAAAGAGATAATAATAAGTTTAAGCCTAATTAAACCGAAATTGTCAGCGTGAGTTGATCTAAAAATTTCATTCAAAAGTCATGGTTTCCAGTGCCTTCTCTTGCCAAGGGCATGGCCACTTTAAGTCAGGAAGAGGAATAAAAAGAACAAAGCAGAGATATTGCTAGACACTGTACGTACTACTCATGTAAAGGCCCCAGGAAAATAACAACCAAAAAAAAATGAAAAAAGAGCAATAAAAGATAAAATGAAATAAAATAAAAACCGTGCGGTATCAGAGAAACTCACCCCAGTTGGGACCACAGGCAGTGGGGAGATTTTGCCGATGTGGTAGAAATAGAATGAGCCAAAGAAAGGAAAAAGGATAATAAGGGAAACTGAGGTGAGAGAAGGTGAAACTGTGGGTGGATGGGAACGAAATTATTGCTGGTGAGCTTTTGGTGAGTGTTGTTGGGGCGGAAGACTACTTACTGGTCGTAGGCCAGCCAGCAGTATCCGTCACCTTTTACAACTATGGTTGGTTGTATGCGTCCAATACAGTGGATGGATCCTGTTGTCCCGAAAATAACAAAAAAATAAATCAATTAATTATAACACAATCCCCTGCTCAAGATGGGTGCACAGTTGAGGCGATGGGAGTCTAAGTGGTAATTTTCATACCTGGAAATACGCATTCAATATTGTTATTGGGTAGTACTCATTGAACGTGTGGATACCTCCAACAACTACTGGGCATTGATGAGGTGGTACCAATACTAACTGGACTACAAGTACGGACATACTCTGATAGGTATTTAGGTAGACAGGAGTTCTCGCTGGTTCTATCTAGTAATCCTAAATGGTTGATTCCTTACTCCCATCACATTTGGAAGGACTCGAGAAGGGACCCCATGGGCCCATAGTGGAAAAGGTAAGGGCAAGAGAATGAAAAGAGCTATGGAGCAGATAAGTGCTTTCGTATACCAACTTTACCAAGTAGTACTTGAGTAGAAATGACTCAAGCCTGATTGGAACGAGGCAAATGGGTATAGGTCCCCTGTCTTCCAAAACCCAATAGTTAAGACCTTTCCTTTCCTTTTCTTTTCTTTTCTTTTCTTTTCTCTTTATCTTTTTGAATAATCAGGTGTTTGAAGTATCCTGACTGAAGTACGGACCTATATCAGAGTCATGCAGCGGAGGGGCAGGGCAAGCATTCGTTTCAAGAAAAGATGCATAGAACTATTCAAGTGAGCGGAGCCAAAATATCTATAGATAGAGGCGCAAAGTTCATATGGTAAACACCGTATACCATCAAGTTAATCAATTAAACCATGTAGAGGCGAAGAGGGCATCAAGTCTTGCTCTATACGGTTGTACATCTTGTAGATAGGTGACTAGCAGTACACGACAGTCGTTGTCTCTTATCATGCTTTTTGGGAAAGCTCGGTTGATCTCGTTTTGCTCATCGGCTTGCCGCTAAGGCTAAGAGTACGTACTCCGTAGTAAGTAGTAAGGCCAAGTCCATATCCTTCGGTGTGACGATCCATTCTAGGGTATTAGGTACAGTATTGTCACGTCCCACTGGATCCAGCCCAACCGTTTTGGACCTTTGGGGAGGTTCCGCTGCCCGCCATACCTGATCTGGACGGTTCTCATTCAACCAGCCCCAAAGCTGCGGGTTTTCACCTCCGCCCGGCCGGTTCAACACAACATGTGTGCGCGTGTTTGTATCGGTATCTCTCTCTTCTTTGGGGGGCCCCGACGCCTACTTTGAATTTGATTTGATGTGTGGTGATGAGGACCTTTTTTTTTTTTTTTTTTTTTTAGCTTAATCATTTGTACGGACTAGTTACCTAGCTGCCATTTTTTTTTCTCCCAAACCCCATCAACCGTCTATTATTATTACTAGTATTACCGCCATCCATTATTCATTTCTTCTGTGAACGTAGTTTCTCCAGGACCCTCCCAAAGTCTCCTGCACCTCCTTCCCACTTGCCTTTCTTGACTTTCTATTCTCTACACCATTTTATGTTGTAATCGGATTCCATTTCTTTTCCCTTTCATTTCTCTCCCCCTTCTGCTATCCATTTTCACGCCTGGGCTCATTTTGATTTTTTCTTTTTTTCTTTTTAATTCTTCACCTACCCATTTTTAATAGCTGGGTGATGGACCAGCTGATGACTTTGACCCAGGCTTAATTCAGAACTGCTTTGAAGACTAGGTAAGCAAGTTAGTTCACTTTTGCTTGCTTCTAGGGTGCAATTACTCGTCGTTCCGATTGTAATCTTCCGATTTAATAACGGAAGACACCTCGCAAAAATCAGGGCTCAATGTTCACTGCACCTGTAACCCATTTGATATCTTATTTGCTCATCATACTTACTTGCCATAGAATTCCCCGGATTTCATTTGGCATCTCCGCTTGCGGCTGATCTTTACTGCAAAAGACATACACCTGAATACGAAATCACGAGATGTATGGAACATCTACGGGCCCTCAGACGGGCATTAATACCCCGCGCTCCTCCCAGTCCTTGCGACCTCTCATACTGTCGCATGGTTCGCTGGAGTTCTCTTTCCTCGTGCCAACCTCCCTTCATTTCCAAGCTTCGCAATTGAAAGATACCTTCACAGCCTCGTTACCGGAACCAACGGATGAGCTTGCCCAGGATGACGAGCCTTCTTCGGTAGCGGAACTTGTGGCTCGTTATATTGGCCATATTGCTACAGAGGTAGAAGAAGGTGAGGATGATGCACATGGGACGAACTTGGAAGTCTTGAAGCTTGCCTTGAACGAATTCGAGCGTGCCTTCATGCGCGGCAACGATGTGCATGCGGTTGCATCGGCCCTTCCAGGAATTACCGCCAAAAAGGCTTCAGTTGTCAAGGCGTACTATGCTGGCAGGGCGGCTGCTGGACGACCCACCAAGCCTTATGATTCTGCGCTCTTCCGTGCTGCCTCAGATGAGAAGGCGAACATTTATACCGTTTTTGGGGGACAGGGCAACATTGAGGAATACTTCGATGAGCTGAGAGAGATTTATACAACCTATCCATCCTTTGTCGATGAGTTAATTTCCTCATCAGCGCAGTTGCTGCTGTCTCTCTCTCGCGAGCCGGAGGCGAGCAAGTTGTATCCCAAAGGGATGGATATCATCCAATGGCTCCAGGACCCGGACTCGCAGCCCGACACGGATTATCTTGTATCGGCTCCAGTGAGTCTCCCGTTGATTGGCCTAGTTCAACTAGCGCACTTCGTGGTAACTTGCAAAGCCCTGGGCCGTGAACCTAGTGAGGTTTTGGAAAGGTTTAGCGGTACTACGGGCCACTCTCAAGGGGTGGTCACCGCTGCAGCTATTGCCTCCGCAACCACGTGGGAGGGCTTCGAGAAAGTTGCCAAGGATGCTCTGACTATGCTCTTCTGGATCGGTCTCCGTAGCCAACAGGCCTACCCTCGCACATCTATTGCTCCATCGGTGTTGCAGGACTCGATTGAAAATGGAGAAGGAACCCCGACCCCCATGCTGTCCATCCGGGACCTCCCAAGGTCCGCTGTTCAGGAGCACATAGACATGACCAATCAACATCTTCCAGAGGATCGCCACATCTCTATCTCGCTCGTCAACAGCGCAAGGAATTTCGTTGTCACTGGTCCTCCGCTTTCACTTTACGGTCTTAACCTCCGCCTGCGCAAAGTCAAAGCTCCTACAGGCTTGGACCAGAATCGCGTGCCCTTCACACAGCGTAAGGTTCGCTTCGTGAACCGGTTCCTTCCAATCACTGCTCCCTTCCACAGCCAGTACTTGTATTCCGCATATGACCGCATCTTGGAAGACCTGGAAGACCTGGAAATTCCGGCCAAGTCTCTTGCTATACCGGTTTATGGAACCAAAACTGGAGAAGACCTTCGTGAATCTGGTGATGCAAACATCGTCCCTGCGCTCGTACGCATGATTACCCATGACGCGGTCAACTGGGAGCAGGCAACCGTTTTCCCTGGGGCTACCCACATTGTTGACTTCGGTCCCGGTGGTATCTCTGGTCTCGGCGTGCTTACGAACCGCAACAAAGATGGTACAGGTGTTCGTGTGGTGCTTGCCGGGGCCATGGACGGCACTAATGCTGAGGTTGGTTATAAGCCAGAACTGTTTGACCGTGATGAGCATGCTGTGAAGTACGCCATTGACTGGGTCAAGGAGTATGGGCCACGCCTTGTGAAGAATGCTGCGGGTGAGACGTTTGTTGATACCAAGATGAGCCGATTGTTAGGCATCCCTCCCATCATGGTTGCTGGCATGACTCCCACAACTGTTCCTTGGGATTTCGTGGCCGCAACGATGAATGCGGGTTACCATATCGAACTCGCTGGTGGTGGCTACTACAATGCAAAGACGATGACGGAGGCAGTTTCCAAGATCGAAAAAACTATTCCTCCAGGCCGCGGTATCACCATTAACTTGATTTATGTCAATCCTCGCGCCATGGCATGGCAGATACCGTTGATCGGAAAGCTGAGAGCTGATGGTGTTCCTGTGGAGGGTTTGACAATCGGTGCTGGTGTTCCATCAATTGAAGTAGCCAATGAGTATATCGAAACTCTCGGCATTAAGCACATTGCCTTCAAGCCTGGCTCCGTGGACGCTATCCAACAGGTTATCAACATTGCCAAGGCAAATCCTAAGTTCCCCGTCATTCTTCAGTGGACTGGGGGCCGTGGTGGTGGGCATCACTCGTTCGAGGATTTCCATCAGCCCGTGCTACAGATGTATAGTCGCATCAGACGTTGCGAAAACATCGTCCTTGTGGCAGGCAGTGGCTTTGGAGGCTCTGAAGATACATATCCTTACCTTTCTGGAACCTGGTCATCTCGTTTCGGCTATCCTCCGATGCCTTTTGACGGTTGTTTGTTCGGTAGTCGCATAATGATCGCTAAGGAAGCACACACATCGAAGAACGCGAAGAAGGCTATTGCAGATGCCCCTGGCCTTGACGATCAAGATTGGGAGAAGACATACAAGGGCTCTGCAGGTGGTGTTGTGACAGTCCTCTCTGAAATGGGAGAGCCGATCCATAAACTTGCGACAAGAGGCGTTTTGTTCTGGCACGAAATGGACCAAAAGATTTTCAAACTCGACAAGGCAAAACGCGTTCCCGAACTCAAGAAGCAACGCAATTATATAATCAAGAAGCTGAATGATGATTTCCAGAAGGTTTGGTTCGGTCGAAAAGCTTCCGGTGAAACGGCTGACCTCGAAGACATGACGTACGCAGAGGTGGTTCATCGTATGGTGGACCTAATGTACGTCAAGCATGAATCTCGGTGGATCGATGAGTCTCTTAAGAAATTGACAGGTGATTTCATTCACCGCGTCGAGGAGCGTTTCACTACCCTTGAGGGTCAACCGTCTTTGCTACAGAATTATTCAGAGCTCAACACTCCCTACCCTGCCGTTGATAATATCTTGGTCGCTTATCCTGAAGCGGCAACTCAGCTGATTAATGCTCAAGACGTTCAGCATTTCCTTTTACTTTGTCAACGGCGCGGCCAAAAACCAGTCCCCTTTGTTCCTGCCTTGGATGAAAATTTTGAGTATTGGTTCAAGAAAGATTCTCTCTGGCAAAGTGAAGATTTGGAGGCAGTTGTGGATCAAGATGTTGGAAGAACCTGCATCCTGCAAGGGCCAATGGCTGCTAAATTTTCGACTATCACCGATGAGCCTGTCCAAGATATCTTGAATGGCATTCACCAGGGACATATCAAGAGCCTTCTCGAGGATGTGTACAGTGGCGATGAGACAAAGGTCCCCGTCATCGAATATCTTGGAGGTCGGCTCGACGACTCCGTTGATGAGCCGGAGATTGATGGCCTTACCATCTCTGAAGACGCCAACAAGATTAGCTACCGGCTGTCGTCTTCCCCTTCCTCCGATTTGCCTGAGCTTGATCGCTGGCTACGTCTCCTTGCAGGCACCTCCTATTCTTGGAGGCATGCGATCTTCCTTGCCGATATCTTCGTTCAGGGTCATCGTTTCCAAACCAACCCATTGAAGCGAGTCGTTGCACCAACTTCGGGCATGTATGTCGAGATGGCCTACCCCAATGATCCTTCCAAAACGGCCATTAGCGTTAGGGAGCCTTACCAGTCAGGCAAGCTTGTAAAGACAGTAGAGGTGAAAATGAATGAGAAGAACCAGATCAGCCTTACTCTTTTCGAGGGCAGAACTGCAGAAGGCGGCGTTGTTCCGCTGACATTCTTGTTTACTTATCACCCTGAATCAGGATATGCGCCCATCAGAGAGGTCATGGAAGGACGCAATGATCGTATCAAGGAGTTTTACTACCGCGTCTGGTTTGGAAACAGCGACGTTCCATTCGATACCCCTACGACAGCAACTTTCAGTGGTGGTCGCGAGACTATATCGTCACAAGCTGTCGCTGATTTCGTCCATGCCGTCGGCAACACCGGTGAAGCCTTCGTGGATCGCCCTGGAAAGGAAGTCTTTGCTCCTATGGACTTCGCCATCGTCGCTGGCTGGAAAGCCATTACCAAGCCCATCTTCCCTCGTACTATTGACGGGGATTTGCTGAAATTGGTCCACCTTTCTAATGGCTTCAAGATGGTCCCGGGGGCGCAGCCTCTTAAGGTTGGTGATGTTCTAGACACTACAGCCCAGATTAATGCTGTGATCAATCAAGAATCCGGTAAAATGGTAGAGGTCTGCGGTACTATCAAGAGAGATGGCAAACCTATTATGCATGTCACCAGTCAGTTCTTATATCGGGGAGCATACTTGGACTTCGAGAATACTTTCCAGCGTAAAGACGAGGTTCCCATGCAGGTTCACCTTGCGTCGAGCAGGGATGTTGCGATCCTTCGGTCCAAGGAGTGGTTTCGTATTGATGAGCCTGATGTTGAGTTATTGGGTCAGACTTTGACCTTCCGCCTTCAAAGCTTGATTCAATTCAAGAACAAGTCTGTATTCAGCCATGTTCAAACAGTCGGTCAGGTTCTTCTTGAACTCCCTACAAAGGAGATTATTCAAGTCGCGTCTGTGGACTACGAAGCCGGAGATTCTCACGGAAACCCAGTGGTGGACTACCTTCAGCGAAATGGGACATCGATCGAGCAGCCCGTGTACTTCGAAAACCCCATCCCTCTCAGTGGAAAGACACCTTTAGAGCTGCGTGCCCCAACTTCTAACGAGACCTATGCTCGCGTCTCAGGCGATTACAATCCGATCCACGTCTCACGAGTCTTCTCCAGCTATGCCAACTTGCCGGGCACTATCACCCATGGCATGTATACGAGTGCCGCTGTTCGTAGCTATGTGGAAACCTGGGCTGCTGAGAATAACATTGGCCGTGTCAGGGGATTCCATGTATCCCTGGTCGGAATGGTTTTGCCCAACGACATGATCACTGTCAAATTGCAGCACGTTGGTATGATCGCTGGTCGTAAGATCATCAAAGTTGAGGCTAGCAACAAGGAGACAGAGGATAAAGTTCTTCTTGGTGAAGCAGAGGTGGAACAACCTGTTACCTCCTACGTTTTCACTGGACAGGGTTCGCAAGAACAAGGAATGGGAATGGAGCTGTATAGCAGCAGCCCAGTTGCTAGAGAAGTTTGGGATCGGGCTGACCGCCACTTCATGGAGAACTATGGTCTTTCCATCATTGATATCGTGAAAAACAATCCCAAGGAACTCACCGTCTATTTTGGTGGCCCCCGCGGCAAAGCCATTCGTCAAAATTACATGTCGATGACCTTTGAGTCTGTTAATGCAGATGGAAGCATCAAGTCAGAGAAAATCTTCAAAGAAATTGACGAAAATACAACGTCTTACACTTATCGCTCGCCATCCGGATTGCTCTCTGCAACACAATTTACGCAACCAGCTTTGACATTGATGGAGAAGGCTAGCTTTGAAGATATGCGTTCCAAGGGTCTGGTCCAAAGAGATAGCAGCTTCGCTGGTCACTCGCTTGGTGAATATTCAGCTCTTGCAGCTCTTGCCGATGTTATGCCTATTGAAAGCCTGGTTTCTGTGGTATTCTATCGCGGGTTGACCATGCAAGTTGCTGTCGAACGCGATGAACAAGGTCGTTCCAACTACTCTATGTGCGCTGTCAATCCAAGCCGAATCTCCAAGACCTTCAATGAGCAGGCTCTGCAGTATGTGGTAGAGAATATCTCGGAGCAGACTGGCTGGCTACTAGAGATTGTTAACTACAACGTCGCAAACATGCAATACGTTGCTGCTGGAGATGTGAGTCTACCCTTTCCCGTTTTGATTATGAGCAATCTCTCTAACTAAGCTCCTTCCTATATAGCTCCGAGCACTTGACTGTCTCACAAATCTACTCAATTACTTGAAGGCTCAGAACATTGACATTCCCGCTCTCATGCAGAGCATGTCTCTAGAAGATGTCAAGGCTCACCTAGTTAAGATCATCCATGAATGTGTCAAGCAGACCGAGTCTAAACCTAAGCCCATTACCCTTGAGCGTGGCTTCGCTACCATCCCTCTGAGAGGAATTGACGTTCCCTTCCACAGCACTTTCCTCCGTTCAGGTGTCAAGCCTTTCCGGTCATTCCTGCTAAAGAAGATTAATAAGAACACTATTGATCCCAGCAAGTTGGTTGGAAAGTATATTCCCAATGTCACAGCTCGCCCCTTCGAACTCACCAAGGAATATTTCGAGGATGTCTACAGGCTTACGAATTCACCGCGTATTGCTAATATTTTGGCGAACTGGGAGAAATACGAGGAAGAGAGTGAGAACGTCTCACGCGGTGGTGGTACCACGTCCGCTTGAAGGAATGGCCAGAGAAAGGAAACTCCTTGCACAATTGTTACTTTATAATGTTGTTTGCCTCTCGTCTCTCGTCTCTATCTTTGCCCAAAGATGTTTCGGCTTAGCGCTGGGTGTTTAAAACATCTCCCAATCCTGCAATCTTGTTCAAGTGCTATTTATACCTCAATCCCCATTTTCATAGATCAAACTACTTTAGCATGACCTCAATAGATATTCAATTATCATACTGACTGACACCTAACGCCGTGCTAACAATGGTTGAATGGGTTTGAATTCAACACCTGTGTCAGGATTTTCCCAATCAACTCTCCTTCAGCGTCCCGGGTCGCAGCAATCGATCTTCTTTGCCATAAACTCCCACATCTTTGACAATCGCTATGAACTTTCGGTGGTTCTCCTTTGACTCACCAATACGGGGACGGAATATTTTGAGCAGGTCACTACTGAGTATACCCGAGGGGGGAATAGCAGCATGAATCTCCGCGGGCGTAGGGAAGCTTTGATTTCCAGCGAGTACTGGAGTGGAAACACGAGTTTGCCCTTTGTACATGGCCAATCAGAACAATGCTACATAAGAAGGGAATTCCCAATCAAGATAAATTAGACTTACCTCTGAATGACTCAGGGCTGCTAGCACGGCTTCCCGAAAAGCCTTTACCTGCCAGGGGAGTGGGACTTCCTGCCCTGGATCCCTGGGGAGTTCCACCCTGAGAGACTGCTGGAGGATTAAGCTTTAGTTTTTTAGTTTTACCACTTTCGCTCATCTCGCCGCCGGAACCTGCGCCGCCATCGGCATCACTCCCGGAACCTGCACCTCCAAGAGGTACGTTTCGAACACGCTTCTTGCCAAGCTACAAAGGGGTTAACTCTCGAGTAGACTGGAAGGAGCTGATAGGAAACTTACTGGCATTTGCGATGATGCGACTGGAGACATATTACGCGAGCTTGGCTGAGGCGTAGGCTGAGAGGACAGATCCTTGCTTTTACCCTTTTTGCGGGAAGTGTCTGTCCCACTCGCATCCGACACGTTGGGAGACCCCAACCGTTTCCGTGGTGCAGATGCCGTGCCTTTCTTCAAGGGATCGGTATGCTTAGGGCGGCCGGATGGCGTATTGTTGCCCTTGGAGGATGTCGTAGCTTCCTTTTTATTCTTTTCCTCCTCGGCTTTCCGTTCTTCCTCCTTCAATCTTTCAGCCTCGCTATCATCAGAGCTCTAAAATGAAGGAAAACAAAATTGTTAGTAACAACATGAGCGTATAGGATAAAGTGCAGTTCTCACCTCATCGTCTGAATAAGGATTAACGTCAGATCCACTACTATAGTCGTAGTTCTTTTCTCGTTTTTGTAATGCTTTTCGAACCTTTTTTCCAAGCACACGACGAGCCTCCTTTTCTTTCTTTTCTCTCAATTCCTCTTGCTCATAGTCTTTCTCATCTTTCAGGTCAAAGACATTGGCTTTCAACTGGTCTTTCTTGATTCTCTTCTCCGCTGCTTTTGCTTCCTCATCCTCGTTGAACAGGTCATCATGCTCTTCATCATCAGCAAATCGATCTTCTTCGAAGTCCATTTCATCAGCCTCCAACCCCTCAACTCCAGACGGAGTTCCTTGTTTACCAGCGTATACCTTCCGCTGTTTAGCGAATTGCTCCAATTCCTTTCGTTGAGCTAGTTCTTGTTGCTTCTCCATGAACCACCGCGGATCTTTGACTTTCTTTGCCATGAACTTCTCCGCTTCCTCAATAGTCAAAGCTTTGAATTGATTTTTAGCATTGAATCTATACCATTTTTCCACAGGAATCATTCTCATTTTCCCCGTAGCCTCAAGTATAAATACCGCATGCGTTTCGGACAGAGCAGCTTCATAGTTCCCCACCCATATATTTTTGTTGTCGAAGTCTTCTAGATGCCACGGCAAAGCCTCTTCATACTTGATTCGCGTCTTCGCCATCTCCTCGGGAGTCATATCTGTCTTGGACACCTGCTGAGTTTTTTGCTTGGGCATGTTCGCTCTCTTCGGGGCAGATCCAATAGAAGGGGCTATTTGGGCCAGGTTCTCTGCGCGTTCCTTCTCACGGGCGGCTTTCCTCGCCTCTAGCTCTTCACGCTCAGCCTCATCCATATGATGGCTAGATTCAGACATTGTTTTCTGCATGCCCTGGCTCTTCTCCGATGCTATCCCATGGGATCGGGCGCGCGGATCGCGACGTTGAAGCCGGACAGGCCTAGTGAACTGGGATTCGTCACGCGGATCGACGGTCTTCTTTGATGCGAATCTAGCAATATGATGTTTCAAGCCTTCCCGCAACGCGCGCTTTGTTGTGACTAAGGGGTAGTCCGTATATGTTTCGGATAACAATGGGCCACTAAAACCATTGGCGGCGAAATCAGCTCCTGAAGGAGAAGGCTTCCCTCTCTCAGAATGAGGCATAGATAGCGGATTGGAAGTAGCTGGTCGCGAAGAAGCTGCTTTTGAGGCTGGCCCATTTCCGGAGACGGGAATAGCTAGTTTGGTTGCTGGTTTCCTTTTCGGTCGTACTAAAGGATCTGCTGCCTTGGGGCGACGGATTCTCATGGGTGGAGGTCCATTTGAACCTGTCGGGGTTCGCGCGTTTGGTTCGTTCGTAGGTGTAGCCATGTTACCGGTATGTTTTCAGACACGTGAAGCTCCTTCCGAGATACATGTACCTAGATCGTAAAAGTCCTGCTTGCACGATGCACACATATCAAGGAAAGAGATCAGTTTGGTATTTGACCAAAGACAGGATTGTCTTGGGTACTAAAGGAGTTGTCAAAGAAAGATGAAGATGGCAAATGTTGATTGATGGAGCAGCGGAGTGGAGTGCCTCTGCTGAAATGGACTGATTACTTAGGTAAGCACCGCTACGGAGTTCTGAGAGATTTACAGTACCACCTACAGTACGGAGTATATACTCCGTACTCCGTATGGTAAGACGGGACTACGTAGTACGTAGTATGCCTGGTATATCTCACTCCGCCCAACAGTTCAACTTCTGCCACCCATTCACTTGATCTCTCACTGTGGATCAATTTCGCTTACTGTGTAGTCTGAGGGACAAGTTATAGGTTTTCTCGAAAACAATGAGGACAAGAAGTTAAAAAAAAGACCGAGAATGAATCTCTATCCCTTTCACAACATGCTCCTTCCCGCCAGCCCGTTATCATTCTCACAGTATATACACCCATGTTTCCATTTATATCCCACTTCTCTTGGTTGACCTTTTCTCCGGCGCTAGAAGACGGTCAGTATTGGCAGTTGTATCGCTCACTTCATGAAAAGCTCCATCTTATAGCCCCTTCTCTCCATTCCATACTATCTATCATCTTGCACTTTGACTAACATCGGTCAAGTATGGCCTATGAGATCGCTCAACATTGTGAATCATCCGCGGCACCCATTATGACTGATAAAAGACACGACCTTGCACATGGGTCTGCTATCGCTACTCCTATATTCTCAAGAATGGACCACCTGCCTTGTCATGTCATTGGTATGCTAAGCCATGCCAGTACGCAACTGTTATCCCAACAGCAGGCAGTAATCGCTAGCCACTATGCGAATCATTACGATATCGAGGTCAGCACTAGTAGTTCGACTCATCGTCAAAGAGGGTTCTATTCAAAGAGCCATGTTGAAGAGTGCACGATGAATGACAAGGCTGACACATACCCTGTGCACCACCAATCAGTTCTGGAGATTGCACACGCAAGTAATCCAGCTGGCTATTCCTATTCGCATGCCCCCAGGACCCGATTCGGTGATCAACAGTCTGACCCTTGCAGGCGATTTCAACTTCAGATAAACTATCTGAACTCCCTGGCAGCCCGAGTGCCCTCCTTCGGCTCACTAGCTAGCGAATTTCGCAGCAAGGAAGCCCTGCGGACTTTACTGACCAACATCGCCCGCGAAGCGCTTGAACGGCATTCCAAGCAGCATGGCTATACAATTGAAGATACTGCCATTGACCTCAAATGCTTCGGCAGTCTGCGGAATGGTTTTGCATTGCCTGGAGCTGACCTTGACCTAGTGATGACCACCCACAGTGAAGTGCTCCCAAAAGGTGTAGAAGCAAGGTGTCCTCAGATTTTGTATGACGCATTTCTTGATGCCGGCTTCGATGTTCGGATAATTCAAAAAGCCAGGGTTTCAATCGTCAAATTGTACAAAACTCCTTCCCAAGGACTCTTAAACTCTCTCAAGATGGAAAGCCGTGGACAGAATAATCATCATTTTCTAAAACAGATTACAAACCTGGAGGCCCTATCTTCGTTAGGGGTTCAGTGTGACATTAATTTCTCTGGGCGCCTGGTACTATACAATACCGAATTACTTCGTCGTTACGCCCTCTGCGACGAGAGGGTCCGTGTTGTCGGCGTTTTCGTGAAGATGTGGGCCAAAGCTCGAAAAATCAATAGTCCCTACCGTGGAACACTCTGTTCGTATGGCTATATTCTCATGGTCATTCATTACTTGATGAACGTGGTAGACCCGCCTTTGGTTCCTAATCTTCAGCTTCTTGGTCAGCTGTCACCTAGACACTCTAGCACTACAGGTCCTAACAAGTATGATGTCCGTTTTCTCAAGAATGAGACCGAACTTAGGAGACGAGCCTGGTATAATATGGCTTATGGGAATCGACAATCCGCCGGCGAGCTGCTTCGTGGCTTTTTCGCATACTATGGAAGCCGATGCAAAACTACGCCCTCAGGCGCTTTCAACTGGATCCAAAACGTTGTTTCGATTCGCACGCATGGTGGCATACTTTCCAAGCTGGAGAAAGGCTGGAACACTGCGAGGACTGACGAGCACGGACGCCGGCTCAGGTTCCTGATAGCAATTGAGGACCCCTTCGAACACAACCATAATGTAGGCAGAACTGTCACAGACAAGGGCCTGGAGACTATTAGAGCAGAGTTCTCCCGCGCTCAGATCATCATACGTAGAGTTCAAGAAATTCCAGGAGTCGGATGGGAATGGCGAACAGACAATGGCCATGTAGGTCAGGACCTGCTTGCGGAAGCGGAAGATAACTTAAACCAACAACCTTGTGGAACCACCACATTCGCAGGATTGAAAAATGAGCAAGTGTCCTGCACTCGCGGTATGGATTTCTCGAGTGAAATTCGTGCTTATAACAGACTCATATGCCCCGCGGCAGCTGCCCAGAAGCAGCGGACACAGCGCGAGAGTTTTCATCGACAAGCTACTCTCGCTGCAAACACGATGCGACGAATGTTGCGTATTGCAGACGGCCAAGGACCAGGCGCTTCCTACGGGGTGACTTTTGACTCAATGCAATTCCGTGGTCCAAATGCAATCCATAAGAGGGACTCGGCTGCTCAGGGGCAAATGAATCAATGCGAAATAGATACAACCAATGTTGAGTTGCTTGATACCCTTCCTTTCAATGAAAAGAGCCTCTGTTGAAACCCTACTTTAGCTCTGTCATGAATTAGTTTTCCGTTTGTTGTTCCCTTTGTTATTCTAACATCGAGTTCAATGCCGTTAAGGTGGCATCCACTGCTGGTGTTCAAATAGAAATCCTTCCACTCTGCCAATTAATTCCTAACAAAGAGCTCTTATTTGATCAAGGAAAGAAGTAAAGGAACTCAACTCCCACTATTCACCGACTCAAAAGAGCTCTACCACCTGCTGGTCATCATGTTCCCGCGCCGTACCTCCAGGCTGTCCAGCATTTTCTCCCTCCTCGTCCCGCATCAAGACCTGAACCAGCCTGTCGCAAGCTTCTCGAACATCCTCATCATCAACGTTCAGATGACATTCTCGGATTATGGGATAGACCTGTACCTCCCTCATTCTATCTCGCCCTTCCCGAGTTGTTGTTAGCAGTAGTAACGTTTCAAGATGGGTTACAATAATGCTATTGTCGCTATCCCTCTTTTTGTCTGGAGGTAGCAGCTGAAGGTCTGGTAGCATCGTCAGTGTCTCTTCTTCGCCAAACTCTTCCGGGCCTGCTAGCGGCAGCAGTATGTAAGGAAGGAGATTGCCTTCATCTTCAGCGAAAAGGGTGGGATGAAATGGGATGTCAAACGCGACATTCTTAATTGTTGATGCAACTCCCTTTCTCCGAATCGAGCTCTGATGTTCGGTGAAAACAGTAAGCTTTGTTACAGGCACCACATCGTCATACTCCTGGCGCGAAGTAAAATACGCCCGACCTTCCTTAGACTTCGACAAGTCTGCAAACACATAAGACAGGTAGTCATAGGTGGCGTTTTTGTTGAGGGCGCCCTCGGCACCTTTCACGAAACAATCCATCAGCTGATCCATAGCATTCGGCGAAGTGGACACCGGCTCTGGGACCCTTCGTTTTAGGGTGAGCAGTTTCTTCATTTTCTCCGACTTGATCAAATTGGCGAAAAGCATCGACACATCATCCGCATTCGGCTCCTTGATGTTCTAATGACGCATTTATTGGTTAGGACATGTGTCATCCCGCGTCGAGTACGGTGAACTCACCGTCACCTTTGTAAAGAGGGTCTCGAGAAAAGTATCGTCATCCGCAAGGTTGGCCAACACCTCTTGGTCAGCCGAGAGGTTGATGAGCATTGTCAGGGCATTTTTGGCGATCGGCTATTCAGTAAGCGGCCTGGCCAGTATTCGACCGGGTGGGCACTAACAGTGTAATCTCGCACCAAAAGCTTCAAATCTCGCACTGGCAGGAGTTGATGGCGTTTGAACAAGTTCGGCTGGGCAGTTGAGAAACCAACAAGGTTTTCACAGGCTAGAGCAGGTTATTATAAAACATCCGCAAATGGTCCCACGAGGGAAATTGATTCTCCAAGCTGTTCATCAGGTTTATAGAGGGTCCCTATTACCGATCTGTCTGATTTGAGTATTTCCATGATGAAGAAATTCGACAAGCTGAAGTGCAATGAGATATTCGTTAGGCAAGCTGAGCCCAAGCATTGCTGCAGGGTGCAGGGAAACGAACCTCCTCCAACTCGGTAGGCATGTTGAAGGTTATCCAGGTGTATAGCTAACCCAGTGGTAAATTTATTTAAGATGGATACATATATTTTCCTGAATGAAAATATAGATAGACCGTACCTCGAGTAGCAAGCGGTGTTTGGAGAGTATCAACAATCCTCACTCTCTCTCTCTCTCTCTTTTCTTTTTTTTTTTTTGGGAGCTAATTTAATTGTGGGGTTTCCAGGCGTAACTCCAATTGGATTCTGATATAGTTATATAATAAATATATTTATAATAAATCAGAGTTACCCCTCACGACGTCACAAAGGCGGGGTTGTCTTTTTCTTGCCCTAATTATATTTATTTTACAAAAAAGAAAAGGCAGAAGGAGAAAATGTCCAAAAGAAACCGTCTTATAGAGCTAGTAACTTTAAATGGAACACGTATTTGATGATCAGTGCTCCATCTTAATTACACCAAGTAAGCTGCTGTCTTTCACTTTAATCCGATCCTGTACATACGTACAGGATCCCCACATGCACACATCAGTACACTAAATGAAATACGAGAGAGCGGCACGGCGCCTCCCATCCTAGGATTTGGGTCCCAGCCTCAATTCTTTTGTACCTGCTAATTGTATTTGTTTGACTGCTGCCCACTGCACCGGAACTAGCAAAATTAAGTCAAGAGGAGATACACTCCTATATTCGGATCTTTTATCTCTTATCTACATCATTCCCACATTGGGTATTCCCGCCATCTAGTTTTCTCACATATATACTTTATACATATAGTCTACAACCAAAAGTGCCCCATTCCAAGACATGAGACCAGAAACAAGAACAGCCCCTAGTGGCTTGCCCAACCTGAATCATATCCATGATTACCTTATTGAGATAGCATACAAAGCTGGAGAAATCATCATGGGTGCTCTCCCCACTACGGATGGCATTGGATCGAAGAAGAATAGTATGCACAGACCTGGACAGTCAAATATGCGATGGGTAAACCAACATGACTCACAACTTTAGGTGCGGATCTTGTCACTCAATATGACCGTGCGGTTGAAGAAATGATATCTACAGCGCTGAAGGAGAAGTACCCAGATTATCTGTATGTATACCATGCCTTCCGCACCCCCTTCCCAGTTAGGCCCCCATGAGATTGTCCGGAAAGTCATCATATATTACTCTATAGCAGTGATTCGTTCCTTACTTCATCGCTAGGTTCCATGGAGAAGAGACATATGACCCAGGTCATCCCTTGACCACCGCCCCCACTTTTGTGATTGACCCCATCGATGGGACAATTAATTTCGTGCATGGCTTCCCCCATGCATGTGTATCTCTTGGGTTCGCCGTTGACCGGGTTCCCGTGGTTGGTGTCGTATACAACCCATTCGATAAGACCCTTTATTCTGCCATTTGTGGCCAAGGGGCGTTCCTGAACCGTAGTGTCAAGCTTCCACTCAAGGGAATAGACCTCGAGCCACTGCAAAGCCTGCAGAACTCTCTTATCGGTGTTGAATGGGGATCTGATAGAAAGGGGAGGAATTGGGAAACAAAGGTACGAACCTTGGAGAAGCTCGGCCAATCCAAAGATGAGGGCGGTGCAATGGTTCGTTCGATGCGTAGCATGGGTTCGGCTGCACTCAATCTTTGTGCGGTAGCCGCTGGCACTCTTGACTTGTACTGGGAAGGCGGTTGTTGGGCGTGGGATGTGTGTGCTGGCTGGGTTATCCTCACCGAGGCCGGTGGTATCATGGTTGACGGTAATCCCGGCGGGTGGCAGGCCACCATAGACGGAAGAGTCTACCTTGCTGTCAGAGCTTCTCCAAGCCAGATTGGTCAAAGGGAGCTTGTTGAGGAATTCTGGGGAAATGTTCAAGGGAGGCTTGAGTATTGATGTATCCGTCGTACTGACACAAGCCTACCAGCAATACGGCTGGTCAAAGATCAGGTCTTCCCGTTTAAAAAAGAAGGGACAGGAAGGGAGCAGGAGATTAGGTGTGAGGGAGAAAGGGGAAAGTTTTCCAGCTGTAGGTTGAGAAACCAATGATTTATTACTATCCACGAACGCATATACAGGGGAGGATGCCCCGTTGTGTCTATTTATGTACATACAATGAACAGAGCCTGAGGAAAATCGCACAAAATAGATCGGTGAAATAATAAACTAGGCATGATCCGCGACACAAACCTCCACTTGCACAGAGAACTCAGCCTACTTCCTTGGATTGAGATAAGTTGGGCCTAGGCTAGTCAGCAGAACCAACCCCGACGATTCAGCTGCCTGGGAGCTCTCGTGCGGATGTCGATTCATCTATAGGGGGTTCCTCCTGTCCTTGCACCTCTTCAGCTAAGCTATTTGTTGGGACTGCGAGTGGCTTTGCCCTTTCTACCCTTTTCGCAGAATCATCTTCAGATTGGGCCGCAGTTGTATACCCAAAGTGAGTATCAACAAGGTGCTTTACCACGGGCCAACCATACGCGTTCGTAAACATTCGTCGAACAATGATATTGTTGTGTGCATCTGGTTCAAGACGAACGAGCACTTTTCGCCACGTTAAGTCTCGATGATAAGCTCTGGCGATCTTCTCTTCGACTTTGAGCCCACTCTCGCTCTCATTTAAGTCACGATGCGTGGATTCATCCGGTGAAAATGGCCCTGTTTTCGAGGCCTTACTTTGAGAAGAACCAAAGGTTAAGGTTCGTCTCTTGGGAGTCAAGGGAGGAGGTATGTCCTCAGGGCTATAGACCCGGTCATGGAAAATGGTCCGAGGTCTTGAAGTAGGATCAATTATAAATTCAATGGGAGGAAGGGGTGGCATGAGAAGATCACTGGCTGACTCAAAAAGGGTAGTCTTTGGTGGCGCATAAAGCCCATGGTCGTCAGACAGTTGACTATCGACAAATGATTCATGGGTAGGGGCACAAGGAGACGGCGGCCCCTGTATAACACCACTGGATGCGCCAAGTGTCTGGCTACGTTTAAGCATCTTAGATTGCTTGTGCCCAGAGGATATTTTAACAGCTTCTTTTGACCGGAATATAGTAAAGAGATTGCTCAAGGGGCCATAGGTTACAGGTTGGTTGTCCATTGGAGCTGCATCTATCGTCGTATTAGGCCAAATTGAATGTTGGGATTGATCCGATGGCTGATGAGGTATCGGGGTACTGGCAGGCGTCGTAACACTATGCGAGGTTGTCTGCGTTGTTGGTATGTGCTTGTGGGCTTTATTGATTTCCTCTTCAGTATCCTTCCATTCTGACTCTGTACCAGAGCGAGCCGTCCGTGGCGATTTTGAATTTGCGCCAGTCAATTCGGCCCACCCCCATTCAGCCATTGTGCCAACTATCCCATTTTCTCTCCGTGCCTTTTCAACTCGTTCTAATCCTCTCCAGTCAAGAAAAAGGAGACAAGAAGTCCTCAAAGGTACAATCCCATCATTGACTACATTAGAGTAGACTGTACGGTGTTGAAACTTCGCCAGAACTTCATGTGCAGGACCACAGGGAAGGATTCTCAATAGGGGTTTTGATCCAGCATCTGGTTGACCTTGTGATTTAGCAGGATTGCCTTTCCCACCAATTATAGCTTCCCAGCCATTTCTCACTCGAGGCGCTGTCCAACTGAGTCCTAGATCCTGGCCCGTCCGACCAACCAGACCTAAGTCTAAGGCAAAGCGGATGTACATAGGGTTTTCATTGCTCAAGCCGAGAAAAGGAGTCGCTAAGGCGATGAAGTTAACGGGCCTAACCACATCAAAGAATTCAGGAGAATGTTTCTGGATGTATGCAATGGCATATGTCTGAATGAGCCCGCCAAGAGAATGGCCAATAAAGCTGATGCTGGTGACTCGATAGGCATGGCCCCCTCCGGTTGGCCCTGGTACAGAAGCTGTATGGTCCTTAGGGGACTCCCCCGCCGCATTCCTCCAGAGGGCGAGAGATTTCGGTAGGGTTTTTGATTTTGCATTGTGACAAGGATTGCAAGGCTGGTCTGGGTGTGTCAATAGCAAGACATATTTTGCGAGACGCTTGCCAAGATACTGAATCCCGCGTTCCGTACGGACTGCATTTCCGGGAAATCCTCTAACAACGACTTGCTCATCATCGTCGTTGTCATCATAATCATCATCGTTGCTTCTCTGTTCGCTTTTATGTTTCTGGCGAGCATTATAGGCTTGTTCCTTAGCTTTTCTGGCTGCAGTATCAATGCTCTCCTTGAGATAAAGCATGTCTGCACCAAGGTTGCTATGTAGGCCATGGGTCAGAACCACGAGATGTATTTTCTTTCTACGCCTGTTGTTCTGCGACTGATCAACTGGCTCGCTAGATCTCGTCGATGCTTCAGCATTGTTTGTTGGACTGTCTTCGCTTACCCCCTTATCCTTTTCCGCCCCGCAGCTTTTGTCGGACGAAGGAAAGGCAGGCGTGTTCCAGAGGCTCGCAGTATTATCTATCTGCAACGTTACAGCTCTGGAATACACTCCATTTGTAGCAAACACCTGCTTGCCTTTCGCATTGTGTAACCAGTGGTCACTTAGTTGGGCTGCTTGAAGCCCAGTGGTTGATGCTGCACCGGAAGAAAACACCTCCACTGATTTTTGGTCGCGGCCCACCAAAAGCTCAAAGTTGACGGATGCAGTACTCGAAAATATTACTTGGGATAATATCTCTATGATCCACGTTACTTTCTGGTGACTTCCGGGCTCAGTAGATGCGACCTCTTGTTTTTGACGAAGACGTCGAGGCACGGTGATGACGGCACTCCAACTGCCCCCAGCTTTGAGATAAGGTTCAAACTGCGGAATACCTTCGGTGGCTTGCTGATCGAGTTTGACGTTTGGGTCGAATGTGGATGGATAGCAAGACGTATAGAGGGTATATGGGCCATGAAGGTAGGCAGCTCGGAGGGGAATTGCGGATGTATTCTTAACTTTTACAAATAATTCCCCTGGGATGGGACTGGCGGTGTCGGCTGCCGGTGTGTACGTTACAGTATACCTGTTTACAACAATTTCAAGGTCAGTATTGCGAACAGGAAGGGCTTGACCAAGGCTATCATAGTGATGGCAACAGACCTGACCACCTCACCCACACGCACACTGCCCGTCTGGTGAATCAATAGCATTTCGGCGGCTCGCCTTTCATTCGTAGAACTAGTGCTCCACCCGAAAAGCGAACAAAATCTCGGATTATCCTCACTGCTGTGGAGCTGTTGTCCTCGATCTGGTATCTGTGAAGCGTGATAAGTTCGAGGGCTGATAAGCATCGATACCAGACGCAGCTGTTCCCATCATAGGACTGGTCAAGGTGGCTGTCGGTTGGGGGAAGGTTTTCTGGGTCACATGCATGGAAGTCTATGGTCCTCAGCAAGTGATGCTAGCAGTGTATCTAGCGTTGGAGGTTGTATCAAGGGTCTGATCAATTGTTGATAGCGGGCGAGGATAAACAGGGAGGACTTCATGGTACTTCGTACAGAGGTTATCTGTAAATAGGGACTTAGGAAGTACTGTACTACTTAATACTAGTAGTTACTAGTTGCGTCTTATTCAAGGTTGTCCCCACACTTACGTACTACCAGGAGCCAATCATGACGAGGAAACCCCCGGTATAGAGAAACTTGCTCAGTACCAGTACTACTCCGTACTATCAGTACGACGGAGTGTTTTCAGCTTGAGATTGACTAAACTATACGGTGTAGATATCTTACACTGAGTATGTATATCAGTTGTATTGAGTGGTGACAAAAACACACTTACGAATAATTAATTCTACTACGTATAATTAGGACTAGCCCACACACAATGTCAATTTCTTCATATATGGTCATTTTGATCCACTCATCGACCACGGCGTCCCAAGAATGTTTAATCAGACGCCAGATGAGGCAAGAATCCAATTGTATACTCTGTACATGTAGTGCAACCAGCGTGCCAAGTATCTAGAGTAATCACAGTACAACACTGAACTGAGCCTGGTTTATTACTGGTTTGATCAATGGATATAACAAACGCAGATCAAATGCCTTCAAGACAGAATCAGTGAAAAGGCAGGGAAGAAAATATATATAGTATGAAAGGCAAGAGATGTTTGAATAGCTGTCTAATGATAAAAGGGCGAGAGGGGAGGAAGTTCTCGTGCAAACATACACGCTGAAAATCAAGACATTAAAGCCAGGAATTTAAAACCCAACGGACGTCAGGATGTTCAATAGACATTCTGGCTCCTTGTATATCTCCATCCAGCCATCACACTCGACTGCAATGATTCTGCCGTCAATGCACACCCGCCTCCACCTCTCATCCGTCTCCCGGAATATAATCTTAAGTGTCTCAATCTCCGAGTAGAAGACACTTCTATCAGACACATGTTGACCTCCCTGATATGCGGAGGCCATCAACTGCATAGCTTTTTCAGAAGGTACCGGGCCAAAGTGGACTATTCTCAAGCGACCATCTAATGGAACAGACTCGGGCGAGATCACGAAATCTCTTTCAAGTCTAGGGACCATCGTTACCAGCACATACATGTGTTCTTGGATCTCCATGGTCTCCACACATTTGCTGTTAGCCTGACTATCCCATCTGGTGAGACTAATTGTACCGGCATATCTATGGCTCTCGGTACCACTTGGAGGGAAGAGAAGTTCCTCTGCAGCCAATTTAAACCTATCAGCACCGAATTTGCGGTACTCAGTGGTATCACTATCGGCAACCAAGGCGGCATGTATGCCCCAGCTTGCAACAACCGCACCATGTACCTTCGGAACTTCATACTTAGTTTTGAGGTTGGCACTTATACTAGACCGAGCACGGCCTTCCTCGGTGACATATTGCGCGCCGGGTGAAAACTTGGCACCGAAGGTCGGTAAAGGCTTTGGTCTTCCTCGCAGAAGCTCTTTCAACCAGGATGTTGGATATGGCGTGAGTCCCAGGGAACTAGCATTGCATTTCCAGTTCCTGTTGGGACCAAGGCAATGATGGGCCGGGTGATTGAGTGACACGGGGTATTGTATATCGCGTCGACTACATCGACTATTCCCCCATCCCCTGAGAGGAGGATGATGGTTTGATGGATGCCCGCCTGGGCGCGAGGAAGAAATTGTGACTTGCATAGTTCGGTGATAGTCTGTGAGGACCGAGTTTCGTGGACGTTGTAATCACATATGCCAAGTTGCAATAGGAAAGGTTGTAGAATATTTTTGTACAACTTCTTGGCAGCCCCTGTTCCCGATGCTGTGGATACGATTATATGGATTTCAGTTTCGTGTGAGCACAAATGACGAGGGAGCTCTGTGCACAAGTGCTGGGAACGCAATGCGGGTGACAGAGATGTAAGCTGGATACTTTCCAAACACATCGAATCCTTTATATTGATATCTTCAGAACTTCTCTGAAGAAACAACAATTTATAGCCAACTTCAGAACACACAGCTCCGGCAAGAACACAGACCATGTCATCAATAGGGACTGTTACTTCATTCCATTGGTTATGGCACCGGACATAATCTTCAATCAGATCAGCACGGAACTGACTTGGATCTGGTGGTTGGGCCATGGATTCTCTTGCTTGCGTCATCAAAGACTAAGAAGTAGGAGGAATATTCTACTTCCACCTTTAGCTTTTTCTGCCTTTGTTTGTTTGTTTCCTTATCTAATACTGTAATGTCAACCGCTGATAAGATCTAAGACGCTGGATTCCTGATGGAAGCGGTAAAAGGAGTGAGATTTGTGAGCAAACACTTAAGTAGAAATATTGAATAGATTACAATAGGTTATGCTTACTGTCTGGTGGGGTAAATGTTCTTTCTTTGACAACTAGGACCAAAGGGTTACTAAATCCTGCAATTGGTCAATCGCTAAGTACTCAATAGCGTGACCTAATCACTACGCAGGCTGCTAACTAGTAGGTAGGTAGCCTTCGCTTTTGGCGGTATCTACGGTAGTCAATATTTCATGGCTTTGGATTATAATAACGATGAAAAAGCCGCATGCTGCCGACAAAATTTGGACGCATGTAACATACAGGAATGGTCAAGATCCCTCCTCATGGATAGGGACATGTTTATCGCTTAGATTCACTGCAATAAATGTTTTCGGGAGCTTGACTCTGAACAGGAACATTTGTCAGCGCCAACCCCGTATACAACAAACACGTTGGATAAACTTACGTGTCAAATTTCGCTTTGAGCGTCTCAATAACATTCTTCCAATCTTGGTGGGCGGTTAGGCTTCGCCTAGGGGCGCAACCGATTGCATGTCTCGAATCGAGTTGCACATCAAGGGGATCAAAGGCATGGCACCCAGGGCTGATCGAAATGCGAATTGAGTAAGAATTCGTCGATGACTCGGAATCCTTAGCTTCATAGAGTTCGAAGCATATTTGAGACAGGTAATCTAGCTCGGGGATAGCCCGCCGAGCGATTTTAGTCTGAATACCACCTTCCAGGATGCAGTTCAGGAGGGTGTATATGTGAGACTCCTTTGTGAAATAAAAGAAGGACTTGGCATCTGGAGAGGCTTGGACTTCTTCCAAATCCCTAACAATCTCTTGGAGTAATGGTAAAGATGTCAATAAACCGATCTCAAGCTTTTCCGTATCAGTAATTCCATACTCCTGGGGAGTGACATAGTCAAAAAGAACCTTCGCCAATTTGTACAACTCTCTCAATTTGGATAGCCTGCTATCCAGCTTGGCTTTCTTGGCGCTTGAGCCTGGATATAACTTGAAATAGTGATCGTAGGTGTCATCCAGGGCCCTGAAATGCGGCATTGATTCAAATGCATGCATTCGTCGCTTCAGCCCCAACCGATGCACAAACGTTGAACTGTCCGCATGCTCCTCATTCCTTTCATGATTCGTATCTTCGTTACCTGGCCTGATATCCCCGACAACAGTGCTCCGCGTCACACTATTCGAATGGGAATAACCGTCACCTTCCGCATCATCGTCGGTGTCTGGAGGCATAAACACCCATTCCAAGAATTGCCGGTTGTGGAGAGCATCAAATTTCATACTATCGTATAGTTCGGAGAGTTTGCTAGGGTCGACCTTCTCCGTATCGCAAAATTCGGCGAAGAGCTTTTCCCACCTCTCCTTGAAAAGCATAGGGTCCTCACCAGTGCACCAACGTCCCTGAATAGAAGCCAATGGAGAAAGCTCGCCGTGTGTGTTGGAAGGATCATCATTATGGGGGTATAGTTTGAACGGACGGCTCGGCGAGTTCTCGAGTCTCCGGAAATTGTGCCTCATAACATCCCGATGAAACTTCATAAGCTCAACAACCGTAGCGAGGACGACTGAAGGCTCTGGGATATTATCTTTGGGCCATGTGAACTGTGAGGGTGCGGATCCCTCTCGCAAAAGCAGCTTCAGCTTCTTTTTCACTTTGTCCATGAGATCTTTCGCGGCGTTCGAGTCATCCAAAAGGTCTTTCCGGACTTGTATGAAATCGTCCGGAAGCTCCTTTTGATCAAGGAAAGAGCAGGCCCAGATTTGAGCTATGAGACTCGCTTAGCTGGCTACCTACTAAGCATAAGAATGTGTAGACTTACCGCTAGTACTCACTCTTCGCTCAGAGCTCGTGAATATTCGAACTTTATTCAAAGCTTCTTTGTTCATTAATTTCAAGTCGTCGCGCATATTAAGACCGAGGTCCTGAGATTGGTAGCGGGCTGCATGGGTTGGTTCGCCGCCCCATTTGATTACAAGCTGGAGCTTGTCTAAAATGAGATCGTTCTCTGCAGCGGAAAACCTCGAGAATGTGGCACCGGATATAGAGTCGCTCCGAGTCTGTGTCCTAGTTAGATCTTCATTTCCTCCTGGCGCTTCACCAAGACTATGGGACCCAGGCGTATCCTGGGTGCCTTCGGCAGGCTTCGTTAGAACCGTGGAGGCCTCCTGTTTACGGGATTCTTCTGGTTTCCGCTTACGAAACATCGGCTTTATTTGAACCTTTGTCCCAGGCCAACCACCTTTCTTCTCTAGGGATGTGCGGAGCAGTTTGAGCTTATCCATATCTTCAAGTTCTCGCTCCATTGCCACCTTAACTGCATCAGAAACGCTGGCCAGTGCAGCCTCGCCTTTTATGACCACTTCTTCTTGATGCCCCTTCAGGAGATCAATAAAAGGTTGGCTGTGGAAAGTAAATTTGAATTTTTGCTTCGGTGTGCGATCTGCATGCCGGATGACTGCTACCATACCCTTCAGCTTCCACGAGTGTTTGGAAGCTGGGGGTGGAGGAGGGGCGTCATCAATCGAATCTGTTGACGTGACAGATGCATTCGCAGTTTGAGGAATTAAACTTCCTGAGAACGAAACCCTTTCTCGTCCGCTCGGCTTTTTATGGCTATTCCCATTATCTAGCCCCTCAAACGCGGAAGAGGCAGGCAGCCCTGGAACGGTATTTTCCGAGAGATCATTATCGGGGCTCTTGCGGCTCGGAGGACTTCCATGGAGCTTAGATGTGCTGGGAGATTTCAACAGGGTCTTCAATGTGTGTCTGTGGGACACAGAGTGCCTCCATGAATGGTTCGAATCTTGGTGGAAAGATTCGGATTCCAGGCTCCCTTCACGTCTGCGCTTCTCATTTAGGAAAATATCTTTCAGGATACTGGCACATCTGTCATAATAGTCATTGTTATCTTTGACGAAGCTCCAGCCATTAACATCAATCACGTAGCTTCTGTCACCAACACGAAGCATGTCAAAGCCACAAATGCGCTGGCCAAACCCGTTCGATATTTTAGAAGCAATTGTTGCCTCCTCCCTGCTTAACTTTGTTATATACCTAAGCTCCTTTCCGTGGGTATTGCGACGGACAAGTCCGTCGACTACGGGTGACTTCCGAGTTTCTGCATGACAGAAGTCTGGGCCGACAGTATAGGCCTTGACGTCCTCGGAATTATCCACCCTCACAAACTGTTCATAAATATAGCTGGAACCATTTTCCGTAACTGACCTAGGAATAACGAGGCCTGGGTCATATTCAGAACTTTTATTTCCAACCTTTCGGAAGAGCCTCCGGCCGCCGCCACCGTATTGCTGATCGTTAGGAAAGTATATGTGAATATTATGATTCTCCCCATTGACCGGTTTTTCAACGAACGGCTTTCTAAATACCTTCCCATCCACGATTAATGAGTCACCATCATCAGACATTGCCACGTCCTTCGTCCTAAAGAGACCTCCTCCGGTGCCGTCCTCGGGACCTTCAAGCTTGACCCCAGTCAGTTGATAGACGTGCTGGGCAAGTTCAGGAGATTCCAGTGTTGGACCACCATCTCGGTTAACTTCCAACCGCTTGGGCGTAGGAACACTCATGTTGTCTAATATCCTCAGACAAAGTCGCCGATCCCATAGGACCTTCTGCATCGGCAAGTCGTTCACACAAAACGGCTTTCGGAGTTTCGCATATGCAATAGCCTTGTCCAATGGAAACCCGTCTGAAAAGAACGCAATGAGATAGTCACACACGGGCCAGTTCTCTACAGCTTCGTCGAGGATCACCTTGTCACCAAAAACAATTACTTCAAACCCGCCCTTAGACTGAAGACGGGTCAGTATGTTTTGGCTAGGTTTGCTGCGAGCTTTGACATCTAGAGCACAAACTCCAATTTTTCCTAAGCTAGGAGGTGCGGGCTCAGCCTCGCTAATAGAACTTGCAGCCGTGCTTCCACTCATTCTTCTTGGTGCTCTGCTAGAAGAACGGGTGGAAGGATGATTGCTGCACCCTGCGGTTTGATTATCAGACGTGCAGTCGGTTTTGTAGGCCTTGGTTTGGTGGGACTGTATGCCATGTATTCCTCTCAAGGCAACAGACGCTGCATTCTCATAGAGCAAAGATGCTGATGATTTATCTGTCTGATCAGGACCAGCACTTGATGATGAGGTAGCTAATCTCGCAATACTCTCAATACTGCTTTTTGAAGAGTCAACTCCAACGGAACGACTGCTACTACGGTCACAATTCTGATCCATTCGAGAGAAAAGAAAGAGAAAAGAAAAAAAATGTAAAGAAAAAAGAAGGAGGGAAAGTAAATCCTATATGCTGTCTGAAGATAGCAAGCAATGGTCTCAATAATCGTGAACTCTGATGACGGAACTGAGGGTAGCGGGTGAATTGGAACGCTTTCTGCAAGGCACACAATCTTGAGAAGAAGAAATGGGACGTAAGAAAGGGGCGGTTGGGTGGCGGAGGTGCGGTCTTTGCAGTGGTTTGCTAATGACCCGTATTAGATTCTATCAAAGCTTCCTTGGAAAGAGAGCCCAGACGAGAATAAAAGGAAAGAAACAAGTCGTGTGCTTATGAAGATAACTAGAAATTGATCACATTTCTACCTCACTTTTAGATTGAAGGAAGCCATTAACTCTACCTTTAGCTAAATGTTCTAGAGAGAGGAAGAAGAGCAGTATCTATGAAGTACGTCAGAGAGTGTACGTCACTATAATCCTAATCAATGCTTTGCTGCAAGCGGAGTCTCTTTTTACTGAATATTTTTTTCCTTCCTTTTTTTTTGTTTGGTTTTTTCTTTTTTTCTCCAGGGTGCGCTTAAAGTTTACTGAACCAGTAGTAGGCACAGTGTTGACAATACATACCGTTATTATACCGTAAACCTTCACAGAATACAAAATACTACCCTGTTCATATTGATTGACTCGCTTATCACAACCTAGGGACCTTGCAGATCTCTACTCTGGAGTTAACCTTAAGGCAAACGCGTTAACGACTTAGCCTTGGGTGGCTTGTATCTTCTCTCATACGGATAGTATCAATAGTAACTCGTAGCTTAGAAGGCCGGGCCCAAGTACGATGTACATATACACTTACCTATTTAAGTAAGCGGTATGTATGCGTCACACTAAAAATGGGTGCTTCCTTTGGAGTAGTACCTAAACTCTCAGAGCGGAAACTAGTACTATACCGTAAGGTATCACTGGGAAACGCTAATACCGATCTGCTTTGGTGCTAATACCGTTTTTCCGTGAGAAAAGAAAGAAAGAAAGAAAAAAAAAACCTAAAACTTCGTACCCCGTCAAAGCGGCAAGAATAATGTTAGTACTAGCTCAGAAACTTGTTCCGTTTTTCTATATCAACTCCTGCTGCAGCTGCGTTCCCATCTTCAATTGAGCATATTGTCCCTTATATAATGCCGTCCCTCATGGATGATGCATTTGATATGCCACTGGCGAAGAGGCAGAAAAGGATTATAGACCAAGATGTTCGAACAGGGCCACAAACGGTTGGGTCCAAAGTTTTCTCTCCGTTTCGAGTACGTGAGACAATATATGAGCACTTAACCCTTCACTTCTAAAAGTCATCGCTCTTTATGCACCTGTCCCTTTTGATCTCGTAACTGACATTCCTCAATGTAAGACTTTGGGCCTAGTGTCTCCTACAAGTGTTCCCTTTTCGTCAGTTCGTTTAGGCAAAGCAACCTACCAGATCACGACATCGGTCGGACGTTCAGTGCAGACCTATGATTTACGGCGAGGGCTAAACCTTGTGTTTATCAGTAGACCTCAAACTCCAGATACCATTACGGCTACATTCGCATGGCAAGACAAGGTTTTTGTGGCATGGGGGCATCTCCGGCCCGGTTCCACTGGCGGCATCTGGGTTTACAAGCGTGGCAAGAAGATTGCATCCCTCGAAGCTTCCAAGGATGCCACAGAACCCATTGTACGGCTCCTTGTTTTTGGATCTTGGGTCGTGGGATGCGGCAGCGAACGCATACAGGTGTGGAAAAATACTACATACCAATATTACACAGCTTTAGTTCCTCTGCGCCCTCAGGACTCATCTGGGAAACAAGTATACACAGGTCAAGTGTGCACTATGCCAACTTATCTTAACAAGATTTTTGTTGGACGGTATGATGGAGGCATCGATATCTGGAACGTGAAAACAGGAAAGAAAATTTATACAATGCTTCCATCATCTTCAAGAGCCGGTGGTGTAACTGTGCTCCAACCAACTCCTGTATTATCCTTAATTGCAGTCGCCTACAAGAGTGGTGCACTATGTATTCGCAATGTTGAAACTGACCAGATCACATTGTCCTTGCGGGTGGGTTCGTCAGATGCGCGAAGGATAACCTCGATATCGTTCCGGACAGATGGCCTAGGCGCGGGCGAAGATGGTCAAAGACCAGGTGTCATGGCAACAGCTTGCATAGACAGTGGAGATATCACAATGTGGGATTTGAACAACGGCGGTAGAGTTGTGGGGATGCTTCGAGGCGCGCATCGAGTTACTGAGGGGGGGAAGGGATTGGGGGTAAATCATATTGAATTTTTGGATGGACAGCCAGTAATGGTCTCATCTGGCAAGGATAACGCCCTCAAGACATGGATTTTTGACGAGCTACCCTTTTCACCTATTCCCAGACCACTTCACTCCAGAAGCGGTCACTCTGCTGCAGTTACTACCCTCGAGTTCTTACCTTCCGCTTCGGACGGTTCTGAATTCGGCGGTAAGTGGTTGCTGAGCGCAAGCAAGGATTGCAGTCTCTGGGGTTTCAGTATACGAAAGGATAGCCAAAATACCGAGATATCCCAAGGAGCTGTGGAACACAAAGCAAAAAAGCTTATTGGTTCGAAAACGGTGACGGGTGCACAAGAACTCAAAGCGCCGGAGATAATCTGCATCGCTTGCTCTCTTAATCGCGATGGAGGAATGGGTGTTACAACTTCCGGTCCAATCTGGGCAAATCCAAAATCAATCAATACGGATGCTTCAAACAAGACAGGCTGGGAGAGTGTTCTGACAGGTCATCGTGGGGATAAATTCGCTCGAACTTGGTTTTGGGGTAAGAAGAAGGCTGGGCGTTGGGCATTTGAAACAGGAGATAAAATGGAGGTTAAGGTACGTGAAATCCTATCTATAAAGTAGGGGTCTCAATCTAACCGGTGAAATTTGGTATCAGAGTGTCGCTATCTCACAATGTGGGACTTTTGCATTGGTTGGGTCAGCAGGAGGTAGTATCGATATGTTTAATATGCAATCCGGTTTATACCGACAGAGTTTTCCTAGTCGTGGCAGAGGCAATGGTGCAAAGCATAGCAAAGCAGTTACCGGGGTAGCTATTGACGGATTGAACCAAACAATTGTCAGTTGTGGGCTTGATGGGAAAGTGAAGGTTGGATTTCAAACCCTTTCGCCTGTAGTATGAGACTAACCGTTGCCTCAACAATTCAGTTTTGGGACTTTACCTCAGGATCACTTACAGATGAGCTCGACTGGTATCCGATGACATCTATCACTGGGCTTCGATACAACAGCACAAACGAACTCGTTGCATTTAGCTGCGACGACCTTTCCATACGTGTCGTTGACATAGAGACGAGAAAGGTCGTTCGTGAGTTCTGGGGTTGTGTAGGTCAAATCAATGATTTTACATTTTCCTCGGATGGGCAATGGATTATTGCCGCTTCGATGGATTCTATCATTCGAGTATGGGACTTGCCGACAGGACATCTCATCGACCTCTTCCGTGTACCCAGCACATGCACTGCTTTGGCTATGTCATCCACGGGCGAATTTTTAGCCACCGCCCATGCAGATGGACTAGGTGTCAGTCTCTGGTCCAACAGAAGTTTATTTGTACCTATATCAACCCGAAATTTGGATGAAGCCGACATTGCGGACGTCGGGGTTCCTACTATTTCTGGTGAAACTGGGGTGGGGGCTATTGAGGCTGCATTCTTAGAGGACGATCAGCCAAGTGACACCGAAGGGCCCATGTTGTCCACAGAACAGCTCAGTCATGATATGGTCACGCTCAGCGTCATCCCCAAGAGCAAATGGCAGACCATGCTTCATTTGGACCTAATTAAGGTAAGATGCCTTCTCTGTGGAGACCCAACCTCTAGGAGCTCTCTTTAACAATTTCTAGGAACGCAATAAACCAAAAGACCCTCCGAAAGCCCCGGAGAAGGCACCATTTTTTCTGCCAGCGGCTTCCGAGAAAGGTAATCCTAATGAGAATCTCGATCCTAATCTCCTAGCTGATATTACAATCACTGAACGCTCGCGTGTCGCCAAGATGCAGCATTCTATGAATGCTGGTATCGCAGGCTCGCGGTTCACTACACTCTTACGGTCCGGCCGGGATACCGGGAACTTTCAACCCTTCATCGAGTATTTCAAATCTATGTCTCCGGCAAAGGCCGATTTAGAGATCAGATCTTTGGATCCTCGGATATACGAGGGCCACTCTGAACTGTCAGACTTTGTTCTCGCCTTGTCTAGCCGTCTCCGCTCAAAATTGGACTTCGAACTTGTCAACGCCTGGATGGCAATGTTCTTGAAAATCCACACTGATATCGTGATGAAATGCTCAGAGTCTGAGGAAAATGAAGCGTTGAGGGAGGCATTGGCCAGCTGGAGTATGGCACAACAACGGGAAGGGCAGCGCCTGGCTGAATTGGTCGGGTATTGCCGTGGTGTTGTGGGATTCCTTCGGTCTTCACGCTAGTTTGTTAACATGAGCCCCAAGGCAGCGAACTGTTCGCTGTCCTGTTCATAAGTAGAATTTCATTTTTTTTGTATTATGTTCAATGTGTTGGTAACGCTATTAAAAATCCTAATTATACATCTTGGGCTGGTAAACTTATTCCATGGACAATAGGTCATACATGTTGTCCATCTTGCGTGGTGACCTAGGGCTGCCTACTCTAGA